CTACTTTTTATCAATGATTATGGATTGACTAGTTTAGCCCATTTAGTAAATATTGCAAAAAATAGATTTCTGAACATTTGAACAATTTTTAGATGATGCCCAAACTGAAAACACGGGTTCTCCAGATCTAAAAGCCGTTGATGATGTAAATGTACCATTGTTTTAAGCAGATTGTAGGTCAAGAGAGGGAGTATCCACTTGAAAAATATATACTTATCATTCTACAAGATAAAAAGTATATCAAGAGGTTCTGTATACTGACATTATAGCTGTACGCGTTAACCGAGTTTCATAAACCCATTATCACACGATAACCACCAGTAAAGAATTATTTTTCACCCCGAAATGTTCAATCAAACATATTTCATGCTATGGTAGTGCACCCTTTGCAGACTGTGCTATAGGAAAATAAGCGGCGTGGATATCACGGGCGCACGGTGCGGATATAACGGTCATTTTTGAATTGAATTCGTGACATGTCACAAACTATAAAGACATATTTATATTCATATATGTGAACAGGATCCCTAATAAAAAGGAAGTTGTGTAAATTGGTGTCTACTTCATTCTATAGCAACACATCAAGCAACAATACTCTCTCCAAAGTAAATAATTTGAAATTGCAGCTGTTAAACAGCATAAACAGCATACATTCAATATTGGTGATCGAGATAACCAATTTATACAAATTGTATTTTCATATTGAAATTTGAAAGATTTCTGCGTGATTTATACAAAATAGAAATATTAAACAAAAATGTGCTACCTCTAAACAAGTGGTGCTGATATCCGTGAAGTGACGTTATCCACATCGCTTGTTTAGAGGTAGCACATATCTGATAATTTTTTTGAAAATTCACACAGAAAATTAATGACTTTTAAAATGCATAAATGATTTATATCAATGAGTCGATTTATGAAGACTGTAAACGGGGTAATATTAAAGCGGCAAGTCTTTGCTATGGAGAAAGGATGAATGCTTAGTATGTCGTTAAAGAATGAAGTACACAGCTATAGACAAAATTTCCCTTTTAAGTACAAATGGGTGAATAGAATTGAGTACCCAGCATGCCTTAGTTTGTGATGTATCACGAATTTAAATTCAAAAATGACATTTAATATCCACACAGTGCGCACATTATATCCGCACCGCTTGTTTTCGTATTGCACAGTCTGTATAGGGTATAGGATCTCCGCAATTTTCTTATTTAGACCGCCGTGAGCAATAATCATCCCTATATACTGTATTATCTTAACAAGTGGTGGAAGTAATTCAGAAAATAAGAAATAGTTGACATCTTTTCGTTCACAGATATTTAAAACATCCAAAACCATTTATAAAACACTCCAGAATAAAGAAAGCAATTATCTATACCTTTAACATTTTCTCTGGATTTATTTCTCTTTCGAATTCATTTCTGGGAATATATAGAGAATATGAGAAAACTTCTATAAGACTTGTAGAAAGGTATATCCAAATGATTACATAATGACTTCTTCTACATATCTAGGCCTTTCAAATGGATACAGTAACGGGCGAGAAATATGGTGTTAAAACTGTATCAAAATTGGACATCTTATACTTATGTGATATCTCTAACACATAGAATAGCGTTTAGCAGAATACATACGCAATCTGCGTGATTTCATACACGGTTTGTTCGAGTTTGCACACTTTATGTTTGTAAAATCACACTTGTACATGCGTATTTGTGTATGCATTGTTTAAAAATGACGTCGAACAGGGTAGGCTTACACAAGTCGAACAAATGCTTATGCGGCTCGCACAAACGTTTTTCCCTTCACAAACCACGATGTGCCAATCACACACCTTGATGTGCCGATCACACACCTTGATGTAACATAAATTGCTTTCTAGAGATGTTCGAGATTTTGTTCTAAATCTCGCGTTACTTTTGCACTGAACGAAATAACACATCAACGCGGCAAAAAGATAAAAAGATCTAGTTTGTAGTTTCTCAATAAATGACCATTGTACGTCTCCCTAGCCCAGGGCCTAGGGTATCCTATTATATATTTTTAATTTAAAATTTACATTTTATAACATTTCAACGGAGGGCGCCATATTGTAGAAACCAGGATGTAAATATCACGTGACTTCAAATCTCGCACCCTGTGAAAGTGCAACTTGTTTGTGACAGCCTAGTATGCGAGCGGGAACCATCCTATGCGAGTTTGAACACAATGCGTGTGTAAAATTGACATGTTCGTTCGAAATTTACTTTGATCCATGTGAAATTCTTTCAGTATTCTATGAAACTTTTAACACAATCCGTGTGACATTTCAACATTGCTTTTGGATTTTTTGGAAAGTGATTGGAGTTAGTGCTAACTCTTTGTGTGACACTTGATACAACCAGTGCGTGTGTGAATGAAATTAAGTTATGCAAGAAAATTAACTGTTGGTATAACATGGATTGAAAATGGCATACGATGATGCGAGTTTCGCATATAATGATGCGTATTTTGCATAGTATGATGCGAGTTTCGAATCATATAGTTCGAGTATTGCATCATATAGTTCGATTTTTCCCATACATCGACAATTGTAATGTCCAATTTTGATACAAAATAAATTCCATAGAGAAACGGTGACAAAAATTGACGATATCGGACCAGAGGTGAGTTTATTTCTGGAAGTTATTCACTTTATTGAGTTCGAACTGTTTTGTTACTTGGAGCACTAATACAAGACATTTCACATTACATCGCATTACATTTCTCTTCCTCGAAATTCTGATCCCCGGTTAGAAATTACCGAAAACCATGCCATTTCAGATATATAGAGAAACAAACTTCTATATGTGTCATCGATCCGGATATTTCAACAATTACATATTACAAGTAGACCGTAATTTATTGCGGTTAATTTATCACTTTTATGCATAATTTAATATCTACCTCTTATAAAATAGCATGAAAACTGATTTAATATTAATAATCACATACTACTTTACAAATATGATTTACAAATAGTGTGGTACTATTCTAATTTAATTTTTGTCACCGTTTCCAATCCGTTCCCGTATCCACATTGAAATAGGCTAGTCCAATATCTTATTTAGGCTGGAATATAAGAGAGCGTTTTGTATTTGTTGTTAATTTTACAAGAAATTTAGGGAAAACCATTCTAGAAATCATTACATTTGTATTATGTAAATTTAATGGTATTTTTGAAACTAACAAGATAATTTACCCCTTTCGGAAAACCTATCAAAGGCTGTTCATGTTTGGCCACACAAACATACCCATTAGGATTATTCCGAAGTGTTATTGAGGAACAAAATCACAATTCAAACATCGACAGTCTTTGAAATGCTATCCAGTCGATCCAGCACTGACTCCCGGTTACCTTATGGAGGAAAGTTAACTTGCTGTTTAATTTTAATTTAGAAATATCGATTAATTCAGATTTTTCATGATGTTTCCGAGGGTACGACGCCTGTAAACTCCTTTTCAATATCTTAATTATTGAACCACGTTTGGCTTTCAACAGAATGTTACAAGAAGCATGAATAAATTGATAATAAATACGAGCAAGGTTATTTTTTCTGAAATAAACAGCTATTAATTTAAACAGTAAAGTGCATAAAATTCTTCATATTTCCTGGAAAAGAACACAATCCGCATTGGAATCCTGAACATTGCATTCGGAAAACAGGCTGTATTGTATAGGTTCAAAGTGTGACAAGCGATTGGTATGCTTTTCTATGCATTCTATATTTTATTTTGAATATGTTTAGTAAAAACTTTATAAAAGGTATATTTTCTGTGGGTAATATTTTACATCGAACGTTTAAAATAATTATCATGTAAACAATAAAAAAAATGATTACCTGCATTAGCAAACCCCATAAAAAACAGCAACGCTAACGATGTCCTCATTTTGTTCAATGTGACATACAGTTGTTTTTTGTCTGGTAATAAGGACTTTATCGGAGAAGGTCACTAAAGTGTGATAGACGCTAAAGTACATCTTTTGACCCTACGTTGTCAGTATATCGCTATGTCCAAAAGATAAGATTTGGGTGTATTCCTAATTATCACATGTCTACATGTATCACACTCACGTCGAATTATTCATAAAAAGCATTGCATAACTAAAACAAAGAAATGAAGAATAGTTTTCAGCAAGGTATAGGGCACTAGTGAGTAGGGCTATGCAAAAACGGTTGCCAAACATAACGATTTCGATTCGATACTAGATCGATAAAATAGACACTACTACGATAAAATAACACACATAAAAATGACGGCCATTTTTCAAAATGGCCAAAGCCAAAGTGTTTTAAGACAAACCCCTCTCATAAGACAATGCACCATGCTTATATCACATATCAAACATGAACAAAATCGTTCCACTATTTTCAAGTTAGAACAAAAATTATTTCACATGTACCAGCTGCCATTTTTCAAGATGGTCATCATGTTTTAGATTAGACTTTCAACTAAATCAAGATCCTATATAATTTGCATTTGAAACATATTAATATTACAGTTTTATATGTTGCGCCCGGAATACTACAATTGACACTAAAATGGCGGCCATTTTGAAAGTTGGCTTGCATACGATATTGGGCCAACGGTATTTGACGGACGAACGGACAGGCTATATCTTCCCGAACTTCGTTCGATGGGCTAATAAAATAGATCGCCAAGTCCCAAGTGATGTGGGACAGGTAAATCAAGTTGAATCGTGAAGATATTGTACTACACGAAATATTATAGCTTGAAAACAACCATGTAAGAAATGATGGATTTACCAACACTTTTTTACTTGATAATATGTATTTGGAGAATGTGTAGTGATTGATGAACAAGGATAAAGTAAAAGGAAACTTGAATTACAAATATTTCAATTGTAATCAAAAATACTTTTAGGTGTGATAAGGTATGTTAATGTCACGTTTCCATGCTTCCAAGCATGATTCATAAATGCCTAAATAGAATAAATAGAAAGCAGTGATTTATGATATATACTTTATTTTTCTTATCTCTCGTACCCCTTTCTTGTACTTTTGCCAAAATCTTATTTCATGTCATCTTGTTCCGTTGTCAAAACTGAACATAGATACAGGCATGATCGAAAGATTAACGTCTTTATTCAGTATGCAATGGAAAAGATTCCATCATTAATTCTATGTAAAGTAATATCAACTTATTTTCTAAGCAAATTAAAAAGTGAATCAGTTCTTGCTACATAGCTGTTTAACTCTTCTGTTAAGCTTGAAGATGCCTTGTCTATTAAAGGTCGTACCCCTTTACTGGGTAATTTGTTGGCCATTCAACATCCGAGTCGCACTGCGCGTCCCATACAACAACAAAGCCAATTTCTGGAATATCAACCTCCTGACAACACAGAGCTTGTGGGGCTACAAAAGTATGGAAAAGTTCACCACATGTGCCAGGATCATAATAAGCCATCAGGCGTAAACCAGGGGGTGAGAGGGTCCTCAAATATTCTTCACACAAAACCTGCCCGAGAGGTCTGTATCGCACCCCGGATGTCCCATTAACTGCGATTGATTGATTCAAGCCCTGTGTTCCGTAGAGGTTACGCATTTGAGTATCACACTGCATTCTGCAATCGTTCATTACTTCTTCACATCCATAGCACCTTCCCTTGGTGTTATTATACCATATTGGGTCCAGCTGATACAATATCTCGGTAGGCTCACTTTCCCCTGCCGTTCTATTTGCCTCACGTCGAATGGTACAATCACACCTAAACGAAAACGAAAAAAATTCAGGGCCATTGTTATGTAAAACGGTCGAATAGATATAATTTATTCCTCGCTTTAAAGGAGCACGTAAGTTTTCACAAACAAATTTGAATCTTTTAGACCTATTCATTATCTCCAAGAAATCAGACTAAGTAATGCTGACTAACAGTCAGGTATCAGTATCTAAGTCAACATTCGAAAATAAAAATCTCAAAAATCGTACATCTTTGATTTCCAAAATAATTTGTGAGGTGCTTATTAAGATGATAATACACATTTTAACGTATTAATTTTGAGTACATCTCGAATCCATTCTCAACCAAGCGTTCGCGAAATAAAAAAAATGTTTGATTTCGGGGTGTTAAAAGTACGTTAAGATACACCGCTCCTTTGGGAACAAGATAGAGAACCAAAAGCATCTTTACTAACTGAAAAATGCCAACGAATGTTACAATATAAATATCTGTTTTTATTATGATGGATCGCCAAAAACTGCATGTACTTTTTAAAGAGATGATATGTTTTTGAATTTAGACATTAACCTATAAACTCAAACAAAAATTCAAACTGCCCGCTGTTATTTTGATCGCACAAAACGAAATTTCCATTCCCGGGGAGCACTTTGGTAACACTTTGAAGGAGGATTCTTGAAAAATCATTCGACTTTTCACAAGAGGTTTCATGCATTTTCATTGCTTTATTTGAGCAATGTGCATTCCGAAAGAAATTGAATAGGAGATTACATTCGAAATTACACTTTCAAAATATTTGCTCCAACCAAGAATTGTAAGAACTTGAAAGATCGTTGTTAGCTTTTCAAACCGCATATCCTCATTCACGTTCTTTGACAAGGATGAATCCATTTGAAAACATGGATTTTCTTGATTATTCTTCAAAACTACCCTTGAAATATAAGTATGTAGGATATGCCAGCGTAAATTGACACGCCTTTGATCGCTCCATATCATGAAAAAATAAATGCAGAACCATCCCTCAATATTCGAAAACAGAAAGTTCATGCTATATGTAATCAGGAAAAATGTATTTATGGTTGGTTCATGGTAAAAATGACAAAAACAGACATCTTTTGAAGTAGGGGTATACAGGGACAGTAAATATTGATGAACATACGAATTTCAAATGTCGACTTACTTACTGAACAGGACTGTAAATGGGCAATGGACCAATCAACATACTTTTTCAAAGATGTTGAGCTAGTTTTCATTAAAAATGCAGCCTTTTATAATGATGTTGTATGCATATTTAATGCTTTGGGACATGTTCTATATCCTAAAAGAAAAAGTGGATTCCTCCAGGGACCTTAAAGATACTGAATTTGGATGACAAAAATGAGCTGAAACCAATGATTAGCGTGATTTTTTTTCAATGGGGAACTAACACAGGGAACATAAATCCTAGATAATGAAGGGGTCTAGAAGATAAACCTGTCTTCATGATCAGGAAATAATCATAATCCAAGATATAACCGTCTGAAATTGTTAGCAATAACCTACCCGAACCTTTATAAAAGCTACCAAAATTCTGTTTAAGAATCTTGGCATTGATAAAATTGTATGCTTGAAAACTCGTTTTTTGTTTTCGATCGAACCATTGATTACTATTTTTGAGATCCTTATGACTTGAACTTTACCAAACAAGGTAGGTTTCCTATTCCACCCAAGATTAAGGGATTGTTTTATTGAATAATTATTTTTCACATTTCTTTTCGGGACGCTTGTCGTCATTTAATGCAAATACTTTATCTGAAATGAGTTCCATATCTTTTAAGATAAGACATGATCATTTGAACATCAGGTTTTCTTTCATAAGGAAGAAATAAATACAACACAATACAATACAATACAATACAATACAATACAATACAATACGATGGAATACAATACAATACACGAGGATTTAAAAAATATAAATATGACAATGAATGATATAAGCCAGAAACGCGTATTCTAGAATTGAAGCAATTCTTGTTTACTTTGCCTAATGATACTTACTTTTCAGCGAATGGGCCTTCAGATGGTCGGGTCGGTTCTGGTGTGGTTGGTGGTGGTGTTGGGAGCTCCTCTAAAATACGAAGCTTGATATAAGTTTGGAAGAACATTTTGTTTTGTTTTTAAGTTTACTTATGTTATGTATATTATATTACTTGAATGGTTACTTTTTTAGTGTCTGTTACTAGGAAGTACAGTCATTGTTGATTAAGTGACACTTTCTTCAAAATTATTCAAAGATATTCACAGTAGAGATCAATGAACGTGATCTTACCGACTAAGTTGGACTTCAACCCCATTCCTACTGGGTGACCGTATGATTCAACACCCTGGTGTCCGTAGGAGAATGCCGTAAACTCCACATTTGGCGCCCAGTGATCAATTCTGTATGTTCGGTACAAGAGTCCGCTTAACATAAGAGTTGTATAGTTGGTTCCCGGAATTTGACTCCATAATCTTCCAGGGATGATTTGGCCATTGATAGTCAGTCCTCCTGCGACTTGTAAGGATGCTATGACTGCCAAATAGTTGGCATAATCTCGTTCGACGCGGTTTCTGAATGTCGTAAATATGAGTGGACCAGTGTACTGTTTTACAGGTGGCACAATCATCATGAATGGATCCGTCCCACCGCGAAGATTGTCGGCAGAAATACCTAGAAATGACAAAATAATGCATTCATGTATTTGGTGTATTTTATTTGATCTGCTACATATGTCTTAATTCATGATGTGCGTAACTGGCATAAAATAATAATTACCTTTGTTGTATTGGGCAATAAGACAAGGCTTGGAGCAGATAAAGTAGTTGAAGTCATTGGACCTTCTTTCAAACTCAAAGAATTGCCCTCTGTTCAGACCCCTTCTTGTTCCATAATTAAAGGCAGTGATTGATGTATCATTTTCTGATGCAATCACTCTGTAAACATCTCCTGCCCGACGTGGCTGAATTGGCGCTGTGGCAAAGTACTCGCCCCAGGTGTATATTGGAGGTATCTGCTCTACGATATGATCGCAATATTGAACAGTAGTAGGCACAAACACGCACGTAGCACCACCGTATACTGCAACCGGTTTGTCCGATGTTACAAGATAGCCAGTTGTGTCGCCTCCTCGTATGGCCAGCTGATATGTGTCGTATTCTGTCATCACAAGATTTTGTGCATTTGCAAAGTCATGTCCACCATCTGGCAGAGGGGGAACAATTCGGACATTTGTGTTTTCTTCTTGTGCTGCGATACCAATGAGGGAGTAGGTGATACTTAGCGCAGTATATGATGGAACAATGAATTCTTGTGGGACAGTGGCGTTAAAATCAGAGACCGGGAGTGCCAAGAATGATTCACCAGCAATTCCAGCATTATTGCAATATACGCTGACTTCAAAATTGGAAGTGATCAAGACGCCCTTTCGTTCGGCTCTGTTGAACAGCATGCGTATATTCCCATCCAATCGGACTCTTCTGACTTCTCCTGCGTCCAGGACAAATTGTTGATCGAGATTCGAAATAGGTGCCTGGATACGTACAGTAGTTTGTCTAGATGCGGTGATCACAAGTTCATTAAAACCAGCTACAGAGTTACGGAACTGGGCCATGAACGACACGATAAAGCGCGTGCCCTTGTGGTCTTCGGCTGCAATGTAAAGAATATGCCATTTAGTACATTTGTTTTAAGTCAGTACAACTTCAGGTATCAACGGCTAGTGACATGATCATGACGCTAGAATTGATGATTTGCTATCACCGAATGGATTCTATCTTGAAGTGACGTCACAATTAGGCCACCCAGCTCTAGATGTTTGATTTTGCTGAGAGATTGTCTTCTATTATTTCGTGCTTTATTGATTTATTTTTCATGAAAGCGTTCGATTTGACTAGATCAACATTCATGCTAAGCACCTACCAAGTCTAAAATCTTACTGACATGATTTAGATAGCGGTTAAGCGCCCCCCGATTTTGACAAAAACGAGATTAGAGAAATAAGACAAATCAACAGAAGAAAAAACTGAATGAACAAAACTGTACTTGGAAAACTGAATTCAATATTAATGACAAGGAATTTAAGGAACTTTACTTGGCCCTCTTTCAAGCATCAAACGATAGTAAATTAAGGGATTTTCAATTCAAGATCTTACACCGAGCACTACTATATTTGAAAAATGGCTGTTTTCGTAAATTGTATTTCCCGTCGGGCTTGACAAAATTTCTCTTCTCGTTTCCACCCCTTCTACAGTCCAATGCATCTCATATCTGATATCTCTAATAATACAAAATACCCTTTGGATTCATTCGTTCGACTCTGCTTCTCACTTTGCGCACAGGGTAAATACATTTCAATCACAATTTTTATTACATTGAAAACAATTTTCTTCAAAACAATTTTTTCACTTAAAATTGAAATAAGTCCTCAGAAATCTAACATTGAAAATATGTGTTTTAAGGAAACCTATGTTCAAATATTTCCATGCTGTAGTGTTATACAGGGTGTCTCAAAAATGAACCCAAAAGTATATATTGCCCTTAAGTTGTTCTAGGTCGTTTTGCATGGAATGAACATTGAAACACTTCTTCAAATAGCCACAGAGAAAGATGTTTGAGAATGACGATGGCAGAACAAGCACAGAGAATCGGGTCAATTGTCTGCAAATGATTCAGGAGTAACCTTCCAGAGTTACGCAGACAGCCTTGAGCCCAAATGATATCCAAATGAAAACACAGTTGTCTCAAATTGGCTACAGTGGAATCCCAACCAATGCTGTTTCTTGAACGTCTGACCTTTCTGTATAAGATGCTATAAGACATTGTGAGGGCTTCCTATTCACCAGCTTTGACGGTCCATACTTTTTTCTCTGGGGCTATTTGAAGGACCACTTTTATGCTAAACCAAAGCTAAGAGACCTAGAACAACTTTAGACCAGCATCCTAACAGAAGTCAAAACATTCCACCAGAAATATCTAATGAGATAAACAATATAGTAGTAAGGATGCAGACTGTCATCGGAAAATGAGGTTACATTGAATATGTGTAGTAAAGGTAACGGGTTAAAGTATCAAAAAGGCAAAACTGAATTAAAAACTGTGCGTGGGGAAAAAAACGTTATGTTTTGACTACAAGGCCATGCAAAGAAATGTCGGAAAATATTGATTGCATTGGTTTGTCTATGCTGTTGATATACTTTTGGGTACATTTCTGAGACTGCTATATACCTATTGCACACTATTTTCTATAGTATCATTTTAATATAAAGAGCAAATGATAATCATATTTAGAAGGACATATGTTTTTGAGAGATGTTTATGTTTGAATAAAAAATATATACATGGTTTTCAAAAAAATTCCAGAAGGATCGAACACTAATAATAACGTGATCTTGTGAAAGCTTAAAGAATAAATAATTATTAGTTACTTTTATTTCTATTTATCCATCATCCCATGCCTGGGTAATTTAAAGGGAGTATCCATCTTACAAAACAGTCAGTGCAGACAATTACACAGACACTTGTCATTGTACAAGATAAAACATAATTTAAAGATAAGGTTCTGTGCTGATATTTCAATCCATTGTCCTACACGCACTAACCGCATTTCGGTGAGTTCATTGTTACCGATTTAACATTTTGGTGTTTAGAGGTATTATTTCACGAATGATGTTTTTCGCTGAGTCATCGTGAACCATACCAGGACATATTTTATTGAATCGGTGTTCCCAAATTCTGTTTTTTGAAATAGGCAATTTATATTCAAAATTTCAAAAAACTGAGACACGAATCTATTTGTACAAGGATTTTTTGAAAATGCATTGTCCAATTAAACAAAAAATGTATTCTTGCACATGTAGTACACGTGTCATGTCCACCAACGTTTTAAGTTATTAATAAGTTTATTGGTCTCTTGAACATCCAATGTACATCGAGATATAAGTCTAATAAAGCAAATAACAAATAAAGCATTCATGTACATGCATGTAAATGCATTCATGTAAATGCATTTGAATACAAGAATCGAGTGTACCTAGTAATGATTAATGCATGTTGAACAATGTCCATCAGATTTTGAGCAGGAATTTTTAGAGTTTCTACACTCAAATAAATCTTGTAGCACATATTGTACTACATACTCTCTCTCTAATAGTTTTAATAGGCATTCGAATGTATATTTTTATGCACCCGATTTCAGACAGAGTTTTCCCGGTAATGACACTAAGATATTGAAGGAGGTGGATCAATTATTTGAAAATGAATGATAAAGGCAAAGGACCATGGCCAAAAACTGTAAAGAAGCCTTAATATTAAACCTGTCATGAGGAAAACAGAGCTATATATCCCAAAAACCATGTTCTAACGTGAAAACGAATAATGTCTAACACCCCCCCCCCCTTCCCCTCTTCCCTCTCCAATCGACATCGAATATCAACCTCCGGGACCAGAGGACCAAGGGACTTTTCATTCATACTGAAGTCATTTCAATGCATGTTGAAGTGAAGATTGGAAAACTGATAGCCAATACTCATAATATCAAAAATAGTTGTAGATGATAGTACTCATAAAAGATGTCTCAAATGATGTGGGATGGACGAAATCAGATCTCGAATTAGAAGTTCATAAGCAATTCAAAGGGTCAACATCCATTCACAATGGTCATCAGGAGAAAGCTATGACTGGTTACGATCCCTACTTCTCATTCATTAATGCCATCCACCTCAAAAGGTGCAAAGTGAAAAAATTGTGAGTTCAGTGCCAATTTCTTAAACAATTCCTACATCCTTCAGCATCTCAAGTGGTAAAACCTGGTGGTAAAAGCTTTTTAAGACGTTTTGACAAAAGCGTTGAAGATGAAGATGTTCGTGAAGATATATTTGTAATTAAATCTCCATTTATCAAGATTTGAGATCGAGAAGATCAATGGTAATTCTGTATGACAAATAAAATCTTTTTCTGATTGAACAAGAACTGTTGGTTCTTTGAAAATAGCAAGACATGGAATTGGAGTGATGAGAGCAAAAGAGATTTCAAAATTGTGACAATCGTTTCGAAACTTATTCTTGTTACAACTCGTCTCCATCCAGTCTAGCCTCTTTGATTAAAATTATTGTCTGTTTTGACCTTTGTTAGATCAATAATTTTGTTAGAATCGACAGAAAGGGTGTTCGTAATACCTTGGACATTATTCAGGGAATTAACGAGCCGATTACATTGTTTTTCACATGTTTTAGTCTTGCAGATTTGTAAACGCAAGCATCAGCTATGTTTTGTGTTACATCGAATTAGAGTTAATATGCTACTTCTAATTCAATTACGATACCCGCAATATTTCAACTTAATTCGTTCTTCCCGAAAAATCTTAACATTGTGTTCTTATATTTATACAATTTGGATTTGAACACACTTACAGTCCTACATGTAGGCCTATTTGCATTTTAGATTTTATGTGATGCATTCTTGAATACATTAACAACATGAATTGGGTTATCATGGCCTATGTAGCGCTAATTATCTTTTTAATATCGAATGTTTTATAATATAAAGTACAATTACCTGCAAAAGCAAGCCCTATAAAGAATAGAAACGCCAAGGACGTCTTCATTGCTCCGCTGGTATGGCTCTGGATGTATTGGAAGTCCAATTGAATTTGAGAAACTGTGCCAGTATCTTCTAAAATACGGACATTAGGGTGGTGTTGCTTTGACTTTCTAACCTCTAGGGATATTCTCAAAACATATCATCTTCGAAAAATACATATACATAAAAACATTTGTGTTTGATTATAAATTGCACTTTAGTTAATTGATTTTAATGTCAATACCAAAGATAATATCGAAGAACAATTGTGTTAAATTTAGATCACTGTCATGGGATGGTCCCTTATTATATATTATCTATCATAAGCAGTCATCTTTTGTCTGGAGATAAGTATTTACAGGTTGCTCAAAACATGTTATTTTTAGTGCTCAAATCTTCATGCAAAGAGTATTTCATATTCCCGCTGATCTGCAAATAAGGCGTCTTGTATGTTGACATTGGCACTATGATAGTTATTCTTGTATATTTATATATAATTGGTGTTTGACATTAAGGATTTCTGATATGGCTTTCAAAGTGTGCGAGGTTATGTATGTATATGTGACTTCATGATTTACACTGTTGTGCCGTTTCAAGTTACTTTGACAACCACTTCTAATTCTCTGCAAAATATATCAGCCTTTTGGTTACAGAATAGTTAGATATTGCATAATATGTTTTCTTTGTAGATTCGAGCAATGGACAACGTTTGGAACAAAGTTAGCTTACTTTTTGAACGACCTGTATTTTGTATAGCAGAGCACATTCAAGTATGATTGAAACTGAAGTACCTCTTTTGACATGGGGTTGCCAGTATGTTTCTATGTCTCAAAGATAACATTTGGGTGTACTCCTAATTTGTATATCTCTACATGTATCATATTCATGTCGACTTTAACTTAACAAAGACAATAGTTTTTTGCACTATTTATTATAACATACGACGACATTCCAGATACATATGATTGAGATTTTTGAAGGCGTAGGATTTGGTCTTTCACCAAGTTTAACTCTTGCATGGTACTGACCCACTTGGCAAGGGACTTTTCTTCATCCAATAAAGTTTTACGTTAATTTGTATATTACAAAAAATGAACAAAAATCTTTATATTAAAAACAAGATTTTTTAGATTTTTTGACTTGAAATGGGCATGGCAAAAGGATGGTATGATGGTATTACTGATTCTGAAATTGACACACTTTTTGGAAAATTGCTCTCAAAAGTAATAGGGCTTATTAATAGCTCTGAATCTGAACGTGATTCTCGTTTCAAATGAGTATTGAGCTGAATCTAAATCAACCACGCCCATGTATTGTCTATAGGCACTCCAATATATACTGTAGTCATCTTATTGAGCATTCAGGGTCACATACTCTCTTCGGGAACTAAAACTATATGAAAACCATTGTCTGAACTACTAGTTTCTCCACGAGGTAGTGTGCTGGTGATATGATTGTCTAACTTGCATCCGTCGGCAGTGGGAATTCCACATCGGAATCACATTCTCTGTCCCAAACTATGACGTATCCTATTTCCGGAATATCTTGTTCAGCGCAGCAGAGAGAAGTGCTGCTTGCGATTGTGTGCATAGGAGCGCCACAACTGCCAGGATCATAATAGGCGAGCACCCTTGTACCTGGTGGGTTAAGAGGACCATTGTGGATTTGACAGAGTACCTGGCCGCGAGGTCGTAGACGGCTACCACTTGTTCCGTTTACTGGGACCAACCTAGCAAGGCCTTCCCATCCCCAATATTCACGGGCACGCTGATCACAGATCTGCGGGCATGTTCGAAGTACCTCGTGGCACCCTATGCATTCTCCATCAGAGTTGTTGTAGTAGACGGGTTCTAGCTCTTCAAGAATCTCACCTGGGTATGTCTCCCCAGCAGTGATGTTTGGCTCGATCCTTATTTGGCATTTACATCTAGTATCAAAATTAAAATACATTTACCAACGTGTCATGAAAAGGAAAACAATCACGACTAGAACTAACTATGCATAGCTGTTTGAAAAAACGAATACTTTGAAAATAAAGTATTGAAAAAATTACTATAACTGATTGGAACGATGAACATGAACGATAAGATCAGCCACTTACATTTCTGTGAAGTTACTTGCTACTGATCGAGTTGGGGCAGGAGTTGATATAGGCACAGGTGGGTGCTCAACTGAAAAGCAATAACATATTTAGTATATCCTAGGTTACGTTAGTCTCTTGGTATATGGCAAAATTAGTCATTTTGGCATATGTTTGAGAATGACGTCACCAGCACCCATTCTAGTCCAGCAACAAACCTTTGTGCCCCCTCCTAGACACATCCCATATGTGAACATACTTGTGTAGTCAAGAAGTGGGGGGGTCACAGGAGGTCGTAGCTAGACTACACTCATTCATCGTATGTGACATAAGCATTTCTGCCGCCAAATGCCCTTTCTTACTTTGCTCCTGATATTACTTATTCAGACATGTTTAGTTACTAGTATTTCTAAAATCAATAAAGAAAAATTGTCATGGAGCATTTTTAGTTAGGCTACGATTAACTGACATTATTTCTTAGAGCTTGGTGTGACCTACCATCTCCTCTGCGTAGTCCCATACCAGTAGGGTTGCCGTAGCCTTCGACACCGAAGTGACCATACACGCTAGCGGATATCCAGACATCATTGGACCAATGTTGTAACACATACTGGCCATATTTCAAATTAGTCACCTGTGCAAAGGAAAAGTTAGTGTAACGGATCGGTGTCCATTCAGTGAGGAATTCACCGTTGAGACTGACCCCGGTGGACGCTTCAGTCTTTGCGATGACATTCACATGGTTGCTGAAATCTTGCCCCCGTCTGTTTCGTATTGTGTGGAATTTGTGCCTTGGTGCGTATTGTTTCAGCGGTGGTACGATCATCATGAATGGGTCGGTGCCGCTTCTCAAATTATCGGAGGTTATACCCTTGTTGTACTGGACCGTCATGCACGGTTTTGTAGATTTGAAAAACAGGGTTGAACGGGATCCGATGTTAAGTTCGATGTACCCTCCTTTCTGCACTGTTGGGCCTCGGGTGCCGAAACGTGGATTGTAAACAGTGGTATTGTCCTGACTGCAGATTATTCTGAATACATCACCTCGAAGTCGTGTGGCAATAGGAGCTGTCATGAAGGTACCTCCCCATGTAGAAACTGGGGGAATCTGTTCTACTAGATGGTCACAATATTGAGAAGTTAATGGTACAAAGGCACACGATGCCCCAGAGAGGACAGACACGGGCTTATCTGATAGAACCATTGCCCCGGTCATGTCACCGCCTTGTACAGCTTGCATGTACGATTCAAACTCATTAAGGGTAAAGTTAACAGCATTTGGCCAATCATAGCCATTGCGTTCTTCGTTTCTTCGAACGATAGTTACTTGAGTATTGTTCATAAAAGCGACCACGGCTACTTGGGCGAAGGTGGTGGGGAGGGCCCTGTATGAAGCAACAATGTACTCCTCGCGTACTTCTGGGTCTGTCATAGGAAGGGACAAGAATGAATCGACGGACAATCCGGCGTTTGAACCAAACACGCTAACACGCTTATCGGATGTGATCCGAACACCTTTCATTTCCTTCACGTTGTTTTCCAACCGAATAGTTCCTGGGCATTTGTAGACTAATGGCTCGTCTGGAGAAATGACGCGTGACATCGATATATTGAGAGCAGGAATATCCAGATTTACTGTTGTTTCAGCTTCTTCGGTCGTGACAATAACATCATTAGAACCAAGTGGACTGCCTCTGTATTGTCTATTGAAGACCAACATAAACCTGGTTCCCATTGCATTGATTTCTAAAAATTAGCAAAAGATCGTGCAATTATACAGTCAATCAAGCAAGACTGTTTTTACGTGGCAGGATACGCTTTATTTAATTTTCAGCTCATTTCGCACAATTAGTATAGGTTTCACTTATTTTTTACACTGCGCGCAGAGGTAGTCTGTTAAACCCTGTATTATCAAGGTCTTGCAAGAATTAAAACGTCCGTTTTCTTTCAATAGAATTGATATGAATATAGCAATTTATATTATGTATAAAAATGTAGACCAAGGAATAGGAAATGCCGGCTAACACGGCGAAATAATGGAATGAAGATTTGCCCGAGGGGCGTCGGATCATATTTGAAAAGGAAGATGCGTTTTCCAGAAAATATAGGTGGCGCGGGAAATACGTACGGGGCCGAAGGCCGCGCATCTTGGGGGGGGGGGGGGGTCCCGGAATCTATTTTCGAAGAGGTTATTTGGTGCAATCTGAGCGTTTTAAAAGACTTATCTAAATAGTTCTTTTCGATTAAAACTAAATCGGTGTTTATACATTTTATCAGATTGATATTGATACTACACACACAGTGACACAGACAATTTCGAAAATTGAACACCATTCGGTGCATTCTTAGCAATTTCAGAGCACAATATCCTGCACATAAAATCATTAGCATCATTGATTATAATATTAACCTGTGCTTGTTCATGGATACTTACCTAATAAAACTTTCAATTTCTCTGTTGTTCGGTTCAACATTTTTCTGTGTTGCTACATGCAACTTTTTGTTTAAGCGATGGATTCGTTTTTAAATTGTTAAGCCCGATAGATCTACAGCTAACATGTTCTTTTGCGAAAATACATTACAATTCAAAAAGTAGGCTTATACGTTGACTTCTCGGAACATATTTCTTTCAAATGATTTCTGGAAAAATTGGATGAAAGGCTCCACAAGATGAGCGTAGTGGCAGTTATAGGAAATACGAAAAAACGTTCACAGACTACCAAATTAAATTACACCTCCCTATTTTCGAACAAAAATACTCGTTTACGAGAATTTAAAAAAAAAACGTTTACGTGAACTGATTATTTTGTCGTTCATTGTAAAATGATATACACACCGGCAGTCAGTTCAAACTTCAGTGGAGTGGGATATTTACATCTTGAACTTCAGGAATTATATCACAGTCGTAAATTCACGAAATAATTAAAACATTATCGCTCTATCTATGGATGTAAAAATTAACAGGGTGAATGACGGACATTGAAAAAATTAAACACTTCAAGTGCTATAAAAATGTCAACCCTTTCAAAAAATAAAGAATAAATTATCTTAATGTAGCTATCTTGTACAATTTATTAAAAAATATCCACGCCCTGTGATAGGAAAAAATGAACGGAGGGGGGGGGGGAGAAAATTTAACAAAACTGCAATATTTATTTCTAAAGAAAAAGTTTAAAAATAAATCGCTATGGTGAAATCTGGTATCTTTTCTTAACGGATACACGACTAAGATGTGACATCTATTAAAAGGCAAAACGCCGCCAACGTGCAAAAGTCAATGTTTTTGCATGATATCTTAAACCGTGATATCTGAAACCCAAAACATACATAGAGGCCTACATAGGCCTACAGAAAACAGAAGTATTTGAAAAAAGGGACCTGCGTTTTCCAGAAAATATAGATGGCTAGGCAAGTGATGGTGTGGAAGAAGGCCGCGCATCTGGGGGTCCGGGGGAAAACTTCCCGTGAAATTTTTTTTGTCAGTGAAGACGTTATTTGGTGCAATCTGAGCGTTTTTAAGGACCATGAATAATTGTTTTCTGTTATAGAATAGTATTTTTTGAGGAATCTCATCAAAAACATTTTTGGGCAGGTTCAGAGGGGGGTGCGTTCGCCCCAAACGCACCCCACTTTCGTCATGACGCCGATGCCCTTCCTCACATTTGTTTTTATACTCAGCCTCTATGTTAAATCATTTTTGGCGGGCATTTTAAATTCTAATGATTATTCCGGGTGTTTAGAATTTTGCTTGTCATCATTTTAATGACTAATGTCAACGTGGTAAGGTGATCTCGTTCGAAGTGAAGATAAGCCCTACTCTCTCTATAACAACTTTCAGAACAATATTACGTGTCCTTATTGATATTCGATATTGGCTTATCTTATCTCGGCGCACTTTCTTCAAGATGACGTATGCCGCAACCAAAATATACTGAATGAAATTTCCTAAAACTTAATTTAAAATTCTTACCATTTTGCTGAGAATATGAAACTGCTATGGTCGCAGCCAGGATGACCAACAACGTCCACCCTTTAGCCATGGTGAGTGTCCGTAGAGAATGACTAGGGTGGTCAGTGTAGGAGGTCGGTGTATTAGTGACGACATTAGTGGACAAACGAACAGGGGAGTAGCCCTCACTTGACTCATCTTTTTAAGGGGTTATCTCAAACTTTATACTTTCAGAATTTTATTAAATGGGCGGGGTTAACAATACCAGATTCAATAAGACGTGCTATAAGCCAACTTATTGAAACTGGTCGGTACTTGGATATAGGAAGGTTGAGAACATCACATATAGAATGTTTAGAACGTTGGTATAACTATTTTAAAACCTGTTACACATGACCCCTATTTGACTAAACAAAAGATATTTGCCCTTTGTTTCAAGCATGCTTACATCTGGTTTGGATCATGTTTTTATCGAGGCATCATTCTTATCAACGAGATGTAATAAACAAAGGCTATTTCTATGGGTAACCTATTTCTTCAACTTGTTTTTTGTACAACTGTTATATCTTATGAGTTTTCAACAACTTATTTCATGTATAGCAGAGATTAAAACAAAAAGTAAATAATAACTTAATGATTAATGATACAAAAATTCAATTTATTTAAATAATACAGAAAATAATACATTAAGTACGTGTATAATGTATATGCATTGTAACACCCTGATAACAATGACACGTCATGCACTAACATACACATACAACCCTGACATGATATGACAATAAAGCAATCAACAAAAACATACGTCAATTAAATTATCTTAATAAGTACATGTTTTAAGCATCTCAAATGTAATGTACCGTGCATAAATATATATAAAGTATTCATAATGATTAAACAAGAATAAATAAATTAATACTTCAAACACATAAATGTTTATGGTACATAGTTATACAACGTCTTAGGTATGACGCCTACCCTTTGCATTCGTTTGACTTCACTTCTTAAAAGAGAGCTTCGTCTGTAGCTGTAGTTTAACTAGACTCTGCACGCAGGGTATATGACGCCCTGATACTCAATAATAGATGGCAGGACATGTAACGATTCGTCCTTATTCTTGACATACACTGTGTATATTTATAGTCCATGTATGTGCATATATCGCATACATATATGGCTGATAAAAACGCAACAAACAAATAAATCGTAAAACCGCAAGAACAGTGATGACTAACTGCATCTATTTCACTCAATGTACCATGAAACCACATTTCTGGTCTTTTCAATGATATGTTATTTATTTACATCAGATCATGGTTTGCTGAAAAATCATTGTTTTTGCAGTAGGCCAAAATCGGGTTTGGACCAAGTTTTAGACATTTGAAAATTCAGCACATGAGTCTGGTGCTGAAATGGCAAAGAAACGTAACCGTTGAATGCGTTGATGACTGCATTGATTTCATTCAATGTTCCATGAAGCTACATTTCTATTCTCTTCAAAGGTTGGTTGAATTAACATTCCTGTTGCAGAATGGGCCAAAATCAACTAGGAACCAAGTTTTAGACATTGCAAAAACCAGTGGCCAATGTCCTATTGGAAGGCGTGTTATGAACATATATATTAATTGTTCATACTCATAATCATGCAAGATTACAATTCATATCCATTCGCATGGTCACCATTTCTTTGCACTCAGATATGGACTGATCTTCCCATGTCAGGCAGGGCTCTTTGAGTCACCTGTGGGTTTCGAGTGAGGAAAAACAGCCCGTGGATGATTCTTTCTCGATGTGTTGCAATGTTGTGGATAAGAAGTGCTCTTGAGATAAGCCAAAAGGAAAAAGCCACAAGTCAGGTCAGGTCAGCAGATCTTCCAATAGCACAATAGCACAAGGCCCGTGCACTGACTTGCAATGTCTAAAACTTTGTCCAAAGCCGATTTTGACCTACTCTACAAATGGAATGATTATTAAGCCATCCACGACCCCAAATAAATGACATATCATTGAAGAGGAGAAACATGGCATTATGATACAATAAATAAAATTGATCCAATCATCGTTGTTTTTTGTGGATTTATGGTTTATTTTTGCTTGTTGCGTTTTCATACGCACTTAATTTTGAACAACAGGTGGCAAGTCATAAGCGATTCGTCCTCATAATGACTTATATTCACGATCCATATGCATGCACATGAATTATCCCCTCCCATTATATTATGCATATTTAAAAAAGAACACTGAACAGATCCCCCTAGCAAAAGCAGACTATATCAGTTGTCCAGTTTTAGTCCAAAATTCACCCAGTAGTGGTTCACTGATCTGTTTTGATTTTGTATTCAAGAACAGGACATGTGAAGAAATTCGCAGTGAATATCACGCCATCTCTTAATTGTTCCGAGATTGATACCTCCTCCTCGACGATGGGTTTGGCTTCATTTAATGAAACCATACAGTCAAGGCACTCCATATGTTTCACCAAGAGATATGGCCTTAACCCACCCACATCCTTCTGGAATCTCGCCCGGAATCCTATCGTTGAGCCCTCCTTTAGTGTCTCTATTATCGCCCTATATTGATTACCAGCGACTAGTATTATGTCTTGGGTGATGTTATTCTCGATAGGCATTGTAACCCAGATCTCAAATGTGTAATAATTGAGATTCTCAACGTGGCAATTACTTGTCTGGTTCTCTCGGACTTTGCAATATTCGTACATCGTCGCACCCATTGTGTCTGCGTCGCACTTGGGGTATTCCTCTCCATAGACGCATTTCAACCAGTGGGACAAAGTGTACGGTAAACTGTTGAAAAAGTGCTCTACATTGTTGGAAATTGCTGCAACCTTAACGAGTTTCACAGTTCCGGTCCATTCTACTTTACTATCAACAAATTGTAGGCATTTGATCTGGATGTCAGCCATATTTGATCTTTCCCAGGCCTTGCTGCTGCACAAGTTACGATAATCTTGCCATTTGATTGTCTGGTCCATGTGAACATGCCGTTCAGCTGGGGTATAGACGTACATAAGTGGCACAAAGGAAAATATTGCAACTCCGGCTAGGAGGAATTTCACGGCTTTTGATTTTGAATCCATTGTTAGGCCCCTGATCTTGAAAAACCCTTGTGACCATAAACCTAAAGCCGCTGGAATAGCCAACATTACAAGAGTTGTAACAATTTTAAGGACTCCCGTCAAAGTCAAAACTTTAACGGCGTAATACATACCTCCTAATAGCAACACAATGCTTATAACTGGCATAAGTACAACCAGCATAACGTAACCCAAAGATGCTCTAGCCAAGCCTGACCACGTGGAAAATGTGAAAAATAAAGCTGCCAGCTGCCACCAGAAAAAGAAAACCAAATGTGGAATGAGTTTCCTGTATGTTCCCTGCCAGGATTTCTGGATAGCTATAAGTAGGAAAACAATAGGGATCGTGACATAAATGAATGACGGTATCCCTACGTTGAGTTGTATCCCATTCATCACCTCAAAGGAGAAGATGCTACCAGTGAATACGTTCACAATATGGTAGAGGACTGGTATCCGAGGGAAGTCATGGAAGAACATAGGGAGGGTGGAGATGAAATTCAAGACCATGGATAAGATTAACATAATATCGTAAGTCTCACTTAGAGCAAAGAAGCACCAGAAACTAAACACGATGGATAGAATACACATCTCAGAACATGGTACCCAGACCTTACTGGCAACAGAAAATGACATTACTGAAACAATCAACATCGGAAAGAAAACCCAATACGGCGTCATGGTATGCCACGCGAATTCTGCTTCTGTAACATCATCACTCAATGATTCATTGAACTTCTTAAGAACCTTTGTCCATGATTGAACGTCTTTCAGTTTTTTCTTGCTGTGCATCATTTGTAGTGAACATATCACTAAAGCTGTGAATCCAACAGCTAAAGTGAATAATGGTAAGATGAACATAAAGGCCTTGAACGTCATAAGGCTGTACAAGAGAAAGGCTGTCAACATGTAAATCTGGTTGGTGGGGATCATTGACCGGAGCCAGTAAGAGCCTTGCTTTGATACCGTGTCCAGTGTGTAGTCAACCATTGCACCAGCTGTCTTGGTTGGGTATTGTAGAATCTGTAAAATACAATTATTAAACACCAAATCTTTTTCGACAGCATCTTGATTCACAATATTTCAGTTGCTCCAACACTTTGTGTTAAAACCATCCTGTAAGTCGAAGATGTGTGATAGATAATGAAGTTAACTTGAAGTTATGACAGAGGCCAATGGAGAACACGATTCAGTTACAAAATAGCAGTACAGAGAATCATCAGAGAATCCCTTTTTATTTAAGACTATACTGAGAGACCAGCTCTCTTCCAGATTAATAGATACATTATTTAGTTGATATACATAATGTGATAGCATGGGTTAACTTCCTACCTTGGTTCTAAGATTTGCTTGGTCAAATGCCACAGACTGAGGATCATCTTCATCCACCTTTGTCTCCAAGTCTACATGTATATCTTTTAACTTATCGTAAACCTTTGATATGAATACATCTTCAGTCAGTATTTCATCCACGTCTGGGGACACTAAAACACAAAAAAGGTCTTCAATGTAATGTAGACTATGATCTTTTATCAGTAACACTGTACCATTGACTTTTCTGTGGCAGTCATACATAGCAAAACACGAGGGAGCTATTAAAAAATCCCAGTGCTGCAAAAATCTGACTCTATATGTGTCAATGTGGGATTACATGTAGGTCAACCTTATGTAAGACAGATGAAACAATCATGGAAAATATAGTGCTATGTCAAATAATTTCTAATATTTGAGAGAGAAAGCCTAAAATGAGTATTCATCCAACATTTTCATTCTTGATCAGGCAATTCCTTTGACAAATGATCATCGACGATTGCTTTATTTCAAAAATAAATATTGATTTTTGTATGAAAACATGTCATATTATATACCAGTGGATAGGGAATTTACTTATTTTTAATTTGGTATATTAAAAGTTCAAAGGATGTGTCTGGATATATACCCTTTTGGTCCCTCAGTCAAATGAATGTGAACTATGATTTTATTACTGTCCTAGTTATATTTGATAAGTATATTTACTTTTTCACGAGTTTTGATGCATAATTAACCCCCTGCTGAGAGTCAGAATAAGTATCTTAACAACGACAAAAATAGTCATTATCATAGAAAAAACACCAATGGCAACATGTGTGACATACAAAGAAGAAATAACTTAAGACCCATGAAGAATAAAAAAGAAAATCATATTTTTGAAATATATTTAAGGACTAATTTTTTTCACATTTTTGAATTTCCCGCCAGTTTAATTTAAAGGGGGAAAAACAACATGGTTGGCATTTGATGTAAGAAATATCAGAAAAAAAGTTGCTTGACTTTTAGTTATCACAATGAGCACAGTTTTCCGGTTTAGTTTTTTTGACTGATTCTGACTCTTCATCACCAGGGTCATGTATAGAGATTATAAAATTGAAACCAAAATGTTGTGCTCAGCATGAATTTGACTGAAATATGTGTAACTTCACCAACACAATTGAAGTGCCAAAACTGGATGCTCAGTAACTTTGAGTGACTATAATCCATTGATTACCCAGATAAACACTAATTCACTTATCCAGAAATACCATTCAATGTCTATAAAAAGAAAGTAAGCAATGTTTTGGAGGATATGTTTCAAACTTTTTGTATAAACAATTCATTTAATATTTGCCATTGATTTTTTTCAATTCTAGCAAAGTGATATGCATTGTCTTTGATGCCAATATTTTTCATCAATTGTGATACAAATTAATATTTTTGTAATCTCAGAAGAAGGATAAGATATTGAAGTTTAATAATATTTGTGATTGAGTTGGTTTTTCAGACATTACAATTTTCAATATTTTCTAAGTCGATACCCAGACTCATTCCCAGACTCATCCTTTATTATAATGTCTGTCAACCAGCGTCCATAGTTATTTTAGTTTCAAAACGGGTTTTCCAAAACTTGCAAAAACCAAGTTTTATTGTCAATTTTATTTACATTAACAGACGTTCAATATGCCCACCATTTTGATCAATTGTAGCCCTCAATTTTGGCCTAAATTAGCCAATGGCATCATTGATATGCTGTTCACAATTCTGTCCTTAAGAGACTGATCATGAATAGATGTAATGGATTCACGGTACACTAATTCTGTTAGTTCTCCCCATACGTGGAAGTCGCAGACGTTGGGTGATCGGGTGATCTGGTGGAGGCAGTGATTAAGCCATCCTCCTAAGCAGGTGTCCAGAATCCGTACCTCCTTTTAGGCGGGATGAATCTAGGCACATTTTCCTTTAAACATTTGACTCTTGTGAGATCAATTGCTTGGAACCCCATCTTGTTGGAAAATGTAAAGATTCGAGAATGAGCTCATATCAGGATGCATGGTCTAAAAACAACATGATTGGATAATGCGTTGTCAATGTATGCGACTACCATGTATTGAGAGAATTAACAGAATTGGTTTACCATGAACCCCTTACATCTACTCAGTCCCTTATTAAGGATAGATTTGTTGCAAAGTGGAAATCATTGTCTCAACAGCATATCAATGATGCTTTTGACCAGTTAAGACCAAAATTGGGGGCAAAATGGTGGACATATTCATAGCCGTAGGCAGCGGGGGTTCGGTGGGTTCGAACGAACCCCCGGTCAGGATTTCCCAAAATATCATTTTGCGGAAAAATGCATATAACCAGAAACATTAAATTACTTTGCTATTTGAAAGCTACATATATGAGCAGTAAATGAATTGATATTTGTGATGGTGAACACGAGAGCCTCATTTTGTTAAAAATATGTCATGGTGAAGTTACACTTCCCTCAAAACTTTTGGCAACCTTAGGCACGGAGTGAGATTTAATTTTGGGAAGACCCCAGAGCATGAGATTTTACATTTAGAAATAACAATACAATTTTGCACAATTAACTTAAAAGCTGTTTCTTCTTGGACAAAATAACCCATCTTAGGGAATGGCTAAATCAAAATCAAGTATTTAGCAATGCTGTTAATTAAACTTACTAATCCTGACTATCTGTGCCATGTTAAAGTGTGGATGTAACCTGATATTTTAATGAGAGTTGCTAGTAACTTTAAAACCGGCCTTTAAGCCAGTTCTGGTCCAATACGAAGTTATTGAAAACAATGCAGACGTTCCATACTCCGAATGATTTTTACAACATTGACGAATAAATATCTTGAATAGTCGTAATGTTGATGAACCGCATGTTCTTTCAAATGTTTACATCTCTGTTTTGTTTTATTTCAATTAAAATTTTTAATATTTCTTGGGACGTCCCTGGGGCTGGAAAGTCCCTGAAACCAATTGCGTTAAATAATCAAAAACGTTGTAAAATGAATTATTTAAAAGCGTATATCATTTATAAACACAAGCATTTGTTCAAATTTATTCATTCTTTCATTCGTTCAGTATTTATTTACCCATCACTTTTGCAAAGAAAATAAATCATTGCAAAAAAAATGATTTTGTTTTTTCAGATACACTCCACTCATCTAAGAAATTGTATAGAATTCAAATTGTTATCGTTCCAGTTTACTTACCACTGAGCTCCGGGGACGTCCAAAGAAATATTTTTAACTTTTTAAAACAAAGCATAACAGAGACCCATTTATTTGAATAATACATATTTTCATCAGTAATACAACTATCCCGGATAGTTTAAAAAGCCTTCGAGTAAACGTTGTGAAAAGTTATCATAGAAGAAAGATCTTTCGGTGTATAGGGTGTTTGCGCCAATTTCAATAACCTTGCATTTGATCCGAACTGGCTTCCAACAAAATTCCTGAAAAATAATGATAAGCCATTGCATGAAGTGATTTATTTTGTCCTAGATGAAGTAGCTTAAGTTAAAGAATAAATTGTGCGAAGTAGTTGATATTCCTTGGAAACAAATCATGATCCAGGGTCTTCCAGAAATCAGACGAAATAATGGTGGATTCGGGGCAAACCAGATTTCAGGATACATAGTCAGTAAAAGATTCACCGAAATATATTTTGATGCAGAAAATTAATTGTAAGTTGTGTGACTTTTTTGCACGTTGCCTATTTATTTTACTTTGTGAACATTAAGGTTTCAAAGCTACAAGGTCATTTTTGAAAATCATTTTTACGTCCAGTGTTATTTCAATGGAAGAGGTTTCTTGATAAGGCCTATTACTTTCAAACTTTGCTTAACGTAAATAAAGACATCATTTTTGTTAAATAGAATTCAAATTCAATTGTCTACTTAACTTAATGAAGGTATTAAACTGAATTATATTTCCCTTCCCAAAATAGTTTTTTCTTTATAAGAATTCAAACTTAAAGATGCTTTAATACATAATCCAATGGGTTAGTTAGGATTGCCAAACTTTTGGAGGGAGTGTAATTGTACAAATTGCATTATTTGAGGAACCCTAATGAAGGGGGGGGGGGATTTGTGAATAACATAAAAATAGAACCCCCGGTCACCAAATCCTGGCTACGCCACTGATATTGAAGGTCTGTTTGTGTAAATAAAGTTGACAATAAAACTTGTTTTTGCAAGTGTTGGAAAACCCGTTTTGAAACTAAAATGACACCATTTATATTATGGACGCTGGTTGAAGACATTATAGTAATTTGAACTTATGATATACCAAATTAAAGATAAGTAAATTCCTTGGTATATAATATGACATGTTTTCATCATGAAGGTCAATATTTATTTTTGAAATACGAGTGTCCCATTTTTGGACCTCCCTGTATTTAGTATCCATATTCTGTGAAAGTTTCAATAAGAAATACTTTTGAGACGGACCTAATGTCTGGGGGTTTACAGTTCAGGACTTTACATGTCGTGGCATCTTCATTTGTGATTTAATGATTCTGGTCTGGCGCTTCGATCATTCACAACTGTTAAATCTTTATAAATATAGACCTAATAATTTTCAAATAACGGTCATGTCTTACCAATACTGTTGAGAAGTTTCTTCTCAAATCTCGAGGCATGTATTTTCTTTATGGAATCTTTGAATGCATGTGCATATATTTCTGTTTGTCCGAACGGTGATATGCTCTTGAACAATTTCTTAGCGGCATTCCTAACAGCTTTGTCACTCTCACTTGTGGTAAGACACCACTTCACCTCATCAATATTGGTGTCAGTGATACCTAAAAAACAGACACGTGTCTCATAAATTGCTCAATGTCTTCTTTGTCACTCTCGCTTGTGGTAAGATACCAATTCACCTCATCAATATTTGTGTCAGTGATACCTAAAAGAACAGACATTTGTCTCTTGCAGAAGACTAAACTTCGACAATTCTGCTATTATTGCAGAGGTATATTTAGAACTTGGGCAATCTGATCAATACAAATAAAAAATAAAAAATGAATTCCATCAAGACCATGAAACTGTGTCAAAACATCCCAAAAAGACCATGAATGTGTGTGTCAAAAAAAAATGAATTCCATAAACACAATAAACTTGTGTGTCAAAAATCAAAAAAAATGAATTTAACCCTAACCTTAACGCTATAGTCAAAACAGAAATGTTTGTGAGTACTTTGAATTTAAAAAATAAGCAATCAAATGATCATATTGAAACAGTTTATGTAAAAATAGAAACATTTATATTTATCCTAACTTTTGTATATTTTAGTTTGTTTTCTAGTTTAGCTATCATATCTGTGTCCTCCTCTTATATTTTGATACTTCTCTGCAATGTTATTTTCGGAAAAATTAACATGGCTGAAACTCCCTAAATTACAAAAGGCAACAGCTTTGCTGCACATTATACATTACTATCTGAAATTAACAAAAGTTAGGATAAATATAAATCTGACTATTTTTACATAAACTGTTTTAATATGGTCATTTGATTGCTTATTTTTTAAATTCAAAGTACTCACAAACATTACTGTTTTGACTGTAACCCTAAGACTATGAATATGTATGTCAAAAAAATCAAAAAAAGTTCTAGATATACATGTTATTGCAATACCTCAAGCGCCCGAATTATTATGACCAATACGGAAACTCTTAAAGTGTCTCACATATTCGATCAAAATTTGCCATGCAAACATGTTAGTCTACTTTACTGGCCCCCCTTTCTGTAACAAGGAACCCAAAACACATTAAAACGTAAACATAAACCAATTAGTCACTTCACTATGAAGGTGGGGGGTGTTAGCAAATGTATTGTGTATTAGCAGGACTAACACAATATCAGTGGTCATTTACTGTATCAACTTAGTAACCCTTGCATATCGTGCTCACTCAAGTATTGAATAATTTTTTTATGATCTAAATGTTTGTGGTTTATAAAAAATGTGATATATTTTAGTTAGAAATACATTAATTAATATATTCATTCAAACAGCACTAGAATGCGGGAAGAAAGAGCAATGGTGACAAAATGCAGACAGAATTTTCCGTAAGGGTTTCAAACATTTCTGAACACAATCATACATGCACTTCATGTGTACTGTTATTTTCAGTGCTGTATTTATAGATATAATTTCACGTATTAAACTCATTTTTTTCCAGCAATGACTTCAAATTCGGAACCACACCCATATCACATTTTCTTCAATAACTCCAAACATGTGTAAACATTGACCATGTGCATATAAATTCAGATTTCACGAGCTCTTTCCTATTCGAGTACCTCATACACCCCTGCATGGATTTGAGTTGGATTCGCCTTTTATACGTGAGCCGACACACTCGCAAACGCTGATTGGATAAAGATTGCGAGAATCTTTAAAACGATTGAAAACCTTAACTTACCCCTTCCTTTAGCCAAACAATCCCTCAGTATATCATCAGCCTCTCTACTGCCATCTTTTGAGGCACTGATGAGCTTCCCCACGGCATCTTCTTCCAATGTAGTGGCATACTGACTCGTTGCAGCATCCTACCAAAGTCAGTTAATAATGATTTGTCTTGAATTTAGTCCTTGTGTTATCTGATCTGATCATATCTCTAATGAAATATATAGATGGGAAGGAAGGGGGGGGGGGGGGTGGTTGATATTGAGACACAAACAGATTCGATACAACACAAGTAACATTATCCATATTATTGATCCCTTTTATATGTGAGATATTCAATTCATATTATTCATTTAGTAGATTTTGGACTTTGTATCCTCTTCTAAAAGTGCCCTTGTCTAACATAATTTCACTTGAAATGCATTTTCTTCATTGCTCGAATATTACTAAGGTGTTTAGTAGTTATAGCATTATATCATGACTTGTTTTACCTTTAAAAGTTTCTGGGCGAGGTGTATAGGCTCCTGTAGAGCAGCATCTTGTGCCACCTCCTCAACATGTTCTACATCATTTTCAATAGCAACATTGTCATCATCCTTAGGCTCTACCCCGCTAGTCGAGCCTGTATGTTTGTCCTCCATAGGGTTGTCATCGGATGAATGGAGAATAGCACCAGTCGACTCTGAATTACATATTCGAGTCATTCAATTTTATTTGAAACATTTGGTAAATGACAGCACTGGAAGTAAGCAATTTGCTTCATGCAAGAAGTTAAGGTGCTATGGAAGTTAACAGGAAATGACAAAACAGGAATGACAAAATTTTTTACATTTTTAGATATTTTTTGAACAAAGATAATAGAGTTCTGTTTTAACCTCCAGTCAATTCAACTAGTTCCAAATACCATTTACAGGTCCAGAATTGCAATGTTCATGGTCAGAATGACCCTAACATGATGAAATAACCTTTTCAGCCCTCTGAAAATATGACTGAAAAATAGCTAAAAGAAGGAGGTAGGAAAGGTCACTGAACAGAATCTTTCGAATTTTTCAGAAAATGTGCCCAATATATTGCTCTAAATGATACAATCTTTGAAAATTTGATATCATTCTAAGAAAAAGAAAAAAATGAAAATGCTGATTTGAAAAGCGATCTATTTTCCTTTTTATGACCGCCATTTTTGTTTAAGACAATTTTCTAAAATTTCAAAGATTGTATCAGTTAGAGCATTATATTGGGCACATTTTCTGAAAAATTCAAAAGATTCTGTTCAGTGACCTTCCCTAGCTCCTACTTTAAGCTTTTTTCAGTCACACTTTCAAAGGGCTAAAAAGGTTATTTCATCATGTTTAGGGTCATTCTGACCATGCACATTGTGATCCTGGTCACATAAATGATGTGTGGAAATAGTTAAATTGACTGGAGGTCAAACCAGAACTCTGTTATCTTTGTTCAAAAATGTCTAAAAATGCAAAACTTTTTGTCACTTCCTGTTTCGTCATTTCCTGTTAACTTCCATGGTACCTTAAGATAAATAGACATATTTAAAATATTCTGACGCATCGTTTATAACTCTACGAAGCTTCAAGCATGTGTTGGACACGCATTGATTTTGATGACACACAATCAATGTGCCCAGTTGCTTCAATATGAGCGTATTCCATGCATGCTCCATCGAATGGACGCATTATCTAAGCTAAGTAACCGTGCATGTAGTGTAACTGTTTTGATATACAGCAACAGGTCCACCAAATGGTGCCCAGCGGCGTAACCAGGATTTTGATAGCAGGAACGCGAGGCCTTTGCATTTTCTTAAGGACTCTTGGTCCGACTTTTTACCACTGGCTTCAGGGCTCTGAGTGGCTAAAACCCGTCTGTCACCTTTTAATTTATGTATTTCTTTGCATTTGTAAATATAGATGGCAACCTGGTACCGTACACACACCTTTTATCTACACACGATAAAAACAAGTATAAATAGATGAAATACGAATAAATCAATGAAATTATCGTATGTGTGTATAGACTAAACTGTACAATGGTGAAAAAACGATTGCCCTACAAAACAAACCACAGTTTAAAACATTCAAGGTACATTCATAACGAATCAAGTAAAACCCCAGGCGTTGCTTCACTTCCCGGGCTTCGTTTACCTTTTACAAATTCATCTCATTAATTTATTAATGACAGTTGAAATGTCATTCATAATTACACCGTAAGAACGTATCACCTGTGGAAGTCACCCACATATTATGTGATGCAGCCTGCAAAGCTGACAAAGGTCTTGCTAGAGGAAAAATAGACTGGAAAATGTTACAAACTCGGCGTTCTAAGTTCTAACGGAGTGATATTGGTGCCATAGTGTCAGTACTTGTTATTCAGTGGATGATGTCGCTGTGACCTAGCCTTCAATTACTATTTGGTTTTTCTACTCTCTTCTGTGCATTTAGATAGTCAGGTGCCTTTATTATAAAGGGTGGAGCGTGTATTTGTGTGGGGAGGGTACCGTTTTGGGGATCTTTATTGCCTTCTCCAAATAAAACAATTTATCCCATACTTGGACGTGTTACGGGTACATAAAGCCGGTTTGTAAAAACAAAGATTTGAATAGGAAAGAAACAGGAATACAAAACTGGACATGAATATTTAAAGAATATTCAACGGTTGGTTGCAAAGTTTCTGAACTTTGGCAAATTGAACAATGTGATTGGTATGGGATAAACAGATCATCCTATAGTCGGTTCAGGATATTTGGATTATCCCTTGGTCAATATAATATATCTTCCCTCGGGACCTACGGCCCTCGGGCAGATATATTATATTGGCCTCGGGATAATCCCAATATCCTGAACCTCATATAGGATAATCTCTATATATACATTATTGTTATGAGCTCTTAGGTGTTCGAGTATCATATCTTATTGAGAAGCTACATGTATGGCTAGCTCCTAGTCGAGTAATTAGGTATTCCAAATAAACCCTGATAAATAAGAATAAAAGTGTAATGTGTCGGAAATCAAAAGCGTTTTTCTCAGGAGGGGGGCTTATATACAGTTGGGGACATAAATAAATGACAGGTGGATTTGCTGAAGTGAGGATTTCCCATGTTAAAAATAAGAGAATTTACAAGAGGCCATACAGTTGGGGACATAAATAAATGACAGGTGGATTTGCTGAAGTGAGGATTTCCCATGTTAAAAATAAGAGAATTTACAAGAGGCCATACATCAGTGGATGAGATTATACAAAATGTAAAATATACAAATTTTAAGGGATATGTATCAAGACAATATTGGAAATTATGGGCTTTCAGACCACCATAATTAGGAAATGGTGATCGAAAATCGACCTGTCATTTATTTTTGTCCCCAACTGTACATCAGTGGATGAGATTATACAAAATGTAAAATATACAAATTTTAAAGAGACTCTATTGAGACTTCTCTGTGGCATTTTTTCTTTATTCCTTTTTGTTTTGAATTTTTAACACCATAACATTAACTGACTACTCAATATGCAACTTTTCACCGCGTAGAATTTTAAAATATTAAGTTTGAAAATTCCATTTTTATAATGGAGCTCAATGGGAAAAACTACATAATTTGAATTATTTTCAAACGTAGCGGCGCGATTTTGATAAAATTGACAGATATAATAAATATTGGTAAGACAAAATGTTTGATGAAAAATGAAGAAAATTAACCGTCCTGGTTACGCAAACTATAGAAAAATCTGAAATAATCATAAAAACCTGTAAAAATAGATTGAAGGGGGTGATATTCATTTTTAATGTGCCTTTCACGACTACAGGGTGACCATAATTTTGGTACTGATTTGATTTTTCAATGAAAATCATTTCTATAGTGTATAGTCAGTTTAAATAATACAATTGGTATATTTCTTTACTGAACAGTGCAATCATTTATTTATTTATCAACAGTAATGCAAACTACATATTATACAGTTAGTAAAATATTAAAATAATTCTATTAAAATTAAAGCATTGCCAGAATGTGTTGACAGCTGGCAAAAAATTGAAGAATTTGAAGAAAAATAGCCACCCAAAGACACTTACACCTGCTAATTGCCACTTTGCAAAGAGTTTATTTAAGCAAGAAAACTATTTGGAAAAACGTAATTTCGGGTTGAACATGGTACCCACCACTCTGGTTACCTTAGCAACCATCTCTCAAGAAACAATCAAAATTGAGGTCCCAAAGGACCTTATACACCCTCCATTGGGATCTCCCCATGAGAAAAAAATAATTCATCTGATTTTTCAAAATGAGTATTCTGCTTTAATTATTACATTTATATGCACACTAGTATCTTGTTGACCTATATTCAGCACTGTTTTGATGTATAGGCCACTTATTAGGGTCATAATTCAATCATGAAGTGTAGAGGCATATGATTCCAAACCAGGAAGTATTTTTGTGTCTGTCAAAATCCATTTGCATCCTACGCATCCCTACATCTTATCCAAATATGTTACTACATAATGAAATAAAATAGTATATTCTTTGGTTTTACAAAGTTGTATGATTTTTGATAAGTGTAAAAGTTGTTTTTGGAGCATTTTTCTATAGCCATTTTGTAGGGAAAAAATGATGAAAAAATGTACAATCTTTTAATTTTAAGTCTGACCTGAATCGATTGCAAACTTCATATTTGCACATTTGATGAGATAAACCATTAGTGCCAAATTGTGAAATTATTAAGTTTGCAATCGATTCAGGTCATAGTGTATTTTTGGTATTTGTGTGATAATCAATAGAAACCAATGGCCTCTATTGGGATCTGCTGATATCCTCATGTTAAGTCAATGAAGCACAGCCCCATGTAAGGCAATACAACCTTACTAAACTAAATGGCCCCTATCTCAGCCTATGTGTGCCCGAGCATTTTAATATTTTCCAAAGAGTTATATGACATTCTATTCTTCATGTTACACCTAACAATTATTTATTTTGACCATAGGGGTATTTGCCAATAATCGCACCTCTTTCTTTTAACATATAATGTATAAATGTATAACACATATGTGTACCAAGTTTCATTGTAAAAGTCCTATTTTCCTTTAACTGCAAAACTTTTTGAACCACCTAAGTATATACCTTATTAGATGCAGTGAAGAGTTAAATCATTGGGATATGAATAAATCATGCAAAACATATTTTGTACATATTTCTCATCATTTAGGGTTACCCAGTAGTTTACAAGCTGACCTTTGCAAAATATATTTCACTTACTATCCTCATTCGCTATCACGCTATCTAGTTTCTTTCCAAATTGGCCTGGATTGCCTGATTTATTGGTTTTAGCGAACCGTGCATTTCGTCGAACCATCATTTTGCTAAGGTTGTTTGTGATGAATATACAATATTCAGTTACATATAACTGTACAGCAACTTTATGCAAGGGAAGGTAATTGTGTGAGAGCACATAAAGTACATGAAGTATTGACCCACTTGTCTCAGTGAATCTTATAAACAGTGCATAAAGTTTTTTCTATGCAATGATTGGCTCACAGTTACTTATAGTGTAAGTTATTTTATTTCTATACAGTGTGGAATAGAGTGTATAAACTTTTACAGTTTCAAGCAGGTTTTAGTGTTTTCTGACCAATGATATATTCAGACTTATTCATTTCACGATTATGTAATACTGACCTACATATCTGTATAGCATATCTTTAAGGGATATATATCTAGACAATATTGGAAATTATGGGCTTTCAGACCACCATAATTAGGAAATGGTGATCGAAAATCGACCTGTCATTTATTTTTGTCCCCAACTGTACATCAGTGGATGAGATTATACAAAATGTAAAATATACAAATTTTAAGGGATATATATATCTAGACAATATTGGAAATTATGGGCTTTCAGACCACCATAATTAGGAAATGGTGATCGAAAATCGACCTGTCATTTATTTTTGTCCCCAACTGTACATCAGTGGATGAGATTATACAAAATGTAAAATATACAAATTTTAAGGGATATATATCTAGACAATATTGGAAATTATGGGCTTTCAGACCACCATAATTAGGAAATGGTGATCGAAAATCGACCTGTCATTTATTTTTGTCCCCAACTGTACATCAGTGGATGAGATTATACAAAATGTAAAATATACAAATTTTAAGGGATATATATCTAGACAATATTGGAAATTATGGGCTTTCAGACCACCATAATTAGGAAATGGTGATCGAAAATCGACCTGTCATTTATTTTTGTCCCCAACTGTACATCAGTGGATGAGATTATACAAAATGTAAAATATACAAATTTTAAGGGATATATATCTAGACAATATTGGAAATTATGGGCTTTCAGACCACCATAATTAGGAAATGGTGATCGAAAATCGACCTGTCATTTATTTTTGTCCCCAACTGTACATCAGTGGATGAGATTATACAAAATGTAAAATATACAAATTTTAAGGGATATATATCTAGACAATATTGGAAATTATGGGCTTTCAGACCACCATAATTAGGAAATGGTGATCGAAAATCGACCTGTCATTTATTTTTGTCCCCAACTGTACATGTATTCGTATTGTATCCCAGTCATGGATGTACTTTGTACATGTTACCTTCTTCTAAGGCCACTGTATTGGCTAGAGACTCGAGTAATGTACATGTAACTTGTTAGTCCGAATAAACGACTATATGGTCACAGTCTACTCGACCCCACTAGAGAGTGCATAATACATTACCTCGCTGACAAGTCAAGAGTCTCAAACCCAAGCATATTTACACAATAAATTGCTGAAAAAACAAATGCCGACTCACCTTCTCTCGACATGTTTACTTCCGCATACAAATTCCACAGGTCACATGACAGTCATGTGATCTAGATCGATATGATCATTATAAATATGATGAGGAGATCTCGTATGATTCCCCGGGTATGATTCTTTTCCGTTTTGTCGCCGTTTTGTAATGTGGGGTGGGGGGGGGGGGTGAAATAAGGTGGATGCTCAGACACATGGGTAAACTTATTATGTTCTATTTTTTGCGTCTAAGATTATTATTACTTAGTAGCCCGCCCCAGTCAGTGGGCCCAAATTTTGACTTGATCAAAATTTTGCTTGTAAGGGCCCTAAATTTATTTTTCTGAGTCGAAATGTGCCCCCCCCGTTATGTCTCTGACCCGGTCACTTCTTAATGACCACATTATCAGTAGAACAAATAATAGCCTGGATATGTCCCAACTTGACTTTTTGACTTTTACCTGTGGAGATACATATACGCCAAAGGTAGAGTGTACTTGAGAACCCCAGGACACTCTGCTACTCACCTAGTTACGCTGACGATACCGTCAGCGTAACAAGATGGAAGAACTTCCGGGCTTCGTTTTCGGTAAAATATTTTTATTTCTCGATTAGTTAAGTTGCGGACAATACTTTGGCTAGTTTAGTTTGAGAATATGCAGGCGGTTCTATGTTTGGTATATTAACGAAGACGCAATTCACATATTTAGTCCCTCGCTTTTGTTACGTTGACGATCTTCACGAATATTGTCACATTGGCAACATCACATTGACGTATCGTCAGCGTAACTAGGTGAGTACCAGTGGGACCTCTAAAGGGAGATCACACTCGTGTCGTTCCTTCATGCCATACTATCTGCTGAGGAATGCTGTCATTGAAAACTTTGACCAATGTGAATGTGTGCACTTTTTGCCTACAGCGTGATGGGCCATCTGGAGTATGTTGTGCAAAGGGCTGTAACTTTAATTCTATCATCTGAAGTAAAAGTATAGGCTTCCCATCGAATTACTATCGAAGTCGGTACTGCACAATACATAAACAAAAAATCTCAGAGTACATATATCATTGATCGAGAATTACCGATATTTTGACAATTATGAGGTCGTAATTTAGAGGAGATTTAATTTTTTAATTGTTAAGATACCATCGTATACCATCAGAAATGTATTTTATTGAATTCTGAATGGGTATATTTAAATTTTTCAGTTTTATTTATGTCAATCCTTTCGCGCATCTTTTTATACTTACATCAAATGTGTACCTACACTATTGATGCCAACTCACATCTATCATCAATGGACGAATCTTTATCAAATGGGCTGATAGCCTAAGTGTTGATAATAACGCGCAACGATGATATCGTCTGTGCCTATGATTTAAGATGGAACTTAAACTAAACAAGATTCAAGATTTTATTGTGTTTCAAACTGACGTTTCGGTTTCCTCACAAAATCAATGTGACAGTTATTATGCAGTAAAATATATTGCGTCATCTCCGACTCTTGTGCAAAAACCGATTAAACAAACACACGTATGGCCTTTATTCCGTTTCACTACCAAGCGAACCGCACAATTGGCCTCACGCCCAGGGATATTGGGAAGGCCTACATATTCTATTCAAGGGCGTTACAATACCCGGGAATTTATCGGTTCGTCCAGTACTTGTTTGTGATAGCGCCCTCTGTAGGTCACTGTGCTTATAGCCTACAGTAATCCCTAATTATATTGGATAATCACATTTATGCGTGCGCGCGCAGCTCATCCAATGAACGAAACGCCACTTCCCGCTGAAATCACCGGGTATTGATCTTTCCCTTGTTCTATTTAGAATAAAATGTAAAATAGGGATAATAACTGCTCACTGTGCTCACGTCTACCTACTGACTTTATTCTTAGCTTATATATGTTTCAAAGCAACTACATTTTCACGTCAGTTTAATATCCTGAGTAATTTTTTTGGAAGAGTACATTAATATGGTCGTCCTTGAAGCATCGGGTCTGATGATTTCACCTTTGACCACTCAATCAGCACATCCTGGCCTAGTTTGTGGAGGCTTTTTAGATGTTCATATGGTGTTGATCGCTCTTCGGGTTTCACACGGAGATCTTTGATAAGTCCACTGTAATCGGCCATGTTGTTAAGCTTGTCAATTGTAGCAGCATAGTATACCTTTTCAAGCCTGTTATGAAATTTAAATAAAATTCAAGGTTTAATTTTAGATGTGATGGACAGTACATTGAGCCTTAATATTTCAACCCATGCTTTGATATTATTTGGTGACCTTTTGTAGTTGGTCATTCTTCAAAAATGTACAGTCATTGAAACAAACAATCAAAAACCAACCAATCAAGTCAAAAACAAACAAACAAACAAGTAAACTACCTACCTTGTGTACCAAACAACACTGGCACACATGGAACATGGTTCACAACTGGTGTACATCACACAGCCCTCAAGATAGTTACAGTTCAAGTTACTACAGGCATTCTTGATGGCCTGAACTTCCCCATGTGCTGTTGGATCGTTGTTCTTCAGAACTTCATTCCACCCTTCACCTGGTAGCGCATGCCATCGATATGATAAAATGGAAGTTCAGTTTTGATATCTGACAATTCTATCCATGTCGTTCAATAGTCAACAAGGAAGTGAATGGTACGGAAAATAACTTTATTGAAATAGAATGTTATACTAAATATAGACTTACTCTTATAAAGTAAAACATATTGGGAATATACACTTTTTAAAGTGTCACCCAATTCATATATTGTATTTTGTGTGTATTTCAAATAATAAATAAACATAAACATAAAAAACTCGAGCACAATAGATTTCTCAACTCACTTAAAGCAATCCGGTATAACATGCAGTACTATGAACGAACATTATTGAGTTTAACTTCTAATCTTCATACCTACAATTTTCCCATTTTTTACAATGACTGCAGCAAAGGGAGCACCATCAGATCGTTCTACAGCATGTAATCGACTCAGCTCAATAGCCCTTTCCATGAATCTTGCATGAATAGCATCTGCATTTGTGGCCATTGTCCAATTCGTTAACACAACTGATGAACGACAAGAGACTAGTGATCGTGTTAGTTGAGGTTGAATACAGGGCTTTGTATAAAAAACCTCCTACCTCATACCCACCCACCTACGTGGGACATGATACAGTCATTGACGGGTTTAATTTTAAAGATTTTTAAATCTCAAAATAGCTCTAATTATTAACATTTCTACAATTCCGGCTTTATTTTATGACAAGACGGATGATAGATCCATAAATAAAGGCATATGGGTGCATTGTAATGTGTAATGACCCGAAGGCGCCCCAAGGGAATAACTAGCTAACGACCGCGATCATAGGTCCAACGGTCCAACCAGTCAGATAAAGAAATTGAAAGAAAGTGTGCTAAATTCGATGCCCCGAGTGGGAATCGAACCCAGCTGGGCTGTAGTAGCAACTTGCTATATTTCTATCAAGGGTCGTTACAAATACATCTATAATTCATCATAAACTAAGATTTAATAAACTAAGATCTTTAAAATTGAACCCTTCAAAGACTGTATCATGTCCAACGCACGTGGGTAGGTGGGTATGAGATAGAAGGTTTTTTATACAAAGCCTGAATACAGTCTACATAGAGTGTATAGGTTCTCCTTAGTTATTATCTCTAAGCGATATGCGTGTACGTAATCGATCGTGCTTATATCAATGCAGTATAATAATAAGGTGAGGTTAAAGATATGCTAAGCAGATAAGTAGGTCAGTATTACATAATTATGAAATGATTAAGTCTGAAAATACAATTGGTCAGAATGTACTAACACCTGCTTAAAACTGAAAAACATTGCATGCTATATTCCACACAATTTGGAGGCTTTTGAAATTCGCAGTAACAATGAATAAGTGCCTGTATGTAATCATTACATAGAAAACACTTCATGTAGTGTTTATCAGATGTATTGAGTTGACCAAAATACTCCTTTGTTTACTATATACTGGACTACATACTGGCACCCTTACATATATGTTACTGTACATATTGTAGAATTAGCCCATAAAAGCTTTGCAAAATTAACATATTATATTATCAATGCAATAAACGGCTTGCTCAACCTTATAGGCAAACTATTATAGACAAATTTGAAGATAAGACTGATATTGTCACACTGAATTATGATAATAAGTAAATAATATTTTTGTAATATTTTGCACTGGTATAACCATGTGCAGTAGAATAATACACAGGGTTACCCTAAATTGTAGAAACATGAATATGTTTCTTATAATTAATTAATTCATATATCCCAAGGATTTCACCTGTTCCCTTCCTGACCAAACCTTGTTTTACTTTTGATGTTTTACAATAAATAAACTACTCTTTTTGACATCTTATCATTTTTATTTCCATATGTTATTGAAGTGAGAACTCAAATGATCAATGGGAAAACAATGCTAAACTTGAACACTGAAATAGGTATTCAAGCAGGCCTAGGAATATATGGCTAGAAAAAGATGCTACAAGGGCTACAGGTGGACAAACTTTTCCCCCTGAAAAGCATTTTAGGGGTCAGATCACTAAATTCATGATTGCATTGAAAAGCTTTGAATGCTAATTTTCAAGAATGGATGTATTACCAAAGAAGAAAATATGAAGATTTCATATCGTTAACTTTGAGTGATTATTTAGTGTCAGGTTTTGTCTCTAGTGACAGCATGTTACTGAATATCTCTTCAAGTGACCTAAACTACAGCAGCTAAAATAAGCATACCGAAATATCATAATTCAGTATGATTCGGAGAAGGGGATTTTACAGTTATAAGGGATTAGCAATTCATTTATTATCTTACAATTTAGCTGAATTCTCGAATTTGAAGATCTAGTGCTATATTGTTTAATATGCATAATAATAATAGATCGATTTGATGGTATGTGATATGATCGATTTTACCTTTTTGTCATCATTGCTAAGGAATACAATAATACCATTCCAATTAATGATAACTCACTTATTGTATTACTTGTGATTGATACATATGCTGGAAGATATGCTTTTAAAATTGGTAAACCATTACCAAAACTATGGTTACCATGTAGTAGTGAAAGTCACATTAAAAATGATTATCACCCCCTTCAATCTATTTTTACAGGTTTTTATGATTATATCATATTTTTCTATATTTTGCGTAACCAGGACGGTGAATTTTCTTCATTTTTCTTCAAACATTTCTTCTTACCAATATTTATTATATCTGTAAATTTCAAGAAAATCGCGCCGCTACGTTTCAAAATAATTCAAATTATGTCGTTTTTCCCGTTGAGCTCCATTATAAAAATGGAATTTTCAAACTTAATATTTTAAAATTCTGCGTGGTGAAAAGTTGCATATCGAGTAGTTAGTTAATTTTATGGTGTAAACAATTCAAAACAAAGGGAATAAAGAAAAAATGCCACAGAGAAGTCTCATTAGCATATCTTAAATTTCTCAAACATTTTCAAAGATGGCCGAAACAGGAAGCACATGTTTTTTTTAGTAAATTTCAAAATTTATGACTTTCAGTCTGACTTTGTCTCAATTTTGTTGGTTCCATCTATCATTTATATGACCAAGCTCATTGTGGTAATAAATACAGAAACACTTATGGATGAATAAGAATTTTAGAAAAAAACTGTTCTTGGAAGTGTACCCTTCTTTTGGCCGCCATTTTTGTTGGAGTCAATTTTGCAAAATGCGTGGTTCAGTTAAAATATTTGTTTGAAGGAAATTTTTGGATAGCGGATTTTATTTAATATTCCCTGAAAAATGTTTCATAAGCTTTGTTTGACAATTTTTATCAACCTTTCACAGTTTTTATTGTTCTACACAGTATGTACAAGGTGTTCAAAAACGCAAAAACGCAACCCAAAGAAATCGCTTTATCTTGAAAAATACTGGTTCAATTATGTTCATATTTTCAGGAAATAAAGAAGAGACTGTGTATGTATAGCTCCTGTAAATGGTTAGTTGTAAAACATGATGCCTTGGACACCTGCTCAAAAGACAGTTGTACTAGGAAAATACGAAAAACGCAGTCAAGGGTGACTGCAACCTCAAAAAATTAAATAACTGTCTAACCATAGTGTTTTGGCTCTTCAAATTTGGCACAAATCATCTTCATTCACTGTTTGGTAAATCTGTAGAGTGAAATCAAAATCACTTCAGGGACTTTACAGTCATGGTTGAAATGCTTTCAAATCGCAGTCAAACACCCTTGGTCCAGGGAGACTAAGAAGGCATTTTGACCATGACTACAAAGTCCCTGGAGTGATTTTGATGAAACTCCGAAAATTCACCTAACAGTAACAATGAATGAGAATAATTTGTGCCAAATCTGAAGTGCAAAAACACCAAGGTTAGAAAGTTATTTGGTTTTATTGCTGTGGCGGTTTTCGTGTTTTCCTAGAACAACTGTCATTTGAGCAGGTGTCCAAGGCACCATGTTTTACAACTTACTGACAACAGGAGCTATACATTCACAGTCTCTTCTTTCTTTTCCTGAAAAAATGAACATAATTGAATTAGTATTTTCCAAGATATAGTGATTTTCCATTCGCCTTTTTCGTATTTTGCTAGTACAACTGTCTTTTGAGCAAGTGTCCAAGACATCATGTTTTACAACTAACTAACAAAAGGGGCTATACATACACAGTCTCTTCTTTCTTTCCTGAAAATATGATCATAATTGGATGAGTATTTCCCAAGATATACATAATGTAGCTATTTCCTTGGGTTGCGTTTTTTTAACACCCTGTATAATATTGATAATATAACATAAACACCTATGGAACAAAAGAGTTCGAAATAGCAATTGTCAGGAAGAGTTTTGAAATTTCAGTCTTCAACATTATAAATCAAAATTTCTGTTAACTTTCTCTTCACCTTGAGTATTATTTACTTTGGCCACGAACGAATGTGTGTAGCTAGTATGAGTTAACAGACCTGCAATCAAAAATTAAAAGCATTACGGTAGCATTAGAATTTTTGCGGATGATCAGGTAGTTTCTCGAATGTGCGGTATTTTCCGATATACGTAGATATTCAAAATATGGTAGTATTTCCGATAGAATATATAGTTCAGAAACCTGATATTTGCTCTCTTACGTCTGCGCAAATTGTTAAAACGGAATTCCCCATATTGTTTGATTTAAGAACAGCAACAAAACTACATAATCAGACAGAGGGGTAGCCAACTTTCAATCAGGAGGGGGGGGGGGTGCGATTGTGATATAAACGAGCCCAAATGCTTTTTAGATTTAATGCAATTTCCTTCAAGCTAGAAGCTTTAAATAAACATTGTATATTATCTAGTACCTTTCTTCACATGCATTACAATTTTCAACTTGATAACAACCAATCGACACATCATACATGTAACTAGACACCTTTTTAAATAAAAGATTTATCACATCATTTTTAGTCATAATTACATTTACCTCTTTTATAAAATTTGCCAGTTTAATTGAACAACTTTCCTTTCCTGGTACTCATTAGTTGACCAAACTTCAAGTTATTAACATTATTACAGAAATATTTTGGCAACTTATTCAATATCATTAAACGTTATCTACACCAGGAGGATTGGCTCCCAGGATCGAAACTCGATATTTTCCAACAATGAAAACGTCGAAATGTCTTTATTTTCTGAAATTATAACGACTATAAATTCAAATTTCAAGTCGGATTTCAGTCTGGCTTTGTATAAAAAAAACCTTGTACCCAAGTACACAGTGTTTGAAGGGTGCAATTAATTTTTTTTAAAGTATTATTCATTCTCAGTTTATGCTTAATTATAGATGTACTTATCCACTATGCCTTTTACAATAATAGAATAAAGCCGAATTGCAGAAATAATTTAATCTATATACAAGGTACTTGTACATGTAAATTAAAAGTTTATACTTTAGAGTTATGATGGTCTCAGTTTAAAGTATGACGCATACGGAACATGGACTTTCAACTAGAAAATTGAAAGCCCATGGACGGAATGACAAAAATATTGAATATGCGCTTGGTTGAATTTGCGCAAAGTCTATTCAGGGATAATATTTATACGATCGAAAGTAAGGACTATGGCATTATTTTTGCTTCTTTATTCATTAAATTCAAATATATTCGATATATGAAATATTTATATTCGCTAAATCATTTTTCCATTCGGTAAAAACGTTTATTTGTTTGTTACAGCAAATTAAGTTTTCAAAATAGCCAATCACTTAATACTATGTGCATTAAATTACATATTTCATTCGTTAAATGATATTTTTTGCGTAAATTGTTATGGTATTCCTTAAGAGTAACACATTATATGCACAATATTGAATTTCTATTCGAACCCTACCGAAATAAGTTTGCCTATATTTACCAAATGGTTTATTTTTCTATGACATAGTTAATGCATTTTACCGAAAGCTAATTTGCTATTTACCGAATGCAATAAAGTAATATTCGATAACTTGCGTTGTTGTTCGATATTTTGTCACGTGACTTCGAGATTTTTAAAATGGCCGCGCTGCTATTCTACATAGTACAAATATATCACGTGACTGAAAGTCTCGTAAATTATCGAAAAATAACGAAATTTATCGAATGTGGCATTCGGTATATACCGAATATAAATAATTTAAATACCGAATGTACAAATATTTAATTGAATTATACGTGCGTTAAGGAAAACAAATTAATTCGCTGCATCACACAAATACATGTATAAATATCAAATGTGAATGTCAATACAAAGAACAAGTGAAACTATTTAGCGAATATAAATTGTATAGATTATTGCATTTGATGAAATAAAAAAACATTCGATAGATTGGGTAAATGTTTGGTAAATTGTTTGTTTTATTTGGTATTTATGGAATATTAATGTACCGAATAAAGAAGCAGTTTAAACACCATAATGGACAGGACTTCTCAATTGATGTGTTAAAAGACTGCCCATGCAACAAAAATCATTTCGAAAAGTCCGATGGGCTTTCAACTAGATAATTGAAAGCCCATGGAAAAATCAAAAGCAGACCTGAACAAAATAGCTCAAATTCATGAAATAAACATTTTTACAATTCCGGCTTAATTCTTATGACTAGACAGTTGATATATCCATAAATAAAAGGCATGTGGGTGCATTAATTCATCTATAATTCAACATACATGTAAACTAAAATTTAATAACTTAAATTGAACCCTTCAAAGACTGTATCATTTTATACAAAGCCAAAAATAAAGCCTTGAAAGGCCCAGTAATGCCCAAACGAGGCCCAAAGTGACTTTGGGGCTCTAGCGGCCATTTTTGGGTCCAATTTCTTGGCCCCTGCCCCAGATCCGCCAGTGTGGCGGCTGTTTGAATTCGAATTTTGTATCACGACATGCCCATATATAGGACAGAATTAAATATCAATGTTGCACTCTGGGAGCCATTCCCGGGGAGCAAAGATCCTTCCTTGCCATCTACAGGAGCTCTTCAAATGAGCTCTTCAAATCAATATTGTATTTTTGTTCCCGGGTTTTTCCAACACACACAATAAATGAAACAAAAAGCTTATTTGCGACAAACTTAGAGTCGGGTTGTCTATATAACATATAGCCAACTACTTATCCAATAAATTATTCCCCGTAACCACGGGATTAGAACGTCATTGAATCTAGAAATTACAGTTTTCTAATTTGCGCAATATCAATTAGTGAACTAGAGCGACTTGTATCGTGCAAGCAATGCAGCATATCTCGACAACAAATATCCCTCCAAATATCAATTAAAAAGTTATGAATTTCTTGATTTTTCTCCATTCCTTGGCGACACAGCGGTTATTTTATTGAGTGTAAGTATGTAAATGAATCTTAAATGTAATTCGCATGGACTCAATTATATCTGAGACTTGGAAATATTTTTCACAGAGAGCGTTTTACATATTTGTAGACATCGTAAAAATGTCCCTATAGACTATTTATACTCTAAATATGACATTTTTACGATACAAATCATATGTAAAAAGCTCTCTGTGATATTTTTTATGAGTTTTTGATTTCACTGTAGAGGCACAGATGGCAGAATTTTTCTAAGAAAATACATTAGGATGTATACTAAGAAAAATTCTGCCATCTGTGTGTAGAGGCCTAGATTTTTGGATATCATGATTTTGTCTGAATATCTCAGATTTTTTCTTGGGGCCTTTCTTTTGGGCACTTTTATATGTTTCAATTTTATACTTGATTTTAGTTTGACTTGTTTGGTCTTTATTTGATTTTGCAACCGTGGGCAGCAGACAACACACTTAGGTGCATAATGCTTCTTTGAGGCTTTATTAGTCCAACAACATTAGACCTAGCCTGGGCCTCGTTTCTTATCTGACAAGTCTTATGGCCCTGGCTAGGTCTAACATCCATGATCATTTTGCCTTTGAAGCGTTAATTTAATTGTTCTGCAGGTTTCGACAGGCAGAACTAAAGCAGCATGGACTGCCGATTCGTATACAGTGATCCTGGCCCTATCGTAAAATGAAAGCTTCGAATGTGTGATAGCCTTTAAAAATGTATCTATTTTCCATGTATGCAACTAGAATTTGTGCGCATACCTTATATCGATCGATAATGGCAAACGAAAATCCTGTAATTCATTGTCTTCTTCATCTCCTTCGTCTCTGCCATTTTTATTAAACCGGAAGTGTGTTTTCTTTTTCAGTTTTATTTCAGATTACGCTTTGGATTCGACTTTTAATGCTGTCTAATAACCGTAAAGTGATTTCTATAAGAAAAGTTTTCATAAAAAGATTCACACTATCAGAGATTTTATCGACTCAAGCAGCCAGAAAAATTAGTTTCAATTTTACCCGCTAGGTGTTTCGACATTGACTTGGAAAGAATTTGAAAAATCTATGAGTGGGATTCCTTGTATGGAATTATAGATTCTAAACAATTTGCCAGTTCTACTAGTTGATGAATATTGCCATTTATCCTGTGCCAGAACTATAGTCCTGTGAACGTCTTAATCTTTTGCCTGTACAATTACAACATGGGAGGATTTTCTACACTTCTTACACTTAAGATACCTATTTCAATAGATTCCTTGGTATTTTAGCATTCTTTTCGTGTTGAATCCACAATTGTCTGGGTATATCGGCAGAACGGGAACATTTTTCTTTTTCATCGAGAGAGATTCCAACACTTTTCAAGATGGCGGTTGGATTTAAAAGGAGATTCCCCGTTTGACTGGCCCGGAGTGGCCCAGAAGTACCAATAAATGAAGAAATTTGACGGTTGATTGAAATAAGTTAAATATTACATGCAAATATTGCGATCAAAAACAAAAATTTCTTTGTTCACATAATAAAACTGGCGATCAAAAGGAATCAACTCCAAAGTAGCGCTGGGTTCAAAATAAATTTTTTTTCTCAAGTTCATGAATTTTAATATGGGACGATCCCCACCCCTAATGACTCTATTAAAACTCTGATAGTCAAAGTCATTAGGGACGGGGAGCCCCGACTAACTTGGCCACAGACCATATATTATTCCAGGTAAAAGGTTCACAAGCATGCTTTTGAGTCGTATACACCAAGTAAAGAGCTATTATCTCTTGTTGTATTTGACTCAGTTTTTATATATGTACCACTAGCGGATCCAGGGTGGGGGCATGGGGCCCGCCCTCCCCCTTGAGTGGGCCCAGAAAAAATCTGCCAGTGTGTTCCCGCGCCTATGTCCAAAAGCCTACAAAGCCGGTGTTTATCTTATCTTATGACTATAGTCGTGAGAATGTCCCTATTGCTTGTCTGTATGATTAGAACATTGGAGAATTTTCCACACCTTGTATAGAAGTATACTTAAATGACAGATATAGCTTTACGTCCCGCTCTGAGTGGGCATTACGTCATAATCGCTGTTCCCGTATTGGTTATTTTTTGTAACGTTCGCATACTGTAAACGACAATGGAGAAAAACGCAGACAATCGCGATCTGTTTGATGCTTTAAAGAAGGGAAGCAGCAGTATGCCCCATTAATAATCAAATATTTGAACAGGAAATTCCGGCTACGGACAAGAATACAAAACTGGACATGAATATTTTAAAATAATTCCACTGTTGGTTGCAACAATTGAACAATGTGATTGGTATGGGATAAACAGATCATCCTATAGTCGGTTCAGGATATTGGGATTATCCCTTGGCCAATATAATATATCTTCCCTCGGGACCTACGGCCCTCGGGCAGATATATTATATTGGCCTTGGGATAATCCCAATATCCTGAACCTCATATAGGATAATCTCTATATATGTAAATAGATCTGCACTCAATAATTTATGTTGAACTGGGAAGAATATAAGTCATATGATCATTTGAAAATAACCCTTTAAATATTATGGTTTGGATAAAGATGTGGATATCTTTTTTGCAACTCTTAAACTCTTTACATCACCATACATCATATTGATATTTTCCAACAAGAAAATGAAAATATATCTCCTTAAACTCTCCAATCAACAATGTAAGTTGTACTACAATTACACGTATGTTTTCTGTCACATATTTTGCTAATTCTATTTTTCCTATATCACAAGGTTTCCAAACGCTATCGAAGCATGGCAAACACTGCAGTGAAGGATTGAGAAACAATAACGTGTTTTAAGACAAGAAATACAATACCATTAGAATGTCAGATGATAGTGAAGATGAGGTTAACATTATGGCTCCCATCGTGGATGTGTCATCTGAGAAAGGGGGCAAGTTAAACACAGCAAGGACAGATATAACAGATTCCACTTACAGATCTGATAGGTATGTTCAAGTTTTAATACTGGACATGAAAACATGACAACTTAGTCGATATAACAGATTTGATATGTATGTTGATGATTGATTTCAAGGCTTAGATTACAGGTCTATTTCACCAAAAAATTTCCAGGAAGGTTTCACTTAGAGCATTTTGCACAGCTTCCCAGGAATTTCTTCAAACTGTTTTTTAAGGAGTTCAGAATTTGCACCCAAAGGATCCACACGTTCCAAATTAACATATATATATTTCCAGCTTTGATGATGATGATGATGATGATAATGAAAGTATAGAACAAGATGAAGACATTGCAAGTGAAGATGAGAAACATGAAAAATCTTCCACATCAAGAAAAACACATCGCAAGAAAAAGATTAAGAAAGGAAGGCATGTTATTGACATGACACCTCCTGATAAACTTCTAAAGAAATGTCAGAAGAAAGCAAAACATTATGCCACATTGAAAAAGGTAATCTTTTAGAACTTACAATTCTGAGCTGTCATAGTACCGCTAACCCCCCTATCACACCAAACTAGTTCTTACCCGTTCTTGCCAGTCCTATGAAAACGTCGTAAAACGGGCTCAATCTGGTTGCGGACGGGAAATATGTCTGAGATAATTAGCTTCTTCATTCTTAAGCAGTCTTCAATACGTCCATCACGTTCGCAGTTCGTTCAGGTTGCACCACGTCGGTGTGCAACGTCGTAGAACGCGTCCCTTAGTCTAGAAGGTCAACATGACCTGATTACAGAACGGTATGGTCACCATCGAATTTTGAATCGATTCAAAATTCTAAAACCACATTCCCGTCTGAGAACGTTCATAAAGTTCGTAAATAGACCTTAGAAAGTTGCAGCTACGTTCATTCCGTTCGCACACAGTTTAAAACCAGTTTTGAAGAACGCAGTGGCAACTTGTTTGGTGTGATAGCTATATTTTTGCTAACTTGTTCATAAGCAGTGTTAAATACGTTCTTAATCAGTTTAAACCCGTTTGCAATTAGTTCTACCTCGTTCTCAACATGTCCTCAGACAGTTCAACTCGTTGTTAAAACGTCCCTAGTAGGATTGAAGTACGACGGTTCCTATCATAGTAAGTCCAGCTCGTTGTTAGTACGTTGTCACTCGTTCTAATTGTAGAACGTGACGACCACGAGAACATTTTGAGCATTGTCTAAGTTCTAGAGGACCTACCCGTTCGAGTACGTTCGATGAAGTTTGTAAATAGATCCCAAACGGTTCTTAGTAGGTCCAGTCCGTTCATACACAGTTGAAGCCCGTTTTCGAGAACGTAGTGAGAACTAGTTTGGTGTGATAGTAGGGTAAGATGTATGAACGAAACCTACCTGAAAACCAGATAAATCATAATAAAAAATAAATTTGATTTTTCCACTTTTTTTCCATGCCAAAGTTTTAATATGAGCTGATTTTATCAAATCTATTGACCCCTGTATTTCAATGAATCACCTACGTATTCGTCTCACCAAAAGTTTTAGCGAATTTTTATTATTTTGGCCAATAATATTTACGTACAGTGTTCCATTATAAATCATTGGTGGTTTTTGGGTATATTTTTTAGAATGATAAAGCACTCAGGGAGCTCATTAAATGCACAGCTCTGGCTAGGATAGTGTATGGAGATGGGCATTGGAAATATGCATCTGCTTATTATGCGTTAGCTGAGGGCTATCTGGAACTTAAAGGTAGCATTTTAGTCTGTATCTTCCAATAATTATACAAGAAAAAATTTCACTTTTTGTGATTTTATAACACTGGGTCTATGAAAAATCTCCAAAAATAGAAGTAAACTTTTTAAAGAAATTAAATTTTCAAAGTTGATAAACAATTTTTGAAACCACATTTCTAGATGTACTTTTACATGTAGATTTCATATATGACACCATTTCTACTTGCATCTAGTCTAATGAGGAAGTTATTTCAAAATTGTGTCATTCTTTATACTATAGTCTAGTGTGTAGATAGTATCCTACAGTGTAGTGATAAAAGTGACTTTGTTGTACTTGTGTGTCAGGTTATGGCCCCCAGTCCAAAGAGCATGCAGACACTGCAAAGGCTATAATGATGTCGGGGATTGCTACGTCTTCATCTGAGTCAGAGAAGGCCTCCATTATGGAACTACTTATGAACATTCATTTTATCCTAGGGCGTGCACTCACAATGTTGCAGAAGTATCCCTTTATTTATGCTCAACTGTATATAACAATACATTTATTACATTGTTGTCCATATTTGACTTGAATCTGATGTCTTCCTTTCTTTCCCTAAAGCTAAACTTAAATGAAACCATTTTAGACAACCAGAAAAACAGCAACTCTCTTGAGTTGCGAATCCCACAAAACAACATAGTACTATTTTATCAAATGACTCGTCATTTTTATCATTTCATAAATAAGTAGTCAGTAGTGTAGTTGTATTGTCTCACAGCACAATCTACACCTATGATGTTACATGACAGCATATTAGAAATTCCTACTCAAGTAGAGGTTGTCGCCTATCCACCTCTAAAATGTTGACCACATATGTTAACTTGTATATTCCTTCTGAAAAAGGTGGCAATTTTGAATTTAGCAGCCATCTTGAGAATTAATTTTTGAGCACAGTCCTATGCCCATTAGGCACAGTCATGGTTTTCTATAAAAGATGGCATCAATGATGGTGGGTTACATACCTTAACCTCATCAGATACCCTGAGGCTGAAGCTGCCTTGACCAAAGCTGAACAGGTGGCAAATAAGCGCAGCAAGTTGTCTTGTGTGAAGGACAGTGAGATAGATGATGATGATACCAAGATATTCATGGCTGTAGCAAGGTATGCAGTCATTTTATTATTTTGATAATAAAACATAATTATAAATGTACATTATCATTCTTTGGTTTTCATTTTCTAACTTAAACATTGCAATTTCCATGTCCTTCTTTGTATAAATAATGAAATGCCAACATTATATTACCACCAAGAAACAGTGACATTCATTTACATTTAGTTTTGTAAAACCAAGATTTTTTACAACTGGCATAACATTCAACATTTGGCAGCTCATGTGTCTGTAACATATTTCACAATTTTGTTACATTTGCAATATCTTCTAGCCAGTGACTATTGGGATACATTGAGATTGTATTATTGCATATGTATGTATTTTTAGATTGTATGCCAAGCAACAGAAGCATGCATCAGCGACAGAGTATTTTGAAAGAGCATTGGAGATTGTTAAACTGAAGGGAGATGACTGTCCAGAGTTGATTCCAATCTACCAATCTCTAGGCAAAGTGGAACAGAGTAAAGGGAAACATGCTGACCATGAACATGCCATTGAGATGTTCTTGCAGGCTCATTCTATATCATCTGCAAAGTGAGCATTTATGTAGTCATTATACAATGATGTACTTTTGTGTACAGTCTAGTTTATTTGTACATGTAACCTAGAATGAAGATAAGAGATTCTTCATCCTAATGTAGATGGAACTTGCTCTGGTGTTTAGGGGTTGGGCCTATTGCAATTCCTTAGTTATCTTCACAAATCAAAGTTGATATCACAAATTAATGATAATAAAACCCAACAAAAAAGATAAACAGTATACTTAATGTTCTTTTATATAGGTGGGGGGCTATACTTTTATCTTTTGGGTATCATGCCCCTTTTGAAAGCAAGTTTTGGATACAGATGATGCACTAAAATTAAGTCATGCACTTGCTGATATGGAGTCCTTGCTAGTGCCCATATCTAAAACAGGATGCAGTTTTATGTATTCTTTCATACTAAACAACATTTATATAATGCTTAAAGTAAAGGTTAGACAGAGAAGAAAAATTGTAGAGCCCTTTATTAATTACTACTCTAACATAGAAATACATGTTTAATTGCAATGTGTATACTGTACTTGTGATGTACATTGTGTTTATAGTAACAAGTCAGACAGCATTGCCACAGCACAGACAGCCAGAGCCCTTACTCTAAAATACAAATGCATGGGAATGTAAATGCATATACTAGATTTAGTAATATGTTGTATCATATATTTCTATATACATTGTGTTTATAGTAACAAGGCAGACAGCATTGCCACAGCACAGACAGCCAGAGCCCTTACTCTAAAACACAAATGCATGGGAATGTACATGCATATACTAGATATAGTAATATGTTGTATCATCTATTTCTATATACATTGTATTTATAGTAACAAGGCAGACAGCATTGCCACAGCAGAGACAGCCAGAGCCCTTACTCTAAAATACAAATGCATGGGAATGTACATGCATATACTAGATATAGTAATATGTTGTATCATCTATTTCTATATACATTGTATTTATAGTAACAAGGCAGACAGCATTGCCACAGCAGAGACAGCCAGAGCCCTTGCTAGTGCTTACTCTAAAACAGGGGATGCTGATGGTGAAAGTGAGTTCGGAAATGCCATATTTCAATATATACAAGTTAGGTTTGTTGAACTCATTGGGAAATGCCACATGAGGCAAACAGATCTCTTTAACAGATCATTAAATTATGTGCAAATGCATTCTACTTTGCCAGTATGTCATATATATAATTGTTATCAGTACTAATAAAATGCTATTATCTATATTGAAAGAAACTATAATTAGATGTACTTAAATCCTTGCAAAAATGGGATATTTGTTGTCATGTTAATGCAGTAGGTTATTTCTATAGTCTAATTCAGTCTCAAACATATGCTATTTATAGAAATGATATTTGCAATCTAATTTGTCTTTTTTGCTGCTGCATTGATTCTCAGTTGTACAAGGCATACAGTGTAGGATTGCAAGCATTGTTGCAGACATTGAGAATGTTTTATTGTGACTCTAGCACTTTTGCAATTAGAAGGGGAATGGGTCACATCCATCTTTGATTAGATCCTATGTTTTTGTTTATGTACAATGATCTCCCATGATTACTTTCTCAACAGGTCACTTACTCCTGATTTGACCTATTTATGTCAAAACACCTCAATCTCTTCAACAGGGTGCAGTATTTAGAGGTTATGTCACTATCGTGGCATATATGCCCGAGGTCTCAGTGATATATGGTCCGACCTTGGGAGGGACATTGATCTCTGAGAACCGAGGGCATATGTGCCACGATAGTGACATAAACGATTTATAACATACCTATGATGATGTAGACTGGTCAGAGAGTACCGTTTAGAATTGACAAACAAATGGTTTCAAAATGATTGAAATGAGTTTAGAAAAATTGCTGGCGCAGTTTATCTTCGATTGATTGGTTATGACGTCAGCGCCTTGACCAATCGGAAAGTTAGCGGGCGCGGGCTTTTCGAAACTTATATTGGCCCGCTGTCTTGTGTACACTTTGCACTATACATCATCATAGGTATGTTATAATATAAGTTATTCTTATGCTGGGGAGATCATTTGGACCTGACTCCTTAGGGATGGGTCAACAGCTTGTCAGCTTAACACAAATTTTGGTAACAAATTAGATGTGTAAAGAAATGTTGTAACATAACTTTGGGCATCAGAAATATTCAATGACCATTAGAGCCATGTTAAAACAAGACATTTCACTTACTGTATGTCATTTAAATGTCCAAATTTAAGAAAGAGGGGGCCAAAGAAAAGGGTCTAACTTTTCATTATTTATGATACATATGTAGTGTCTTATACATAAATGTTTGATTGAATTGCAGCTTCAGCAGAGAGCTATCTAAATGAGTGTTTGGTCACATACCAGCGTGTACATGGACCGTATCATCAAACAACCCTGGACATACAGGATGACCTTGCTAGATTGATGGTTCGCACTGGCAGACAAGAGGTATTATACATCATATGGAATAGAGGCAAAATTGAAATGGAGAGATCAATATAGAATAGAGACTAAGTGCTGCAATTAACACACTATCAATTGCTTTCATGTTTAAACGTTCATGTTGATTATTAGCATTATGTTCCAACTTTTGCAAACAAATTGAAACGTTAAAGTGTCAGACTGTCCCCTTTGAAATCTCCAAAGGCCTCATAATTTGTAGACTATTTTTCATTGTAGAAAATGATCTTAAGTTCTTGTTTCTGGTTTCAATGGTTTCAATTTAGTCTTGCATCATGTATAACGTGTACTACTGTATAATCCTGGTGATCAGAAGCCAGACCATTGTGCTGAATTCATTAAAGGATTTAAGTCTACAAGACTCAATGCTGAATGACTCTTTGCTGAATCATACCATGAAGGTGTTGTTTCCAAACCTTTGCATGACCCTGCAGCGGGAATGCAAAGTTTAGGAAACAACGTCTGAGTGGTATGAAACAGCTACAATGCATTGAGTTTTGGGCTTAAATTCTTTTCAAACATTTCAAACATTAGCAAGTCATCAAATCCAATGGGAAAAATCCATTCATCACCATGACAATTGTTTAACTAGCGACCTTGCATGTGTTATTGATATTTCACACACTGTACATTATGTGAATACTCTGTTCGGATTGGCTAGAATCTGACACACCTTGCCTAGCTATGTGTGAATAAACATTAATGGTCTACTTGTATTTATTAGACATCAAACTTTATTTGATTTACCTGCAGGAGGGCATCTCTCTGTTGAGGTCAACTGTAGAGGCCAAGCAGGAGGTGTTTGGAGAATACAGTGGGGAGGTTGCCGATGTGTATAAACTGATAGGATCTGTGTACCTTTCTGAGGGGAACATGGAGAAGGCCCTCAAAGCCTTTAAAAAGGTAATTTTTAGACCTACTTCTGATTCAGTGAATTCATCCCGGCACAAAATACTGAGAAATTCAAATATAAAAAAACAACATGCTTGAATTAAACATGTGTTAAAGTAAAAAATAATTTTGTTCAAAAATGTTTTAGAAGATCAATTATAGTTTGGTATATTACCTTTCCTGGGATATTTTCACTTGTAATGAATGGGCTCAATGTACTCTTTGAAATCTATTGTTAAAATCTATTTGTGAGAAACTGTTTGACTGAATTCCGAAGACCTTCGAGTTGATATATTGATTAAATTTCACTTAAATTAAAGCCAGTGAGTGTTATTTTGAAGCTAGTTTTGAAATGACACTGATGAGGGATAAAACGAAGAGGTATCATTATGGGAAAGGTTTCTGAAAATGAACACTTCTTACATCAAATTATTTTCATGAAAACTATTGTATGTTAATGATAGCAGATAAATTAGGGATTATATGACATTAATCTACATTTCAGTGTCATACCATGCAGAAAACTGTATACGGAGAAAACCATAAGAAAACTAAGGATACTCAAAAAACACTCGATGTTCTTCTAGCGTAAGTGCTTATTTTAATTGTACTGTCAACCTTTTCTTTTGCCATTTCTCACAATGTTTCAGTGTATGGTCCTGTTTGTGAGATTATAACCCAAACTCTTTCCAGTGGTTCATATTTATTACTTGCTTGGGTAGTGATTAAGAAGAAGACTTGGGAAAGACGTACATTTATCAATTCAGGTAGCATTGGGAAGTAAACTTGTGGTTGTCAAAACTAGATTGTAATTTTCCATTACAATATTACTTGTCTGAACCCTGTCAGATAAGTATTCATATTTTAACCACAACAGTGTACTGTATACACATACGTCAATGAAAAATGGGTTTATGAAAAAATAATTCATTGAAATTGCACTGAAATGTAGGCAATTGATGATATTGGAAAAAATCAGTTTTTATGTTACCACAACAAGTGGTGACATTGTTAACATCTCTAACTTTTTTGTGCATGGTGTTCGAAGGTTGGTGTTCGGCGGTCAGCCTCTGCAACAAAGGGCAAATATACCATGTATATTTTGTGTACTTTCTTTTATTTCAGGAACCCTGCATTATCATCAAAGATGGGCAAGTCAAAGGCAGATGAGTTAAAAGATAGACCGAGATTTAATGGTATAGTTAGTAGAACTGGGACAGCTGGACACTAGCAATGCTGCAATATGCCAGACACTTATCAATGTAATAGAGTTAACAATACCAAGGGATTGCAATCAACTTCATATGCTCTGATAAAGTAAAAGTAACGACACCTTTCCGACACTGAATTCTGCTCCGAATTTGCAATTTCGACACCGAATGTATTCGACGCTGTTTCGACAAAGTTTCGATACCGACTTTCGGCGCAGAATCAGATTCAATACGGTATCTGAATTATAGAAAAGAGACATTCAACCAATTTTCCCATTAGAAATTAACTATATTCTGCAAAAATTCAAACCGACACAGCGCCAAATTTGTAATGGGATCACAACGTTTATTTCGGCACCGTTCAGGCGTCAATTTGGTTGACGTTCTGGTGTCAAAATTCAAAATAATTTGTATTTGTACATAAACTTTATAAAATATATAGTATATATTAAGCTAAGTAGAAGGTGTATTTATAGTGTTACATTTATAGTTATGTAGTTATGTCACCACCAGAAATTGTGACATACATTGTATTGTCAGTATTGTCTCTATCTTTTTTTGTGGACGGTCAATGAATGTGTTGCAATAAAAACAAGGCATAAACATGCAAAATTTCACTATATTTCACTTATAGCCTACTATCATTTGTTACAGATGCCGACTGCCGACCATCGCACATATTTTATTAAAATTGTTCAACAAATTTTCAACAAAACTTCATGCTTATGGCTTATTGGTAGTGTGATATCTGCGTGTGCCTTGTTAAATTTTTCTTAGTAAGTTTGAAATCAAATATTTCCTATTTTAGCTTTCTCTTAGTATTACAAACAAACAAACAAACGAACAAACATGGGCAACAATGTTTTTAGTGTACACGGATACATATCAGTTCCATCTGCTACTTCTATCCAAGACATGGAATTCTATAACTGAGTCATTTCCTGAAGTTGTCTCTATCTCACATGCATTCAGAGATGAACTGTAGAATCTCGTACATGAGTCTATGGAGTGACAAAGTCTGGCGCATTGTAATAGTAATGCTGCATCGCTAGCAGGGCGTGATCCAGGGTGATTAGTGATGAAGCGTGTAGTTATCAAACCAATATCTGGAAATGTACGTTAAACCCAAATATAAGATGGTAGCTAGATCCAAAGTTTGCTGAACTTCAAGCAAAAGTTTACATTGTATTTAGGTGTTTCAGGGTACTTGACTGAATCAGAGACATATAAAACAGAAAGGGAGATGTTCCTAAGAGAGAATGGACTAAGAGGTCATGAGAATGCTGACTTTGGTATTGATTGGCATACTTAATATAATAGCATTTTGAGCTATGTGTCTGCTTTGAATAAAACGTTCTCCGATCTATAACATTCTACCTTGGCCGATGGCTTAAGCTGAATAAACATCATAAAGTGGTTGTTTACCATTTGTCTTAGTATTGGGGAGGATGTTCGCTAATGGAGGTGAAAACCTCTGTTCTATATTTTTAAACTAATGTACATCCTTTATAAATCATATCATTATGATTATGAAATGCACAGTCTGGGTTTTAAAAATACATGGTCAAGTAAAGTTTATAACATTTTAAAATATTGCAATCTTCTTTTTAACTGGAATGAACAAATTGTTGAAGATGGTTTCACATTTATAAATGTTTTAACTAAGACATTGCACCAAAATTATAAGGACAAATGGAAGTGTGATTTACAATTATATCCAGTTCTGAGAACATATGTTAAATTTAAGACAACTTTTGAATTGGAGCAATATTTAAGCCTTCAAAACAAAAATCATAGGCAATCCTTTACCCGATTAAGGTTAAGTTCTCATAAACTTCAAATAGAACTGGGTAGACATGTGAAACCACGGCCAAAACCTGAACATGAAAGAACGTGTAACGTTTGTGGAGAAATAGACAATGAAATTCATTTCATGATAAATTGCCAAATACATCAAGAAAATAGAAAACTATTGTTTGAGAACATCAACAGCAAAATTAAATTTGATAAATACCATCCTGAAAATGCATTCATAATGTTAATGTCCTCAAAAGATAAATATGTCCAAAAGCAAGTTGGCATTTTTATAAATAAAGCATTCAAGGTCATTGAACTTGTCTGAAGAACATTCTGGATGCATCACACTGCTTTTAAGTATTATGCAAATGCATGCAACTTCCAAACATTCCAATTGATTTGTGGGGGGTGTGAGGAGTTGCCCACTCCCCCTAGAAAATTTTATAGTTTTGAGATGCTATTTGGTGCTTTCTGGGCACTTTCAAAGTGTAAGTTTAAGTTTCTAAGTAGTACGCCACCACCACGGGAATAAGAGTTGAGTGAATAAAAAACTGAGCATTCAGGGGGGTCTGGGGGTTCTCCCCCAGGAAAATTTTGAAATTTGGTTGTATTTGGAACGAATTTGCAATCATCTGGTACGCCTGTGCGTTATGAGTCAATAAGAAAAATGTGATTTTTTTTCAAATTCTTTTGGGGGTGTCAAAGAGGATGAGAGGGTGAAGTGGGGTGGGGTGCCAGTAGGGGAGCAAGGGGTTGTCCCCCAGAAACATTGACCATATCAAGGTGCTATTTGATGATGTCTGGGCACTTAAAAAATATCTGAGACAATACATGAAATTCAGAATATTTTCTTTTGTTTTGTGGGGGATGTGAGGGGTGGCTAACTCTCCTAGAACATTTTACAATTCAAAGATGATATTTGGTGCTTCTGGGCACTTTTAAAGTGTATTAGTCAATAAAAACATTGAAAAACAATCACAATTTTTTTCAAATTTTGGGGCTGGGGTACCAGAGGGGGAGCAAGTGCTTGTCCCCCATATCAAAATTTACAATATCAAGGTGCTATTCGATGAAGTTTGGGCACTTAAAAAGTGTCTGTGCCTAAAAGTGCCTATTTCCCAAGAAAATTTTACAATTTTAAGATGCTATTTGGTGCTTTCTGGGCACTTTCAAAGGGTATGAGTCAATAAAATTTTTTGAAAAATCTCATTTTTTGGGGGGGGGGGGGTGGTGTTAAGGGAGGGGGGCTGCCAGAGGGGGAGGTGGAGTGGGGATGCCAGAGGGCGAGTAAGTGTTAGTCTTCCAGAATCATTAACTTTATCAAGGAGCTATTTGAAGATGTCTAGGCAATTTAAAAGTGTCTGAGAAAATACATAAAACAAATTCAGAACTTTTCCATTTTTTGTTTGGGGTGTGAGGGGTGAACCACTCCCCCTAGAAAATTTTACAATTTTACGACACTATTTGGTGCTTTCTGGGCACTTTCAAAGTGGATGTGTCAATTAAAGAATTTGAGAAAATCACAATTTTATTTTTTTTTGGGGGGGGGGTCAAGGGGGGGGGGGGCGCCAGAGGGGGGAGGGTTATGCAAGTGCAAGATGGGGAGTAAGTCCCCCAGAAACACTACCTATATCAAGGAGCTATTTGATGATATCTGGGCACTTTAAAAGTGTCTGAGACAAAACTCTAAAATAAATTTAGAACTTTTCCATTGTTTTATGGGGGGTGTGAGGGGTAGCCAATACCCCTAGAAAATTTAACAATTTTAAGATGCTATTTGGTGCTTTCTGGGTACTTTCAAAGTGTATGAGTCAATGAAAAAAAAAATTACAAAAAAATTCAAATTTTTTTTTCAAATTTATTTTGGGGGGTGACAAAGGGGGGTGCGGTCGCACCCATCGCACCCCCCATCTGACGGCCCTGGTGTAGTGTAATGTAGTGTAGTGTAGTAAGTTTTTATTTTATTTTTGTACTGACTAATATGTCATACTATGACATTCTAAGAGTCAATAAAAGATATATATATAGTCAACCCCTTTCATAGCACACGACTAGCAAGGTGAAGGTCACATGCCTCCCCGCCATTTTAAAACTGTCATTAGACAATCAATATCGAGAGAGTTCATTCACCACCGCTGCTGAACACGTTCGATTCCCATTTATAGGTAAAGTGCATAAAGTTGTCTCACCATGTCTATAGAGTGCAATTTCATTATCTGCTCCAATCAAATAGTTTCCCGTCCAATCACCGACTACACACCCAGGGTTCCTTGGTATTGCAACGCTCGAATCGGATGCATTATGAAGAGCCCAACATTCACCATAAAACTCTATTCCTGATAAAAATGGAAACGTTTTCAAAAGAACATGCGTCATTTACCTCTGCTATCATTAGCTGTACCGTCTTCAAGGTAGTAATGGATTCTGGTTCTTTAGACATCTGTTTTTATTTGAGTTCAGACTGAATTATTGTATGTTATACTCCAGGAATTGAGAAATAGCAATCCTTACAAAAATTACATGTATTAGAGAGAATACAATGTTTATTATGCCCTTTTTGTCGACCCACCTGTCTACGGGAATGATTTTATTTGAGTTTATTAAATAGCATACTGGACGTTTCGGTAGCTGGGTACAAAATAATTTATTCAGCAGACAGTGATACATACCCTTAAATATCTTAGAACTTAAAACTGTGGACCAACATATACATTTAGGTTTGACGCACAATCTAATATGAAATGGGGACTTCACATAAATAATATAATATTACCAAAAAAGCCAATGAGCGACTATCATTAATAAAGAGAAGTTCCATTCGCTTCAAGTTACCCCAAAAACATCTAGAAACACTTTATTTTAGCATGGTGCGTTCTATCAGAGAATATGGAGATTTTTTTATATCACAATTGCCACTCTTATGAGAACAAATCACTGAAGGGCTGCAATAAACCATAGTCGAATCAGAATGGGTCTAAGTGCCCTCAACTCCCAAAGATATTCTTATAACTTCATACTTTTTCGAATTATCCATGTGGATACAAGAAAGATGCTCTACATTTTTTCTTAGATTGCCCCCTATATGCTACCCCAAGGAGAGCACTCATGAGAGTCTGAGGCGGACTCTGAGGAGACAGTGCTTCAGTAAAGAATCACATGTTAACATCCTTGTAAAGGGTGAGCCAAACCAACCTTTAAATTCCAACCTTCAACTTTTTCACAAGGTGCAGGTATTCATTGATTGTACCCATCGTTTTGTGTAACAACTTACTATGCTATCAAACATATATTTGTAATATGATCCCTAGAGAGATAAAGTAGTTTTAACAACTGGCTCTCTCTATAGGTTAAATGAAATGATTTATAAAAAATCTTGGGAAACGAGCTTGTTTAAAATATGTAGCAGAAAACCAACTAGTACAGATCGGCCCCGTATCATTTTTATGTGCAATGTATTTTATGCACGATGTACTCACCGAATATCCTCTTATCATCTTCAAGAGATAATCGTGCACATTTCAAAATGATTGGTGTTAGATCAGACCAGACGATACCACCCCTCATGTTCTCCAGGATGTACGAAGGAGGTTTAAGTCCAGCTCCTTCAAAGCAACCTAAACTCTGATACGAGAAGACTGCAGAAGAAGTAAGACAATTAAACAATTTTATATTCTTTTGAGAGACACTCAAGTACTGTATGTATTAAGCTTCAGTAAAACCGAAATCAAAAAGACTAGCAGACAGCAGAACAACTTAGACAATAAACAATTATATTCTCTATTGAGAGATACTCAATTCAGTTTGTGTCAAAAAGTATGCATAATATTTTTTATAAATTGAACAGACTTTATGCGATTAACTGATTAATAATGAAGGAATCATCCGTTTAATTTGAAGAATTTGACGAAAAATGTTGTTATGTACTAGTTAGAAATAGCTACTATCTAAACTTTACCTTTAATTGTCTTTAAAAACAGCACAAACCACAAAAATGGTGAATAAAGGTTGCCTCCAGTCATCCTATTGAAAGTGTTTAGTTTGTATTATTTCGTTCACGATCAAGGTCATACAGGTTGAGCCAAAAACTAATGGTATTATTTACTATAATACATATTGATTTCTCAACTAGACCACCAAAACATAACGTAGTTCTATGCATTAATCTAAATGGAATTATGACTTTGAAAAGTATGTCGATTAAATTTACAAGCCTCAGTCTCCTTTAAAACAATCATGTGCCTCACGAGATAAATTTTTGATTGAATTACAGGCCATGTTTTGCTTAATATGCAGATTGGAAGATAAAATAAATCCTCCAGACATTTAAATACAGTGTGTCATTATATTTATTACTAATTTAGCGTTTTCCTGATGTCGTTATAAGCCCGTTTTTATTCATAAAATGAAGCATATGAACGTAAAGATTAAAATGTTGATATGCACAAGTACAAAAGGAAAGGGCCAAAAACTGCAATGTAATTGCAAGAAAAAGAGAATTCTAAATGTATACCAGCCATTTAAAGCAATCCTCATATGCCCCAAAAACCATGATCTAAGCATGAACAGAAATAATGTCTAATGGCCCAATCCCCTACCATTCAAAATCCAATATCACAATCCAAGACAAGAACACCAAGGTACTTTTCATTCATATTGAAGTCATTACAATTACATGTTGAAGAGAAAATTAGAAATTGGCAATAACATCAAAGTAGTTGTAGATACAATTACGCATACCAGATAAGAGCATTCAGTCTAAAATGATGTGGGATAGGCCTCGACAAAATCCAGTCTCAAAGTCCATGGGCGCTTCAAAGGGTCAATATTGGTTCGCAAAGCCGTCGCCAAAATCCAACATTGGTCATTAGAAGTAAACCATGGTTGATTTCGATTCCTATTTCTCAACCTCTATGCCATAGCCGGGATCCACCTCAAAAAAGGTGCCAAGTGAAAAAATGTCTACATCCTTCAGCATCTCAAGTGGTAAAACTTGAAACTTCGAAGTTAATGACTTGTATTTTTCAGCAAAGCAAGGTGGATCTAAAAGTTTGATCACTAAAGTATTGTGTCTTGTCTTCAAAGCTGGAGCATGTCCTGCCGTATCTAATAAGCTGGGATACATATAATCCCTGTATTGGGTTTAATGATATATTGCTGCCTAAGCTTAAATAGGGAAAAATCCCAATATCAAAGTTGAAATCATCTCGTTTATCATAAAATTTACAATGTTGTTGCTTTGTTCGATGTTTAATAATGAGAAGGTCAATAAGACGCATTCATGTTCGATTTATTGGTCCTTTTCAACTCTAACTCAAACGGGTATATGTCATAAACTAAATCATCGAAGGAGCACGCAAGCATGCAACCTTTTATGAAATTCTTGAATGCATAATTAGAATGTGCTTTGAGACATGTTCGATTTCCTAAAAGGAAAAATTGATTGCTCCAGGGACTTTAAAGATACTGAATTTGGATGACCAAAATGAACTGAAATCAATGGATAGCATGAGATTTTTCAACACTTATCTTAAAGAAATTAAGTTTTTCTTGTAACTATTTGATACATCAAAGTAAAGAATAGTAATGCATTAAACATTGTAAAAATGATTGCATTTTTGGTGAAAATGGGGTCAACATCTTTGAAAAGGTGTGTTGATTGGTTGATTACTGGTTAAATATCTCCGAGTTTGTTTGACTTTATTATTACTGTATATAATTTTCTTTGAGATAATGAATTGATCTAAAAGATAAACCCGTCTCATTGTCAGAAAATAGTCGTAATCCAAGATATGACCTTCTAAAATTGTTTGCGATAACCTATGTGCTCCTTTAGTGTTGTCTAAACTTAACAGGTCATCTTCATGTACATACCTAGCTGATTTACTAGATGGCTTAGCTCTATGGAATTTCGTCTTATCTTTCATCATCTTCTATATATTCATACGAGAATCGAAAATGACTGCCAATGGAGGGGCACAATCTGTCCCATTGGCATTCCTATATTTTGACTTGAAAAAGTATTTCCAAACTTAACATAAATGACTATTGAGATATTTTTGTCCCACTCTGTAGATGGTTGCTATGTTCAACTTATTTGTTTATTTCACATTCATCGTATTGACTAGAATCAGTATAAAATATACCCCGGCAGAGTGAAAATAAAGCATTAGATGCGAGACCAGATATCTGATTCCATTGACTCAAATGAAATGAAAGCTACACTACTTATCCGGCGTCAATTAACAAAACAGCAAAAGTAAAAAACCTATAAACCCTTTATGCAAATTGGTCCGAAAGTAGTACGCAAATGAAACGATAGATCACCACTTGACGTTGCTTTAATAGTCATATAGAAAATAGTAACTAATATCTAATGATTGATATATCTCCATGTACGAGGGTTGTCCCAGAAGTAATGCACTATATGTTCTAACTTTATCAATAATTTATATTTTTCCATGAAATTTTCAGTAAATGTTCCTTAGAGACATTTTGATGATTCTACAAATTTTCATGTTGATTAATAAAACTATATCGATGTTATAATAAAACCAAGTTGGTGAGTTTGGGTAGGGCGGGGCAGGTTATATAGTCACGTCAAAAGGAATAAAAAAATTGAAAATATGAAATAATTAATCATCAAATACCATTTTGTGTAGCTATAAGAAGAATGCTCAAAAATACATGTTAAGATATTTAATTACTATGAGCACATCCTAGATTTAATGGATGTATAATGCACAGTGTCCCATTTCACATTTTCTCAAAATATTGCCCTTTGCATGTTATGTACTTTTGATGCCTGTCAGGTCAAACAATCTTGGCAATTTCTTCCACTGTGACTTGTGGAGTTTTTGCCTTCCATGCTTGGAGTTGTCATCCAGGGTCAAATCATCTCTTTTAAATCTCTTCTGCCACCTCATAAGCGTAGTTCTTTCTGGTATATACTCCTTATATACTTTTTTCATGGTAGCATACGTTTTGTGTGGCTGTGAGTCCAAGTGAAGTATGAAATTAGGCCACCAAACGCAAGGCCTTCTGTAATCAGGTGAGAATTGCAGCCATTTTTGCAATTTCTTGACTGCGACTGTATTTGAATTTGTGACTATTGAAATGTGTATTATGACATTACAGTGCGTAATGTCATTATTTGTACTTGGTTAACATCATGCTGAATAAATTTAACAATTTCCCAAACATTTTGACCATTTAAAAGAAAGAAATATTAATAAAATAACACTTTAGATCTTTTCATAATTAGAAAAATGGGTACCTGCCCCGCCCACCCCTACCCCCATGTTGCTATAGCAACCATATTAAGACTTAATACTAATATTTGATGCTGAAACTTCAGGATATAATAGATAAAACTCCAATTGTTATATACACAAAATTTCAGCTTAATTGAAGAATATTAGAGAAAATTAGAGCATATAGTGCATTACTTCTGGGACAACCCTCGTATTGTTCTTTTGGCATAAATAATAAAGACAAGAAAGCATGACAAAATGCCACCACCAAGTTGCTCACAATATTACTGGTTCAATCTTTAGTCAGATTTGAATTTCTCAGAGCTTGAAGATAATTTTGAAATATATACTTTGGTCAATTTGAAGCAAGTTGAAAAATACCTTTATGACCTTGAGAATGTCATTGAAGGTCAAATCTAGAGTCAGATTTGAACTTTTGAGAATTTGTATATGATTTTGAAAAAAATTGGTCAATTTGAAGCATTTTTGAATACCTTTTTGATCTTTTTTTACCTTGAGAAGGTGATTGAAGGTCAAATCTCATATAAGTCAGATTTGAACTTATGATAACTTGTAGATGATTTTGGAGAAAAATTCGGTCAATTTGAAGCAAGTTGAAAAATGACATTTTAGACCTTTTTGACCTTGAAAGGGTCAAATCTTAAATATAAAGTCAGATTTGAACTTCAGAAAACTTGTTGATGATTTTGAAAAACAATTGAAGTCAGTCTAAACAGTATTTGTGAAGTTATTGGAAGTTGTAAGAATTTGTTACATACGCCAACCGCCACCCGCCGATCGCCAACCATCAATCGTTACCCGCCGATCGCCAACCGCCGATAGCTGCCACAAAAAACGGAGACCATAACAATATATATTATCACTTTATGGTCGTGACATAATAACCATAATCTTTGCCTAGAATGATCCTTTTTCCATATAGCTTTGAAATCTCGTTAAAGTTTTAATGAGATTTTAGGATATCTGCATTTTTAACCATTACGACTAACATTTCTTTGATTTTCTTTTCTTTGATGACATATTTGAATCCTGTGGGTAATTTTCTATCAAAACAACTTTGATTTAATTACACCGTTATTTACCTTTATTCAAGTTCTAATGATTTTCTAGTTGTCTAAAAAAGGTCAGGTTAAATCCCCATTGACACAATGTTGGAAAACCTTTAAACGTTCATTTACTCTTGAAAGGATCACAATTTTAATGTGAAATCACAATCCACATGTCAATAAGATCAAATAGTTACATTCCAATGGGGTTTTAAGTTGATCAAAATGGAATTACTTGTTAAATCAAGGAATTAAGTGACTCTGGCAATGCAATACATTTACATGTATTCTAGCCCACTCATGATGCCATCTATTTTTCCATTTCTATGGAAAGATGGAAAAATAGCTGGCATCATGGGTGTTGGTAGGGCTAGAATACATGTAAATGTATTGCCAGAGTGACGCCAGAGTGATGTCAAATAAGCTAAGAAATTCGGCACTTCCGGATAAAAGCAAAATTATAATTGATTATAAAAAATGGGACATTCGTATTTCAAAAATAAATATTGATTTTCTTGATGAAAACATATCATAGTACTATTATATACCAGTGGATAGGGAATTTACTCATCTTTAATTTGGTACATTCAAATTTATTGTAATGTCTGTCAACCAGCGTCCATAATATAAATGACGTCATTTTCGTTTCAAAACGGGTTTTTCAAAACTTGCAAAAACCGAGTTACAGAAACGGTATGGGTTAAAAGTGCAGATCTTAACTGTTTTTCGAAATGTCGTTTCTGTAACTTTAGTGAGGAATTAGATCTACGATTCTGTTGTCTTCTGAACTATTTGTTCGCAAATATGTACATTTTCTTAAACATATGATACTGATATACGTTTGTGATAAAATGTCGTGGGAATTCTGCGTAGAACGTGAAAAGGAAAAAAGAAAAATCGTACCTTCGTCTTTCCGACATTTTGTGATCGAAACGAATCGTTTCGGTAACCAGGTAAATTATAAAGCTACCAAATGGTCCAAAAGTGTGTTGTGAGATAAAAATGTCGGGCATTTTAAAATAGGCGAGCTTTTGAACCAGGAGTCATAGGGGAGTTTTCTGTATTAATGTTGAACAGAAATAACTACTTAAAACGGGAATCCTATCGACAGAGGTTTTAAAATGTGCAACTATTGTGGACTAACTGAGAGACAGATCAGGACAAATCAATGTTAACTATAATGGCTGAAAAAAAACCAGATATAATTTTTTGGCGACTTTTTGTAATAAAATTATTTCATACGACTACTCTTTACATTGACATGTATTTTTACAATGGAGGACACCTGAAATTATTTATAAAGCTAACAATGGTCCAAAAGTGAATTTTGCGAGACAAAAATGGCGGCCATTTTGAAAATAGGCGAGCTTCTGAACCAGGAGTCATAGAGTTTTCTATATTGAGAGACGCCATTTAATTGTTGGTAAAATAGTTTCTCTTGATTCCTTTACATATTAAAATGCAAGCATATTTCAGGTGATCTAGTATTACAACACTGGACCCTAAAAGCACTATTTCGCACTGTTATAGCATGTCGGTTTCGCCAAGGCGATTTGCAAAATTTTGCAGTAACGATAACAAAATATGGCGGATGGGAAAGAAAGTAAGATTCACAGATAAGATTTCCTTTTCAACTAGTTCCATTCGGTGATGTACATATGGATGGTTATAAAGACTGGGTCAAATCTGCCAGGTCGTCTACAAGAAGCTGAATATAAGCTGTAAACCTACCGACTGAGGTATCCAAGCTCATAATTTTTAGTCCATTCTCGTGTTTTCTCAATATATGTGCCTCGGAGCCACTCAAAATATTAACTGTAAGTAAACTGTATATAAACAAGCCATAAAATGATAAATCCAGAACAGGAACGTTGGGTATATTGTAAATAATAACATCCCAGGCGCAATGTTATTAGACGACTGCGTAGTTAGCATCAAGCACTGACGAAGATGACAAAATTAATAACAATGAATCGGGGTTTCATATTTAATGAAGGTTCGTGTAACCGTCCATCAATTTTTTGTGTTACCGCAAATTCAAATTTGGTACATGTATACCAAATTCCATGGCGATCTATGATGCAACAAGAGAGGGCCATGGTATTCCATGATGCTGAGAATGTGTCTATGAATTTATTATTCTTTATTATCATTCATGTTATAGTTATAAACATGTTATATAAAAGTGAAAATGTATAGTGTCTCTGAATAAATGTTCTGCGTCATATACAGGGTACGTGTTAACGGCTGCACAAAATCAACCAACAATTATAGCAGCTTACCGTACTCACAATTCCACATGTTATACAATAGTCATATGACAAATTGGCTTTGAGCACATGTTATACAATAGTCATATGACAAATTGGCTTTGATAATGTTTCTTTATCATGTCTTCGACTAAAGAATTGTCAAAACTGTCACACGGTGCCCATGTCAAGCTGCGCGCCTAAGTAGGCGCGCAGTTTGTTTCGATCACAAACTGCGTGCCTAACAACATTGCATCATTTAAGTTGGAGTCTGTATTTTGAAACGTAATTTAAGGACATTTATCCTGCATTGTTTTCTTTTCAAATGCGTTCATTCTGTGGCGAATATACAAATCTTGCAAATACTAACAAAAACTATGTGCAAATGAATCTAAGTTTTAAAACATAAGCAGATTAATGGCATTTTCGTCACTGATTTAAACTCGTTTTATATTTAATTCCTTACGCATTTATCATGTATAATTCAAAATATTTCGAGATAAAACAGATAATCAGGAGATTAAAAAGAAATAAACCACAAACTGCGCGCCTATTTTATACATTTGAATATAGGCGCGCAGTTTGACAAGAAAAATGTTTAAATCACGTTTATGGCGTATTATCGTTTTGAACACAAACTATGCTGCTTAAATCAGATGGAGTGATCCTATATATTCTAGCATACACAGACACAATGGCTGAATAAACGGCATATGACGATAAAAATACAAAGATATAACTTTACACTGTAAATTTTGAGCACAGAAGTTACTTAAGTTACTTTGGTATCATATTACTATTAAATGGTCTATGCATTTTTGTATAGTATTGGCATCAGTCTTGTCCTGCTCGTTCCGTTCATTGAAGTGGCATTCATTCTCATTGTTCTCGTTTATACAGCAGCCACCACTGCATAAATTATTATTCGATATTATTTGTCTATGTCAAATGAGCTAAAATATAACGCAATTCGATTCAAGTTGCTGTTTTAGTATTAACTGTTTTCTTGAAGCCAGGTTTTTAGTCTATCGTAATTGTTCTCCATCCATTTGATGTTGCTTGATGTTTTTTCCAAAGCTTGTTCGAATGCTCGCTGGGTAGCTCCTAGTTTATTAATGGCAGCTTTCGCATCCATGAAACATTTCACCTACAAATAATGCGTGAACAGTGTGAATATTAAGTTTTTGGATAATGCCACTTCGAAGTTCTGTATAGCTAGTTTAAAGGCCCACTACGCTTAATTTAGAAATCATTGAAACATGCTATTTACACGCTCCAATCAAATATGATACAAAGCTTGATTTGCATTAATATTGAACCAAGAAAAAATAACTCACGTAGAAAACAGCATTTGAAGTTAAAGTAAGTTTCAATGATTTCATCTAAAATTAAAACCCTTGGAAATACTAAATATGGTTTAAGTGCCATATAGTCCATGGTATGAAATCTATATAGCGCCGCGATATTTGACTTAATATTAACTTACCTACATATGTTCCCCAAAGATTGTTATTATAACCGTTTAATATACTTTCGGCTTTTAGGCTGAATTATGCCTATCATATTTTTAAGCTACGAGATTGAGGTTATTTTTCTCTACAATACAAAAATATGTAATCAGTACACATCGGCGTTTTGTATTGTTTCTCAGACATTAATGAGATATATGGTACAAATGATTTACTTTTATATAAGAATGACAAATGCTTAAATTATGCTAGTTTTTTTTCTCACAAAATGGGGCTCAATATGTTGTGATATATGTGCTGTTATTCCACGATGATCATTGCCAATAAAGGAGGGCCTATTGTTCTTCCTTGACTAATTGCAACTACAGCTAAAATTCTATTTCTCGAAGTTAGATATTGCTCAGTTGCTTATAAAACAACCATCAAGACTTGGTCGAATTCACGAGTCATTGAAAATACCAATTCCTATACCTCTTTAGCATTGAATTAGATATAAATATTACCTATTTATTATTGTCTTATGTTTTATAAATATGAACAATAATTTTTTGTTTGATCCCTTGCGATAATATGGATAAATTCTGGTAATAAAATGTTTTAAATGGTAAGAAAACTAATATGTTCGCAATCACACATTAAATATTCCACACAAATTTGTTCAATCAGCTTGGGTTGTATTTGAAAAATCAAACAAGCAAACTTGTGTAATTACACTAATTAAACACCGACATTTAAACTAAAATTATAGCAAATTTTTACATTATATGATAATCTATTTTATTGTCCGTATGCTTCGAACAACGGTCTGTCTTATAAAATGTATAAAACTTCGACCCCTTGTGATGAAAGACCCTTTTCAACCCGAAAGCCTGAAGTTTATTCAGCAAATGGTATTTCAAAAATATCAAGACATATGCACCTCATTTATTGCTTCAAATGTTGCTGCGCTATAGTGTGATTCGGATCCTTCGTATTTGGAAGTCATACCATTGACTAATATATAGGTTATTTACTGGGAGGGATTGAATATGGGTTTTATTCCGAGGCACAATATGATATTGACCGAAGTCCATTGGGACTATTATGAAGTTCAAAGTAAGTCTTTATTTTGCTCAAAAATAATGGAAATAAGCATAGTGAGGCTTTAAGTTTGCATATAAAATCGAAACGCCAACCTATACGTATAACAATCGCCCATATACAAATGCAAGTGATTTTAAAGCTTCTCACTTAACATTGCAAGCTTTAATTTAAATAAATAAAAAAATGCCAATGGTATAACGTCTCTTAAGACGAAATATTTAACCACTGTACTGTATTGTAAAATTGTTAAATGTAGGTTTACCATGTAACTGTACTGTAATTGTTTTTTGCAATTGCTTTGACATGCTTATTTTTTGAAATAAAAAAATTATAAAAAAACAAAAAAAACAACTCTCTATTATCAAGCGTTAAATTAGGAAAGTGTACTTGTATAGTTCCACTACATGCATGCTTAAACTGCAAAAAACATTCTGAGTGAATAAATATGCCCCCGTTACTAATTAATGCCAAACGAACGTGAAAGAGCAAATATTAATAGCTTTTACAAACCTCTTGGAGGTGAAAGTCTGTGTTGAACGTTTCAGTGATGATATTAATAATATATGTGAATATGAAGACCGACTCCTCATACCTGAAAGAAATTTAGGAATGAATGAAAACACACGACAAGCAGACATACTGTCATATTTTTAAAAACAAAAACCATGTACACAAAAACAATCACATTTTAAAAATTCATTTCATAGGGACATCATCATAATTTTGGCTTCTTATCGTTTTATCATCGATTTGATTTTTTTCAAATCCTATTCTAGAAAATATTTTAATCTAGTAGTCTTGCACCAAGACACCTCAGTTCCCCCAGGAGTGGAAGTAGAACGTGTATATGGGAAGGGGGTGGGGGTCAGGGGTGTTTGGAAGTAGACGTCCAAATCGGAATGCATTTAGCAAGTTAACCTACTTCTCAAAAATGTAGTCCCAACGTGCCCTGACGAAGTTCCAGACAAGTGGAAGACCGATTCTGTTCCATGAGATGTACACTAGAACTTCCAAGGCATCTTGTTCCCGAATGTACGTCTCGTCAAAACTCCATGATAAATACCTGGATAATGGATAAAGTATTTTGTGTTACATGAATAATTCTACATACTGTATTGGATCGGAGGCGCATTTATACCTGCATTCTTTTTGAATAACCAGAGATGTTTTATATGTCTCTGGAATAACGTAGTCCTTCTTTTAGCATATTAAGAGGAGGTATTGCAAACCTTAGTATTGGCCATGGGTTGTACTAGTATATGCCCACTGATACTGAAAATAGTTTTTCATCCCTAGATATTAGGGGTGTCTCTGTCCATGGACCTCTATATAAGGAAGTCCATGCTTTGTCCAACTATCTAACTTGTAAAGGTTGATTGGACTGAAAATACATTTGGAACGTTATGTACAACATACTTACCGACTGAGAATCCAAGGTTGGGTCGAGCAAGCCATGCCCTGAAGAAGCCGAACTCTTTCACCTGCTAGGTTTTCATTCTGAAACCTTTCGAAGGCAAAATCCCACTCCTCTATTCCTCCATTCGCTATAGCGTTGCAGTAAACAGTACCCTTCAGGTTGGGCGATATCCTAGAAATACAATACAGCAATTGCTTTTACAATTTTGTTTTGAACTGGTAGCATAGTGTAAGCAGATTAACTAAAAATATGTCTATATTAATAAGTAATTTACAATTTTTTATGATTAATTATTATCATATAATAATTCAACTATGTAAATATTTATTTCTGTTACTTATTGTCGTCAGGTGAGTCCATCCATTCTTTATAGAGCGCGGACGCCTGATCTTTACATGCTTGGTGTCCCATGTCACATACTTGCGCTATAACTAGACTTCTAGTGAATCTAAGGTAAATGTAAGGAAAATGTAGTATGGAGTCCCCCCTCTTATATATAACCATACATCTACATAATAATATATTTGTTCCCCGTGTATATATCTTCGTGTTGGTGAGCATGTAAGGAGAGGAATTGGATTAAGGAGGCTGTATCTACCTTTTAGAAAGTTTTTAGCCTCGTGCGTAAAGGATAGCTGTTTCATTGCTTTAAAGATTCTCGCAATCTTTATCCAATCAGCGTTTGCGATGTGTACCGGCTCACGTATAAAAGGCGAATCCAACTCAAATCCATGCAGGGGTGTATGAGGTACTCGAATAGAAAAGAGCTCGTGAAATCTGAATTTATATGCACATGGTCAATGTTTACACATGTTTGGAGTTATTGAAGAAAATGTGATATGGGGGTGGTTCCGAATTTGAAGTCATTGCTGGAAAATATGATTTTAATACGTGAAATTATATCTATAAATACAGCACTAAAAATAACAGTACACATGAAGTACATGTATGATTGTGTCCAGAAATGTTTGAAACCCTTACGGAAAATTCGGTCTGCATTTTGTCACCATTGCTCTTTCTTCCCGCATTCTAGTGCTGTTATTTATTAATTTATTTCCAACTAAAATATATCACATTGTTTTATAAACCACAAACATTTAGATCATAAAAAAATTATTCAATACTTAGAGTGAGCACGATATGCAAGGGTTACTAAGTTGACACAGTAAATGACCACTGACATTGTGTTAGTCCATGCACACAGCGTATTCTGCTAATACACATTTGCCTTGAACACCCCTAACTTTCATAGTGAAGTAATCGTCTGACTAATTGGTTTATGTTTACGTTTTAATGTGTTTTGTGTTCCTTGTTACAGCAAGGGGGGGGGGCAGTATAGTAGACTAACATGTTTGCATGGCAAATTTTGATCGAATATATGAGACACTTTAAACAGCTAGGAAGTGCAAGTGTTGTTAGTTCCCATGACTCAGAGACATATAATGTTTTATATGCGTCTGCATGACTGAGCATTTTCTTTATTTCTCAGCCGTATTTGCATGCACTGTTCAAGTAATAAGCTACCTGGTTATGTAGTGCATTGTCATTAAAAAGAAAGTACAGCTAATCAACATAGATTTAGGAAGAATGCTGATTTATTAGACCATGAATGAATAATTTATGTGAGCATGATTAGGTTATTGGCAAAAATGAATTCATATTCTGTTATGTTGCCCTTTGTACTCAAGTTTGACTCGCAAGAAACTAGAAACTACAATAAGTTGAACTTTTATCATGCATACAAACATGTTTTACATGAAATCATTGTCAAAATGAAACTGCTTTAAACATTCTGACATCCCATTCTTCATTTTATTATAAATCAGATCAAAAATGATCTTTTAACTGTAGTTATAGGTACTATGGTTATATAAAAAAAAAAAATTGGCTGAGAAGTATCGGGGAAAAATCTGGAGGGGGATTTGGTCATCCGACACATTGTACACATTAGGGTTAAGTAATAAAAACAAAGTCACTAATGGGGATCAAATTGTTTCATAGCTTTAAGTAAAAACAAAGTCGATGACACCCAATTTTTATGCCTGGATATGAAGCAGAATGATGTTAGGACGATTTAAATACAAAATAAACGTTTTATCGGAAAGTAAGTTTAGGCCTAGGTAGATACAACCCCCTTAAACAATTACTATAAATAGGCTATATACAATTATCCAAATTATCCAAAGGATTTAGTAACAAATTCAAACTTACTGTTCAAGGTGAGTGTTATTCTTCAAGGAGTCATTCCAGCCGAGAAAGTCGTACAACGGTAATATTTGTTTCAAGATATATTTACTATAATCCCCAAAGCTTCCCGTGCTGCCAAGCATCTGATATATATAGCGGAGGTTTTCTATCGCTGCAAACCATGGTACATATTCACGCTCGTTTATAAGGTAATTTGTTGTCTGCATCGCTCTGGTGATATCGACATTATAGATGCCTGCCCTAAAATGTACAATATAATTCGTCTAAATGAATTGGAAAAGCACGGAAAATGATGTTGCTAATACAGTTCTTAGAATCATAATGATCATTCATCGTTTTTCTGTCTTAAGGCGGCTAATATTGATTTAATTTCCGGGTATCACCCAACGTTCACCCAAAGTTTGGACGCTATATTGACGTTTATGACTGAAATCGTGAAGATCGAAAAGTTTTATTCTTTCAGAATTGCATATAATGAATATTTACAAAAATGTTACCGAGACACTTATCCATTTAGTTAAGGATTTGTTTTAAAGTCAGAAAGCTCCTATGAGACAACAGAAACCTAGAGAAAACACGGAAAACATGTTGAAACTGTAATATAGAACCTTTTCAAAATGGCAAGTTCTGTATACACCTTTACCTTTACCATATCTTCAAATGAAATTTTAGCAAAGTAGATATAGAGGTTCTTATATGAGAACATGTACCTGTGCAAGATCGTCCATTCTTGATCAGCTTTGATAATTCTTCTTTATCGAGTTGCAGATGAAGAAACATTATCAAAGTGAGTCAAGAATGGACGATATTGCACAGGTACGAGTACAAGAACGTTTTTCTGATATGGCTCTGTATTATGCCATATTTTCAAGTTTTTGTGACAAAACTGAGTGAAAAAAGCTTCAAATGGAACATCATCTTTCAATTGTAATGACTTCATAACAATATTGTAGAAAATACATGGATATGCGTGGCAACAAAGCTCAATTTTTATGACGTCACAGCTTAGTTTTGTAGAATGAGCATGGGTACTCATAGCAACGGTGTATTTGTTGCTATGTTGTTGATGTTTATAGACCAGTGATGTCACAAGTATATCTCAACTTGCACGTGTGACTTTTTAGGATGAAAGATGACAGCCATCTTTACCCCAAGCGAGATATATTGCCATCTTTCGTCCTAAAAAGTCACACGATTTGTCTGTTAAAAGGGAATATTTCTTTGGCATCTATAATACTAATAGAAAATCAATTATTTGCGAAAAATTGTTTACCTTGAAAGACTGAACGCATCGTCAATAAGCTGTGCACGATTCCTAACTTGTATAGCCTAAATAAAAAACAAGAAATACAATCCAGTCAAAGTATCATACAAGACCCCATGCTAAAAATCCCCCACGATTCATTTAGCCTTGGGGTTAAATGCTTTAAAGTCCCCGTCTAAAGTTTGAAAATATTTTTTTTATCATTCATTTACTATTTGTCAGGACTTAAAAAGTGATTTTAGAGATTTTTGAACAAAAAAATTTTTTTTTCAAAAAAAGTTGAAATTTCTTAATCATCAAATATTTCTTAATGCATTTCAAAAAAGATTATATTTTTAACACCAATGCAAAGATTTAACAAAAGACACACTATTTCAATAATAAAATGTCATTTAATGGGCCACTTCAATGTTTTAGCTTATCAAAAATATTTTGAAACATTAGTGATGTCACTAATGCCTGGGTCACATAGCCGCCGGGCGCCGGCCGATGAGTAGTCATCGGCCGATTTCTAAATCGACCGGGCGCCGGTGACTTTTCACCGATGTCTTGATCTAATCGTGAGCATGGTCACATTAGTACAGGCATCGTACGGCGCCCGCAATCAATTGAATCTGAAAGACATCGCACGGGTATCGCAAGGCTATCTGCCGATGCCCGTACGGCACCCGCCAGGACATCGGTCGATCTACAGGCCTCTAGATTTATACTAAATTCTTGTATGACCCAGTATGACTGCTCCACATGGCGTGAATGCAAGATTTGAAAACGAAATACTTCGATAGACCAGCTCACTATAGTCAAAACAGAAATGTTTGTGACTACTTTGAATTTAAAAAATAAGCAATGAAATGACCATATTTAAACAGTTTATGTAATAATAGAAACATTTATATTAATCCTAACTTTTGAATATTTCAGATAGTAATGTATAATGTGCAGCAAAGCTGTGGCCTTTTGTAATTTAGGGAGTTTCGGCTAGGTTAATTTTTCCGAAAATAACATGGCAGAGAAGTATCAAAATATAAGAGGACACAGATATGATAGCTAAACTACAAAACAAACTAAAATAAACAAAAGTTAGGATAAATATAAATGTTTCTATTTTTAAATAAACTGTTTCAATATGGTCATTTGATTGCTTATTTTTAAATTTAAAGTAGTCACAAACATTTCTGTTTCGACTGTAGCATTGTTATTGTCTTTTTCCACCTGTCTTCCCAAGGCCTTCCTCATATATGGCCCATTGGCCTTATCCCCTCTATCCTTAGCCTTTGGCACATTAACTGTAATTGAGACAGTGAACTTTCGTATTAAAATTGTGACCCTTGAAAATACTGTACTCACAAAAACATTCAGAAGATTTTTAAAATAAATGATTTGTAATGGTATATGCATGAGTGAATATACGCATAAAATGTATCACTCTATTCAATGTGTATGATATACATACACGATTAATGTCAATATAAGAACGACTAGATCAACCCACCCACCCAGCCATTCAAATGTGTGTCATTGTTTTACAGTAACCCAAATCGTTCTATTTATGTTTTATAAAAAAATCTCTGACAGTGTGTAGTGATTATAACTCCTTGCCTCATTATTTTTAAAACCTTTACATCACTTTATAAGTAATCATTATTAAGATTTATCAAAAACAAATCAGCACGCAAAATCTCAAGATGACCGTGCGATACCACCGGGCACCGTAAAATAATCGTACGATGACCGGACGGGACACGGCCGGGTAGGTACCGATTAGTTTGGTTGAGAAAAAATCGCCAAGACATCGGCAACTTTTATCTCCGCGATAAAACTCTGCCGGCGCCCGTACGATGTCTAAAAATCGGCCGATGAGTGGCGATCATCGCCCGGCGCCCGTACGATGCCCGGGCTCGCCGGCCGATTTTGAACAAAATGCTCATCGGCCGGGCGCCGTAGTGAAAATCTTTTGAAAAAAATTGAATTTTTTTTTCGATGTCAATCTTTTCTAAATATGCTAGACTTTCATAAAAAACAATGTTGATTGTCTAACCAGGTTAAAAGGAAGAATAAATTATGTTTTAGATATCATTATGAGAACTAAAATTTTAAAATGCATTTTTCTCAGAACCATTTTCATGCACTGATAAGTTCATTTCTCGCTTGTTTATCAACCGATTTTCTTAATTTTTTCGGCAAAAACATGGGAGGATGTATGCTATGCATTGGTATGAATTGTGGCTAATTAGAAGATATTAGTGACCTCTAAAAGTTGGTTTTAAATAAATTCACATTCAATTTTGGAACAAAAAGTCAATCAAAAACCACTTTTTGAAATAAAAAAAAAAAGTTTCACATATCACACTTTGATAACATTGGGTGAGACTACAATATAAGCCAAAGTGGTTTAAACTTTACATGGGGCCTTTAACAAAACGACATGTATATCTCAGTTTGACCAAATTATAATATGTATAACGTTGAATTCCTCATCCTCTCTAGCTAACATGAACCAATATATTAAAGTTTTTTTTATATGTTAAACGTTTTTGTATCATTCTAATCTTACCAGGTGGTTGTCATTTAATTGGGCAATGAGGGCGTTCCAATTTGCTGTATCATAATCTACCCTGTAGTAGCCTATTTGGTTTACGTTCACCAAAACCCAGTCATTTGTCTCAGTCGGGAGCCCATTAAGAGACTCTGAAATTATAAGAATATGCGTTTCTAATTAAGTTTCTATGTGTTTGTAACACTTGACATACATTTCTGTAAAAGGACACACAGATTTTAAACAAAATCCGTGTTGGTAGCAGATTCCGTGAAAAGTATTCCGCAAGCGCTGTTGTCCTATTAGAGATTTTACATTTTGGCATGCCATCTCCTGATACCATGGTGAACTAAGGTCATATTATAAGTTATTGAATGATTTGAAGTGCAATACAGGATATATTCTGGTCGAGAAATTCCGTATTGGAACGAGACGAAGTCGAGTGCCAATACAGAGTATCGAGACAGAATATATCCTGTATTGCACTTCAAATCATTCAATAACGTTTTTATCGTGTGATCCTCTGTATTGCTACTGAGATCGTCCCCTCCGTACCAATATTTTCTGTATTGCGACGGAGTTGATCAACGGGAACAATCTCAGTAGCAATACAGATTGGTACAGTACAAGAACTGACCAATCAGAGGGCTTCATTTTACAGATCATACGATAAGATCATTTATATCCTATCAGAATGCATTCCTGCCACATAGTGATAGGATAGTGATCCAAAGCTAAACCAATTGATGTAGGAATGGATTATTTTTTATCATATACATGTAGAAGGGGTGCACTCATCTGATTGGCCATGTTTGACATGCATGTTTGCAAACTTAGTACTGACATCCTAACAAAATAAAATACATACACTTGTATACAATGCATACCAATTGGCCATTTTCATTATAGCAATTGTCAAGAATGGTTCACACATTTTATAATGAAGAGTTTCCAAAATGCTCTGACTTCTTCCTAACTTGGCGAGAAAGTTCTCTCTTGAACACCAAAAAAATGAATGCCACCGTCAAAGGAACTTAGCATTTAATGTAAATCCATTGAATAGTAATCTGCATGCTTAAACAAAAGTAAGTTACGAAGATCAGATTCTTTATTACACTTGATTCATTATTGACATTTAAAATTTAAGTAAACGTATTATTTTGAAGAATCAATTATTTATCATATTCCTCAGATTGGATTAATCAACATTCTCATACTTTCTCTAGTTTGTATGATTGTTCGATATGTATGGATCAAACATAACAAACTTTAAACTAATATTTCTCCATTCTTCAGGGTGTCTAAACTAATATTTTGTACTTTCTCCAGTGTGGGTTAAGGTTTTAGTTATCAGAAAAGCCAAACAGGAAATGAAAAAACATGTGGATATTTATTTCTTTGAAACTGAACAGAGTTGTGCTTTGCCCATCAGTCAGTTTCACTACTCCCACATATCATTAACATGACCAGGATCACAGTGATCATGGTCAGAATGACCATGAACATCATGCGAAAGACTTCAACCCTCTGAAGTTGTGATTGAAAAACACTTAAAAAGTTTACCTTTGGAAGGTGACCCCATGAGCATCGCACAGACACTTTAAATGCTGAGTTCCCGTGACAGTTACAATGGCACCTATTTTTGGTGGTAGAAAGTATTTTGCACGCTTTCATCAAGTTAGGTAAAAGCAAGATCACTTTGGGGTTTCTTCCTTATGTGTAAACAATACTTGGAAATTGCAATAATGAAAATGGGCTATCGGTATTCATCATACAAGTAAGTATATGTATGTTTTTATTTTGTTAGGATGTAAGTACTAAGCAAACATGCATGTCAACCATGGCCAATAAGAAGAGTGCACCCCTTCTTTATGAAGAAGACGGCTTCGATCACCGATGGCATGACCGATGGCATGATTATATAGAATCTGTCTATTTTGTTTCCCGAATATTATCTGTTAATACAGTTAATTCAATCCCTTTAAAAAGCTATGTCAAAATGATCAAACAATACATATTTCCTTCATTGAATTAAGAGTGTTTAGTGTATCCCCTATCTTCTGAACACCCGGGATCTTCCTATTTTATGGAACCATCGTTTTGTTAATTTTGATAAAACCGGGAAATCATACGGGCGTACACTCGCAAAATGGGCTAGCTACGCCTCTGCTCTTTATAATACTTACTTGTTTCTTCATTCATCCATATTATTGGAGGATTTATGAAATTACTCTCAGATTTTGTAGTGTAACTAAGCGGAACTTTCCAGAGGTAGCTGAAATGAAATAAGCAAACAAAAGTTCACAATCGATACAAATCAAGAGGAAATCGAAATTAAAAAACAATTAATGTTAAAATGATCGAACATTTTATTGCACCACAAATAGCCAGACAGAATTGACCTAATAGAGGATCATGCTATCAATGATCATACTTGTAAGGACTTGGATATTTCGGATCTGGTGTTTGTGAAGGATCAAGAAGGTAATGTTTCTGGGTAGCCTCTGCTGACGTTCCATTTCGTGATACTGTCACAACTGGGTAGCCCATCTGACGCACCCAAGTGTTCATTATATCGCCGACATCGATGTTTTTACCTTCTGACATAGCTTGCTGAAGTCACATTTATAATTAAATGCAATCGACATGTGCAGCCTAGCTTTGAAATTGACAGGGAATAGCCCACAATGTCTATCAATATACGCTCAACGCAAATACTGATATTTTGAAATTATATTCCAATTCAAGTGCAACTTATCTTTACAACGTTGAGCAATGAAATGAATATTGATGTTGCTCATAGAAATAGTTAAGTACTTACATCTGTCAAAGATTTCCATAAGTCAGTGTGATGGGTGTTGCCAAATGCATTATCTTTCAAATAATTCTACAAGGTGAAGAATATGTCATTATTAAGATCATATACCAACAGAATATTTCGTTTAAGAAAAACATGTGACAAAAACTGGCACACCCAAATCATATACTAGTATTTTTAGAGCTATCTCAAAATGGAGGAATCGACTTAGAACTAAGAACAATTGTATATTTTATCATCAGCGTTAAAAGCTTTGTATAAGAAAAGTTAATATTGAACAAATAAGCTGTATCAACTTTCTCGGAGTAATTATTGATAATAAACTTTCGTGGAAACATCATATAAATGAATTAAAACAGAAACTGGCCAAGGCAATAGGTATAAATATCTAAAATACGAAACAAGCTGAATGCACTTAAGTCCATATAGTTCTCACTCATCTATAGTGATATCAATTATTGCTTAATTGCCTGGGGTAATGCCACTTAATCACTTCTAGAACCCATACTGCTCTTGCAAAAGAGATTTTGGAGGCTTATCACATACAGCAATAGAATGGCACACACTGAGCTTTGTATAAAAACCTCCTACCTATACCCACCTACCCACGTACGTGCGACATGATACAGTCTTTGAAGGGTTCAATTTTAAAGATCTCAGTTTATTAAATCTTAATTATGATGAATTATAGATGCATTTGTATTAACGACCCTTGATAGCAAGTTGCTACTACATCCCAGCTGGGTTCGATTCCCACTCGGGGCATCAAATTTAGCACACTTTCTTTCAATTTCTTTATCTGGCTTGTTGGACCTATGCTAGCAGTCGTTAGTTATTTATTCCCCTGGGGCGCCCTCGGGTCATTACACATTAAAATACATCCATATGCCTTTATTTATGGATCTGTTGTCTGTCTAGTCATAAAATAAAGCCGGAATTGTAGAAATGTTAATAATTTGAGCTATTTTGAGATTTAATAATCTTTTAAATTGAACCCTTCAATGACTGTATCATGTTCCACGTAGATGGGTAGGTGGGTATGAGGTAGGAGGTTTTTTATACAAAGCCCACACTCTGAACCAATTTTCAAAAAACTAAAATTACTGAAGATCTATGATATCTTTAAGATTAGCACAGCAGTATTTGTTTATAATTGCATAAAAAACCTAGACAATTACCAATCCCTTTAAAGCAAACAGTCAGACACATGACAGAAATACTAGATTTAAATTGACTTGGTTGCAAATAAATATAATTCAGAAATCAATCATGCGCCAAGGCCAGGCATAATAATCTGCCGGCTGCCATTAGGAAACTTAATTCTTTATTCAAACGTATGTAGAAATGATTTTAAAAAGTAATTGCCAAATATACAGATGAGTAATATTTTGTTTGTATGCATTACTAGAACTACGTTTGATTGTCTTTTATGTATTCAAGATTTAATTTTGATATTTTTAGTCAGTTTTAGTTAGATGTTTTGATTGTATTAAGCAACATTCAAATTTATTGTGATGCCCTCTTTTGAATGTGTACTAGTTAGTCTTAGTGTTCATCATTGAATCAACTGATTATCATATACCTATACTACTATTCAAACAACATATTCTTTATACTGTATACACCCACAGCGGTGTCATGTAAAATCTTGTAAATAATACTATAAGAAAATAAAGCTGAATTGAATTGAAATTGAACTGAAAAAGATATTTGCAAAGAAAACTGGAATTACCAAATTAAAAATCGTTTTTTACTTGGCCAACTTGGTGCTAAAAATGATACTCAAACATACCGTAAGTCCTTTTCTGAATGTATCCTCGGTCAAGAAGTTGTTCACCATTCTAATGATTGAAGAGCTCTGTAAAAACAGTGACGGAAATTATGTCACAGTAAATTTAATTCCTTTAACTACGGACAAGAATATCATACCAGCTTATTTTTAGAAGATTTCACAGTTGAATATGTTGCCTACAATTTTTGTAGTCTAAAACGTCAATAATAAGGTTTAATTCTCTGTGATTGTTGAATTGATATTAGTTGGCGACCGGTTTCAATAGTGTGTATTTCCTAAAAATATCATATATTAATAACTTAAGTTCATTTACTTCAGATAATGGTTTATTTATTGTAATGGTCTTCAGTATGATTGCATGGGCGTCAAAAAGGGGGTGCACCCCCACTGAAACTGCCCAAATTTTATGTTTTGATGGGATTTCTATGTGAAACTGCAAAAAACTATTTTATATCAGAAAACAACTGTTTATAGTACTTAAAAATACTCATCTTGCACCAAATAACGTCTTCAATTATTTTTTCAAGAGAAAAATTTCCTCTGAATTGCTAAATGAATAGGCGCACGGTTAGGTAGAATATGTTAGTTATTCTAGGATTTTTTGAACCGATACACTTCTCTAAGATTTGAGAAAAAAGGTACAACGTCACCAACGAGTAAAAGTCATATTTTGTTATAAATAAAGGAACAATGGTCTACATGACCTGTAATAAATACTTATAAGTAACTTTTTAGTATCACAAAATTAATGTCCTTGCTGATTAAAAAAAAAAGTTTCCATACGTTAGATAAAAAACAATCGAAAATAATTAGAATAGATAAGGGAATGAACGGAGAGGGCAGTAATATGTCTTTAAAGTAGAGGATAATATGAAGTCGTGTATTTGAAACATGAACTCAGTAACAAGTGGATGTTACATCTCTGGATACTTAAAATTTGGAGTTATTGGAAATAATGTCAAGTAACATCTCTTATCACGTCTTACAGACACATCACTCCCCCTTCGTTCACTCCCGAAAGATGCATGCGCAGGGATGGTATTGTGGAATTAACCATTGTCCCCTTATCAATGTCCATGGAGACGTAGCATATACTGCACATGCTCGGTTTTGAATTAAAGGTAAGTAGAAGTTCCATGACAAGATTCCATTTCAATGTCCGTCATTTACCATGTTCGATTTTACAACCCCAGAGCGATATTATTTTGATTATTTCGTGAATATACCTCAGTTGAGATAAAATTTAGGTGATTCCGAAATCCAAGATGTAAATATTCCACTCCAATGAAGTTTACACATGGCTGCCGGTGTGTACAACCTTTAACAATGAACGACAAAATAATCAATTCATGTAAACGTTTTTTGGTAATTCTAGTAAACGCTTGGAGTATTTTCGTTCCAAAACGGGTAGTTGTGATTCAATTTGGTAGTCTTTGAACGTTTTTTGTATTACCTTAACTGGCAATACGTTCATCATACTCCAAGCACATCGAAAGAACATTCAAATGATATAAATTGAATCCTTATACTTTTTTCAGAAATCGTTTAAAAAGATTGATCCGAGAAATTAACGTTTAAGTCAACTTACTTCAAAATTGTAAGTATTTTCACAGAAGTTAGCAGTAAATCTATCCGAATCATTTTAAAAAATGAATTCGTCGTTTAAAACAGAAAAAATGTTGCTGTCCCGCTCTTAATTATTTTTCCAAGGACCTATAATCGTAATTATTCTCCGAATATCCTTATTATCCATTGGAGAAGTAAACACTACAAATGAGAGAACTAATCAACAGAGGACAACAATTCTACACGTTCACACAAGTTTTTTAAAAAGGTGTAACTTAACCTCCCTATCATTCATTTATGTGGGTACCAACATGTAGTATCAATATTAATCTGATTATCGTATAAACACCGATTTAGTTATCAGAAAAGAACTGTTTATGGTCCTCGAAAAAATTTTCCGGTGAGAATGCTACCGGACCCCCAATATGCGCGGTTTTCTGCCAGGCAATTACTTCCCGCGTCAATTTTCTGGAAAATGCACCCCTTTCAAATATGATCCGACGTCTCTGGAATGAAATGTCTTGTGGTCTTGGATTGTGTTTTTATGGTTTCTAAATGTTGGGGTAAAGGGGTATTACACGTAGAGGGCATTACAGCGTTTCTTAATACGTGTTTGATCATAGTTTAGGATATTTGGGGGTTGCTTGAACTCATTAATATTTCATTTTCTTGCTTCATTTCCCATTGGCACTTGTGCATACATATCCAATTTGTCCATTTTATTGATGCATGTCAGAAAGTGTATAAAAATTACAATCCTACCTTATAATATGATATTTTATCAAATGTTTCATATATTTCATCAGGATGGCCTATTGGCACATAAACTGGATGTGATGCAGCCAGACCATCAGTTTTGAACACATCTTCAAGAATTTGGACTACAAACTGCTCCATCTGAAACAATTGATTTCATCAAATAGTAAACATGGTGTACTCAAATTCAATCATTCTATATATATGAATGCATTTTAAAAAATCAGTGAAATCTAAAAAACGTACACATTCACGTGATCCATTGAGATAGATTTACCCTATTTGATAAAGTTTTATGACAAATATGGGATTAATGGATTGCAAAAACAACAATCATTGTCCTTTTTCCATTATCTGTTTAAGGCTATACTTCCATGTGCAGGCCAGAGGAAAGGATATGGGCACAAATGCTTGCTATAAGAATAAACGTTAACAGTGATACTCTTACCATTTTCCATTCAGGATGTACAAAGTCAACCCCTAGATATTCTACATAGCTGGCAAAGCCTTCATTTAGCCAAAGGTCATCCCACCATCCAGGCGTCACTAGGTTACCAAACCACTGTAGCATATGAAGAAATGTTAAGTTGTTATACTTAATTATTATATGCAATGGTAGTTTCAACATATATTTTGTCAAATAACAGCCTACTCTACATATGTCTACATGAAAATTGTTCGTGCAAGTTTTTCTATCCGTCAAGGTTTTGTTATTATTAAAATTCTACAATTTGCAACACATTTATCATGGATCAAATCATAATTTATTGTAAAATTCATTTCTAAAACCGATCATGAGTGCTTTCAACCTGATGCGCCAGTTCATGAGACACGACCCCTGCAATCTCCTGCTTGTTTGAGGCTGATGACCCAGTATCATCATAGAGCAATGACGTCTCGCTGTATATGATCAACCCCCAATTTTCCATCCCGTCAGCAACAAAATCAGGAACAGCTATCATATCTGAAAGATGGGAATTGAGTCATCGCATTTATTCTGGTAATGCAGGATCGATCTTAACTTGTTCTTTGACGAAAATTGACAACGAAATGCAATACAAGAAAGGTATTACCAGACATCATGGCTTTGATTCTTATGAAGTCGTTGATTATGAAACTAGCTCAAAAGGACACCATTTTCATTGAAACCTCACCTTGTTTTGGTAAAGGGAAATCCACATCAAAAAAGTCCTCAAAATATTCCAGTATGGCTACTCCTATGTCAAGTGCATACGTTGTCTGATTTACTGCCTCTTTTCGAGACCAAACTCGAAACTAGAAAAAACGTATTTGGAGATATGTTTAATTTCCGAATCGGTTCAAGACAATGCAAGAATTATATTATATTATAGAATTATTATTATATTATAATATATCCATAAAACACATTCAGGTGATATGATTAGTTTCGGCTCAAGACCACGCTTACAAAAAGGTAACAGGGCCAGGTATAAACCTATAAAGAATAATAAAGTGTCCATAGAATGTGCCTTAAAATACGTGGTATTAGAAGTAAACGGTGAACTAAAAAGCTGTTACACAGCAATCGAAGGAACAATCCCCAGAGCGACACATTTAACGTGAGTATTTATAGACAATATTTGCCCCATTTCTTTATCATTGCATATTCTCTCATTATAGCCCAAGATTTCACTGGGTACCTCAGAGCAACCAACGATTGCTTTAAAATAGTGACAGTCCATGGTATGAAATCTCTAAGACGTCTAATGAAGGAGCTGGTAGCACACCATAGCGTAGTGATATTTGACCTAACATTAACATACCTACATATGTTTAATTCCTAATAATTTTTATTTTAACCGTTTAATATACTCCCGGCTTTTAGGCCGAATTTTGCCTGCCATTAACAGAGGTCAAAAAATTACCAAAAAATAAATTCCCAATTTTTATTGGTATTAATAAGATAAATGTTACAAATGAAACACTTTTATGTTAGAATGACAAATGCTTAAATTATGCTAGTTTTTGGGTCTCAATACGTTTTTAGATGGACTTTTATTCAGCGGTGAACATTATCAATAAAGAAGGGACTAATGCTCTTCCTTGACTAATTGGGACTACAGCTAAAATTCTATTTCTCGTAGTAAGATATAGCTGTTGCTTATAAAACAACCATCACGAATTGGTCGAATCCATGAATAATTGAGAAAAATCGTTATCATTATCTTCCTAAAATTTGATTATATCCAGCGGTAAGGTCCAAGAAGAAACAACCATCAGAAAACTTGATAACAGCCAGCAGTAACGTCGAGGAAGAATTGTTAGGCGTTCGATTGCATATGACTCTAATTGATTATTAGATATGCATTTGGAATATATGAACATTCCAATACCTCTGTAACATTTAATTAGATATAAATCTTACCTATTTGTTATTGTATTATGTTTTATAAAACATGAACAATTATTTGTTGTTTGATCCCTTGCGATTATATGGAAAAATTCTGGTAATAAAATGTTCTAATGGTAAGAAAACTAATATGTTCCCAATCATAAATATTCTAAATATTCCAAACAATTTTGTTGAATTTGCTTGGCTCATATTTGAAAAATCAATCAAAATCTGGAAAACACACTTGCGTAATTACACTTATTAATTAAACACCGACATCTACAGTAAAATTATAGTATATTTTTACATTATGATAATCTTTGTTTTGTTAGTATGCTTAGAATAACTTTCTGTGTCTTATAAAATGTATAAAAGTTCGAATCAAAATAATTACGTTTTTGACCCCTTGTGATGAAAGACAATTTTCGACCCGAAAGCCGGACGTTTTTTCAGCAAATGGTATTTTAAAAGAATCAAGACATAAGCACCTCCATAAATATTGCTTCAAATGTTGCTGCGCTATAGTGTGCTACGGATCTTTCACATTCGGAAGTCATACCATGGTCTATACAGAGAGGTGCAGATTTAAGTCACCTTAATTTCATTACGTTCAAATCATTTATAGCTACTTGTGTCATCTTAAACTATTTACCTCATAAATTACTAATTGTTTACCTTGGTACCATTTGCAGTAACACCTTCAGATTTGTCAAAGTCACACACGACAAAAGCCAAAAGGTAAGTTGGCATTATAACTGTTGTTTGGTAGACATCTGCCTTCAGACCACCAGGTCTAAAACAGTACAATAAAACATTACAGTGTAAATATTTATTAGGTTTAAGAAGTCAGTTATATCTTTCATAGCTGTGATGGATTTGATTTTTAAAGTTATAAAACTCCATATTTGGGAAAAATAAAAAAACAGGCATGCCTTATAATATACTTAAAATTTTGTTAATATTTCCGAAAAAATTTAGTATACATTGATTGCTTTACCTATCCACAATCTGTTTAATCTCCATATTTGACAATGAGACCATTGGTTCTTTCCTCACAAGTGTGATATCGAAGGTTGATTTCACTGCAGGTTCATCAAAACAGGGAAAAGTCCTTCTGGTATAAGAAGGTTGAAACTGGGTGGTAGCAAGGTACCTTAATACATGGAAAGTCGGTCAATCGAGGGGTTTGAAATGAATATGCTCTTAGATCATGAATTCCTATCTATAGTGCAATGGCGATGGCGGTCGTAAAGTCCAACCAAATCGAGACATATGTATTATATGTCTCGTGCCCAACATACACACATGGAAGGGGGGGGGACATAGTTGAGTAAAACTGTGGGGCTTGATATATTTCATGCAATTCGAAGTAAATCGAAACATGATTTAAAAATTGATTTATAAAATATGAGCACGTTCGTTTTACGGGGATTGAGTGGAGATGATTTCGCATGATCATTGAAACGCCACTAAAAATAAAAATACGTCACAGTAGCCTTATAAATTCCTACTTAGTTCATTGCCTGAATGTAGAGAAACGTTGGCGAGTTATGGTATGTATTGTCAAAGTGCGAATTACTAGCGATTTAGGGTACTGGTTTCATTGGCCGTATCCATTATTTTATTTTAGAAATACCCAAAATACTCACTTTGTCACACCACCCTCTTCGTAGGAAGATAAATAAAGACCAGCTAGACCCTTTGTTAACGGAGCTCTAAATGCCATCTTAATGGTATAGTTCTTGCCTTTAACCATTGGTTTATCCAGCTTCTGAATGAAAAATTGCCTTTCTTCATCTTCTTCAAATTGTCCTTGCTTTTTGGGTGCATCAGCCGCGCCACTGGCTTCACTAAATTCAATGGACGCATCATCGATTGTTAGTGCATTCACATGGAAAATAACTTCATCGGTAGGCTCCTTGCATTCTAACAGTATTTCAACACTCCCGGTGAACTTAAAATCTTCAGGGTTTTGCTTGTACATATCGGGGTAGAGTTCTACCTTGTAATGGTGAGGGTGTAAGTTAGTAGGCAATCGCACATCAATGTTTGGTTTTGTGGTTGGTGCCGTAGTCATACCACCAACGTCCGGGCCAGTACCTGGAAAATGAAATGGCCAGATTGTTCAAAATGAGTGAAGACGTAGATCTGTTTATATCTCACGTCTGTTGATACATTTTTGAATCTCTTATTTATACAGGAGAGACCACACTGGGTAAATTATCAAGACTCTAGATCCTCTAGAGCCTTAATTGCTTTTGCTTTTGCTATTTTTCAAAAATTATCCCCTCTTCCAAAGGATTGGTATCGATATGGAGAACTGAATTCAACAATGTTTTTCTCTTAAACCAATCATTGAAAACATTCTGTAAAAAACACGGTATTTTATGTAATGTTGACTGATTGACAACAATTTAATGCAAAAATTATTTAGAAATATTTTATATAACTGTTTTTGTTAACATTTTTTTGTTTTTTAGTGCAATTGTTTTTGCTCCTTTCTACCAATTCTTGAGAATGAAATAAAATGTCTTTCCGAACCTTGTTGGAACAAAATAGCATATACAGCATGTTTTTAGACCTCTCAATATTATAGTTATACAAAGGAATTTTTGGTTGATTTTAAAAAAGTATTCAAAAAATTAACACAAAATTCCCAAAAAATAGATAAAAATCAAGATGTTTCATTTCGATTCACTCTGGAAACATGATACCAAGAACAAAACAAGTATTTGATATGTTTTCTAAGACAATATAGATGAAAGTATATATATATTTTTCAAATTATATTGTTACCATTCAAAAGATGACCATTAAATTGACGATGTTTTAAATTTTTAGATTTTTTTCATGACTGGTTTAAGAGAAACGTGTGTTCAAAAAGTTCTCCATATCGATACCACTCCTTTTCTCGCCAATTAAGGGAGCTAACTTAAACCCCCTTACATAGTTATTTTAGGATTGAGTCAAGGATGATTGGAAATTAGATCAAATTTCTATGTAGGACAAGAACTGGGTCAAATCGTATTTTTTTAATCTCGATTTATGTTCCATTGTATTCCTTTGAAATGCATTAGAAAATGTTTTGATTTCTCTTCCCGATTCTGAGATATGGCGTCCGGAAAGAAGGCCAAAAATAAAGTTCTCCAAATTTAACGTCAAAGGTGTCAAAATAATGGGAAATTTTCTTGACCGTCTATGGCCTTTTAAAGTAAAATTTAAGTTAAAAAGCCAAGATCAGAATCTTGGTCATTTTGTTAGTTTTGAACCATATTCAGTTACGTGATAATCCCGGGATTTCCACGTTCCTCACCCTTTGATATTCCCTTGTACTATTCACTCTAAAAATATAACATATGGCTTGTATTATATCAAACTGTTCGTCTTTAAATTGTCTTTTCGGAACTTGATTATGTTGATTCCTTTAAACGTTCTCTTGATTCGAGTCAATCTTCATTATCTTTCACAACGGGAAACACTATTTTATAAACACTACTACGAAAGGATACTTTATGTGTTATACATAAAAAATAAGCACTACTACCTACTAATTCTCAGGAATCAAAAGTTCATACTAATCATACCTATTGAGAGATAGATATTGCTTATCCTCAGCCCAGTTACTTATTATCCGTGTGTCTTATTACTACTGTGTGTTAATTAACTAAGTATTTCAATTAAAGTGTTGTATGTTTGCATTCAGGAAGCATTTAATAATTCTTCGCATATATAATATTGTCTGATAGAGTCTGATAGGCATCACAAGCTCATGTTTATTTTAAAACTATACTTTACGAATTTATGATAAGTGTATAATGTTCAATCATACAAATGCGCTGACGTGAACTATTTTGTAAAACCATTGACAGTGTGGAAATGATTCTTACACTCGAGGGTCAAGGGGGTGGGCAGTTATAAAAAATATAATCCGATGGTTCAAATTGGACAATTTTGAAAACTGCTCAACATGGTGAAAACTTCACGTTTTTAAAGAATGCTTGTCCGGCGAGTGGTTTGCTCTGGATTGCTATATGGAGAGAACAAAAACTTTTAATTAGGATTTCCCAAATACTTTATCATTAATCTAAACGACTTTTTAAACCGTCTCTCTGTTTACATATCATGCCAGTTAATACCATGACTGTGTTGAGAGGATTAAATGTAACATGATGGAATTACAATTTCATGAACTCATTAGTCTAAATGATAAATAGTTCATAATTTAGTCTTGGCTGACTAGTCCTGTATCATCAGAGTTGGATTGCAAATACCTCCTAAATCAAATATTCAAACTTTAGTGTACGGGGTGGGGAAACATTTTGGGTACACCCTGTATTACGACCTACTGACGTTCGCGAGAAAATAAATCTAATAGACACTATGTTTGTTTTTGAAAATTTCCCAAAATCATTTTGACATGTTAGATTCTGTACTAACTTCATGAATATGTATTAATAGTACGATCGTAAATATATGAAATATTTGATGCAATGATTTTGCATTTTAGAAAATTCAGATGAAGTTATGATTTTTGTATGAACTTACCTGGTTTTAAAACTATTTTCTCCAGCTCTGTTACTTTTGTTCTTAAACTGGAAATCTCATCACTCGTGTTACGTCTGAGTTTTCTCAGCTCTCTATTCAGTTTTTTGTATTGCTTTTCACAACATTGGTCTTCTGTGGATATCGCAATGATCAAAATCAGGAAAACGATAGAAGTGCAAATTAAATGCATGCTGATGGGTGACGCTGTCGTGTTTGATATTCTTGTATTAATAATGAGCTCTGAGCCACGATGGGTTTGCGCGGAATAATATAAAGAAAGTGCTTTAAAAGGTTCACTCACAAGCCACGTCACATTTTCATGAATCGTATATTATTGTAGCTGTTGTGCCTTATACAGTAGAGTGCTACAGAAGAAAAAATAAACCGTCAAATTTTGAAAATGTTTTAATTATGATAGATCCGGAAAACGCCATTCAATTAGTTCAAATCTTCTGGATTGATGATTATCAATTTATAGCCATGCAGTTATAAAGCCAGATATAAAAGACATTTCATTGTTTTCGTCGTTATCAATGATATATCAGCCATAACAGTTAATTCGTGTTTTTCTGTAGAAATGAGCACTGCACGAATTGCTTGGAGGGTAAAATACCGAGTTGGCACCCTGGGATCTAATCCTCCTATGGTCAGGAGGCGGAAACCCGAGCGTTTTCTTTCAAAGTGCAGGTAGGTGTATTTTCATTTGATAGTCCGTGAAAGTTTTATAGCGTTACCTGTCATAATATGTTATATAATATAAATTATATTGATATATATCATATATTACTTATAATTACCAATACGTCCATCACGTCCCCAGTACATCGGGTGAACATTTCATTGTTAAAAATTGACATCAATCAATCTAATATTTGAAGGATGTGGGGTCAACCGAAGATATTGAACAAAATATCTATGTTTAATTAACCTCACTCTATTAAAAACAGAGTTTTGAGTGTGAATTTGTAACAATGGGATACCTTCCCGGTGTATTGGGAGCGTGATGAGCGGATTTACAGATGTAGAAGTATTAAAAACGTTCACAGGCGACAGAATAAAACTATACCTGCCTATTTTTGAATTATGTTTCGGTTTTTGTAACGTTTTTCCTATGTACTTCATAAAAATACTCTACACAGTCTGTTTATTTATTGTTGTATTGTTACAAGAATGTTGTCTAGATTTTGTAACCGGCAAGTGTTTTCTTTGTGGTAGTGTGATGACTGATGACCCTGTGATCAAAGGTGGTATTTCCTTGTTTTTCTGATCACTGGTCATCATGTTTAGTCCCTTTAATACCATTGTATCATATTTAGTATTTAAGTATCATATTCATTTGACTTCCACGCTAGCTACCATTGATTTAAATTCACTTACATTTACTTTCCAAATTTCTTCGCTACAATTCATTGTCTTTGTATCTTTATCATTTTAACACGTTTACCGTATGATATACCAAGGTTTGACCAGTCGGAGAAAGAGATATCACTCATGTAAAATAAAATACATGTTGGCGCTGTACTTCATTATAAGACTGAAAACTAAACCTTCTCTTTACCCTGAGTGTAGGATGAATTCATCGTACACGGGCAATGGTACATCGGTACAATGATCTTTGTAAATTTTATTTTTGTCACAACATTTAAAGAACAGCTCTATTCATTTCAGTTTTTGAAAAATGGTTCATTTATGCTTCGTCGCTCTTAAAAATATTGCAAATGTAAAATACAGGTTATTTAAAATATAAAAGGGATCAATGATTTTATTCTGAAGTTAGTGTGATGTTTGAAAACACTAGCTACCTGGTAGACTCCAGTGTTCATCCGCGGGAAGAACGGTCCCTGGAAAGTCCCTGGGAAATGTTTAAAAGAAGTCTGTATTTAAAAACGAGAAAACTATCGAAGCGCGTGCAAACTCACCCAAACGTTAAGAAATAAAGAAAAAATATACAAATGCTGAATGAAGAATTTTCAATTTAATCATTTAGGATGCGATGTATTGACAATGGTAAAAACATACTCTTCCTGTATATATACAGGGTGTCCGGAAAGTAAAGATACAAATGCTCTAATTTCATTAGGTTTACCTGTTGTGAGATGAAATTGCTACAGATTGTAGAATGACATTGTAACAACTTATCCTGAAACTGTCATGACAAATTGTTTCAAAATAAAAAAGTTATGGTTGTTATGGTAACAGGAGTCGCGGGTATGTGGAGCAACGTCACAATTATGTTTTATAATTCCTTTCTCCTGTTCATATCATCTTGACGCTCCGTCGTCTGTTACAATTATGCATCAAATTATGTACCACAACAGCAAAGGGATTAGTACTGTAACATTATTTAATCGTTTGACATTACTACTGTTATCCAGTATTATGTATTTTCCACCTTTATCTAAACATTCTTGATGCATTTTGACCTGAGATTCAAAAACCTGACAAAACCTTACGTCAGTCTCTAAGATTGCTGATAACATTGGCTTCCAGCCGAGTCCCATTTTTATGTTGAACTTCTCACAAATATTGCTATAACATATTCATTAATGTAGAAGTCCAACGGGACATTATCAGGGAAATATGGGCCATTGTACAAAAAAGGTAAATGTCGAGACATTCAATTGTAAGATTTGTTTTCTTTACTTTGTGAATTGGAGCATTGCCTGTGGAGGTGCACTATTTACTTTCCTATTAATCCAGGGATCCTTTTTCTGAGCACTTATATACCCCTTTTATTTGATTATACTTGTGACATTACATAGTTCTGATATGTATCAATGATATCGTTATACTAACAGAATACTGTGGCAGCAAAAAGACAATATTGAACAAAGCAAAAAACTGACAAGAAATACAATAATAAACACTATTTCAAATGGTTAGATTTTAGCAATTTATCACAATTTAGCGACATCCTGGAACTGCTCCACATACCCCACACCTCCGTAACCGTGACAACCATAACTTTAACACATTTAGACTATATGTTATAAACGTTGGTAGATGTATTGTAATGTAGTTGCTCTTCAATCTGTAGCGATTTCATTACAAAAAGACTAAATCTCTTAAAATTAGAACATTTGTATCTTTACTTTCCGGACACCCTGTAAGTCTCCTAATGTAGACTATGTAATGGTTGATTTTGATATTGATTCATTTAAGACCAATCAGCATGAGCCAACTGAAAATTTCTACATCATGACATCTTATAATTTAATTAATACCACTTATTTATAAAGTAACCAAGGTAACCTCAAGTACAGCAACATTAACTGACAACATTTTCACAAATGATGTTAAACATGGATTATGTGGAATAATTTCTAATGGCATTTCAGATCACTTCCCTATATTTGCTATGATTTGATTCACCAGATAAAAGTAGTTAACAAATCAATTAGAAAATACTCTGACAATAATCTCACTACTTTCCAAGAGAAATCAACAAAAGAATCATGGACAGATATTTTCAATAGTGACAACGCAAATATGTACTTCTTACAATTTATTTGAAAACCGCCTTAAAGAAAAGACCACGTGCAGTATGGCAAGTGATTTTAGACGGTCATATCTTTCACCATGAGTACTTTCTGGGCATAAATACAGTGGTTTTTATTAAAACAATAAAATTTCAAGTGAAGTACCCATGGTGATAAAACTATAAATCAAACAATTCGAAAAATTATGAATAGGGACCCCATGTCAACATCTTTTTCAAAATATTGTACCTATTTACTCAAAAGAGGATCTTCTTTTTTTTGATTTTTATTGCATGAAAACATTATTCAACAAGGGGTCCAAGACATGTTCAAAAATAGAATGGTATTGAAAGTCTAGTTTTGAAGATATCAATTTTCGATGACCAAAATTATGCTGAAAACAATGGATAGCACGAGTTTTCCCTATGGGAAAATAACATGGGATATGTGGTTTTGAACGTTAACTCATTTCAATACCCATCCCCTTTTCAGAAATTGTAAATATAGTGTAGAGGTGACTTTCTATATGTTTAAATTGAGAAAAACAAGATCCTCTCTTTAGAAAATAAGCCCAACATTTTTCAAAAAGTCCCAAGGTGGGGCCCTAATCCATAATTTTTCAGAGTGTTGGATTGATATTTTATTATCATGGGGACTTCACCTGAAAGAAAACATATTGTTGTAATAAAAACCACTGTATTTATGGCCAGAAAGTACTCATGGTGAAAGATATGACTGTCTAAAATCACTACACGTGGTATTTTATGATGAAAGTTTCCCAATCAAAACAGTATCTATTTAATTATATAGTAACTAGAAATTGAAGAAGTTCAATTTCAGACTCCAGATGACAGATTATTTAGTTGACAGACGCACGGACGGACACCTCAAACATTGAATTTTTTCGTCGACCTACTTTCTGGACACCATATCTCAAAATTGGTTTTTGATACGTTATGACGGCAAAAAACTAAGATATAGCCTATTCTTGTCTCTCAGTACAAAACAATTCAAAGACAAATATATAAGTATACTGTAGTTCGATAATTGTGAAAACAAAGAAAATGACCTCGAATTTGACCTTGACCCAAGATCTTCAACATTTTGACTTGACTTATGATTTTTGGTCCTCTTAATCATTTAACCTATTTTAAACTAAAAGAAAACAATTTTGAAATTTGACGATTTTGACCTTAAAAGTTCATAGATCCCAAACCGGAAGTCAGATTTCAATTTTTATTTCAGATTCGAAATCCTGAGACTTTGTAGATGTTTGTTTTTAAAAAATTGGTCAATTTGAAGAACTTTTTTGTTGACCTACTTTCTGGGCACCATATCCCAAAATTGGTTTGAAAACCCCATGACGGCAAGAAACTAAGACTATAGGCCTTTTCTTGTCTATCAGTACACAAAATGTCAAAGAAAAATATAAATGTATAATGCGGTAATTGTAAAAAACAAAGAAAATGACCTAGATTTTGACCTTGGCCGAAAATCTTCAAAAGGATGGGTATCAATATGGTGAACTTTTTGAACACACGTTTCTCTTAAACCAGCCAAAAAAAAAATTCTGTAAATTTTACACATCGTCAATTTAATGGTTATCTTTTGAACGGTGACAATATAATTTGAAATAAATATATATACTTTTCTCTATATTGTCTTAAAAAACATATCAGACACCTCTTTTGTTCTTGGTATCATATGTTTGGAATGAAATGAAACATCTATCCGAACCTCACTGGAACTAATGACATAAACACAACGTGTTTAGGTCTCTCAATATTGTAATTGTATGTAGGAAAGTTTGGTTGATTTCAAAAAGGTATTTTTTGGGGGGGGGGTGGTTGTTTTAATTTTTTGAATACATTTTGTAAAATCAACCAAAATTTCCTTTGTATAACTATAATGTTGAGAGGTCTAAGAAAATGTTGTATATTTTGTTCCAACACGCTTCGGAAAGATATTTTATTTCATTCTCAAGAATTGGTAAAAAGGAACAAAAAACAATTGTACTAAAAACAAAAAATGTTAATAAAAACAGTTATATAAAATATATATAAATAATTTTCGCATTAAATTGTTGTCAGTCAGTCAACACTACATAAAGGGGCGTGTTTTACCGAATGTTTTCAATAATTGGTTTAAGAGAAAAACATTGTTGAATTCAGTTCACCATATCACCTTTTGACTTGACTTATGATTTTTGGTCATCTTAATCATTTTAACCTACTTTAAACTAAAAGAAAACAAAAAACGTTTTTGACCTTATAAGGTCAAAAATTAGTAAATCCAATAATTATCACAAAACTTATGCCATTGCTCGCTTATATACGTTATATATAAAATAATCGAAAAAAGTTTAATTGAACTGGGGGGGGGGGGTGAACTGAGGGGGGATTGTGTATATAAGAAATGAGAAGAGATGTAACTTGGCCTTATTTCGTATAACTCCCATTTTTCACTCTTCAGAGTGTAATATCCATTTTCTTACTGAGTTACTGTGTTTCCAAACACACGAGTTTGTGCAGATTTGCTTTGTCTTATAGACATATTAAACCTCCTCCGTTCATTCTCACCCTTCTTTCAATTTTTCAACTATTTAGACTAATGTTGATTTATAGCAAAAATATTGACTTTTGCACGTTGGTGACAATGTGCCTTTAATTGATTTAATATTTTAGAAGAATATCGGTTCAAAAAATCATAGAAGACCTAACATGTTTTACCATGTCGTGCGCTTATTCAATTAGGAATTCATTTGTAAACAATTTTTGGAAAAAAATAAATCTTCCAGATTTGCTGTTTTTTTTGCTGAAATCGCAACAGTTCATTTTGTCCGATCACAGGGCGTGATAGTTTTTAGGTTGAGTTTTACTGCGATATAGTTTTACTGGATTGATTAATCAATGGGATGCCATGTCACTCACTTGAATTGGTAATTTTCATTTGAAAGTAGTTTTAAAGAAAAGACCATTGCTCTTTATGACGCATCGTATGTCATCGTTAAAAATCAAGAATTCCCAGTTGTTTTTGAATAGAAGATAAATGACAGAGAGGTGAAAAAGATGTAATCAAGTTATTAACTTAAAATAAGTTGACATATGAGAAGGACTAGAATTAGATAACAAGAAGTGGGATCGAAAGATCAGATTATTTTTCGTAAGTATATCAAGACAACCTAATTTTTAACTCAGACATTATATGCTAAATCATACACGTGTTATTAATTTAGAAATATCGTTACTAATACACTCTATCCTTCCTCGATCACGCATGTGCTAGAATTTTGGCTTTTCCCCAAGATACGGTTTAGTAAATCACATGCAACGCAGCTAAGAACGTGAAGTGGGCCAATATTGTAATTTGCTTTTCAGTGGTAAATTTCAGTACACTCCCCTTCTTAAGTTTGGCAACCCTAACTCCCCCATTGGGCTACGTGTTAACAGCATTGTCCAGAAATGGCACCATTTTCTTCAGTTTTTACAGGATCAGAATTTATTCAGTTGCGATCCAGTCGCACCCCCTGGCTACGCCTATGGACAAGATCTATTGTTTTGACATAAACAAAACATACACATCTTCTTATGTTTTACAGACTTCAACTAAACTAAACTATACTATAAAGCATGTACACCCCCTCCATAAGTTTGGCAACTGGAAGTTATTATATGATAGCATATCAAAGTCTGTCGATGATGTTCCTTATTACCATATTTCAGATACTTCAATTTCCTATGCCAAAAACAAACTGGCTTTAATAAGTTATCCAAAGGGGTTCAAGTTGCCAAACTTATGATGGGAAGTGTTATCAGTCATAAACATAAACCATAACTACATGAACAACATTAGGATAGAATGGCACCTGAAATACTATTTTGAAAAATGTTATTTGCATTCATACATGTACAGGGTGTCCAAAAAAAACAGGACCGTAAGAAAGTTCAATAACTTTGCCTTGAAATTTCAAAATTATTTAGTTCATTCAATGTGAATTTAGTTGTGAAAGTTTGATAATCATAATCTACCAATTCAGTAAAAACTACAGCTTTTTTTTTATACATTATTAATTTATTTCATCATAATCATGTTTTACAAGAATGGCTTGCCAATCGCTTGTAAAGCATTATAGGCTAAGCTAGAAAATACATAAATTTAATTACAAATGTAAATGCATGTAATATGGAAGAATAGCAGCAATTGGATAAGAAATGGGAAATAGGACAGGCTGGAGTCATGTGTCATTGAGGGAATAGTAGGCATAGTTAATACTTGCTTGGAGGGTCCCATAGAGAATTATGATTATGTTAAGAGTTCTCCAGTAAAAAAATTGGCAACAAGAGCAAAAAGTACTACAGCTCCTTACAAAACATGCCCCAAATGTGCACCACTCCTCTCTATGCACAATTCAATCCGGCGAACAAAGTTGTTGATGATCCTCCTACACACATGTCTTTCTGAATGGACAAGTTTGTTCCAAGAACAATTGCTACTGGGGCTTACATCCTCCTGATAAAGTGTTACAGCATCCATTGCATTCTGAACAACATCGCCTGGGTGGCAATGAGGAAATATGGAATCATCAGTCCTTTTTGGTTTGAATGTGACTGGGGAATTGCTATCACCATGAACAAGGACCAGTAAATTCTCATTAAGTTTTGGAGGTCACTAAGCACCAGAAGGAACATCTAATAAGGAGATAAGCAGTGGTTTCAACAAGCCAATACCACCAAACACTGCAAATGATATGCTGAAATGCATGGTTTAAGCAATGCTTTGGTGGTCAGCTCATCAGTTGCAGAACGCAAACCATATGGGCAGCTCATTCACCAGATGTAAATCCTCCAAATTTTTATCTTTGAGGATTTCTCAAAGCCAATGTGTATAACTGACAGGCCCCTAACAATCTTAAGAGGCCAATGACTACTATACCCCAATATTAACCATCCACATTAATGTGTATAGGTCAGGGTCATTAATAACTTTGTTCGCAGGATTCGTTTGTGCATAGAGAGGAGAAGTGCCCACTTTGAGCATGTTTTGTAAAGTACTGTAGTTTTTGACACAATAAACTGATTATCATCAAACTTTCATTGATTGAACTAAGTAATTCTAAAATTTCAAGGCGAAATATGCATATGGTGTTATAGGGTATGGCAATGATAAGCTGTAAAAAGTACAAAACGGTAGATAATGAATATGTTTTGCATATTATGATGTCACATATAGTGTTAATATTTATTTAGAATAAGACATTTTGCTATAATGATACACATTTTTATTTGACCCTAGCAACAACTGACGTGTAAGGTGCCAAGCCCCCTTTCTTGAATTTTTAGGGGAAGGTAAAGAGAAAAATCAGAAAAATAGATATATGTACTTTTTGGTGAAACTTATGCATATTTGCTAACATCATCAGTGAAGTTTTTAATCAGGTTTTATACACCATAGGTCCTTACTATTTTTTTAAATGACTGATTAACTATCGACTGATTAAGAAATTTTGAAGAGAAATTATGAACCTTTAGGGACAAATTATCCCATATCTCTAGCAAACTTTGTTGGATAAGACCCAAACTTTCAGGAATTCTTTATACATGCCTTATTGATATATTTATGATGTTTCAATATAATTGCAACATCTTCAAATGAGATATTAAATAGTTTCAAACTGATATGGTCAAACTCCGACTTGAAATGATAAAATTTGCTGACTCAGCACTTTTGAGCCTGCTTTGCAAGGGTTCACAAACTTTTTTTACATGCCTTGGGGTCCCCTACAAGAAATCTAAAGTCAAATTGAATCTAGGTGTTTCGGACACAAATGTCCTTGGCCGTAGTACTATACATGCCAGTGTGTACACAGCAAGTATAAACTGATATGTTCATACCACCCAGAGTACTATAGTAGATAAACAAGTGCACTCATTGTATTATTTTAACAAATGCAATGCTGTGATTATGAAGTTCTATATATATCTTGAATCAATGTATTGATAAACCTACATGTCATATGACATTACTGTATTACAGGAAGGAAACAAATATAGCGTTTGAAAGAGATTAACAGACCAGAACATATCACTTGGAGAGTATTATTGATAGAGCTGTTCTGTTCATAACAGAGACAGAGTTGAACGTAGGGAAATACTCTAGGAAAATAAGTCATACTTAGCAAGCAACAAGGAGAATTTATTCGCAATCTCTATATTGTGTTCTCTGACAACACTGTCAATATCATGAATCTTCCTGGGACATTTGTTAAAGGGTGGCACAATGCCGACGATGTAATGAAGATGAAATACAATGCACTGGGCGCAACAGGGATGGATGTCTCTCTCCTAAGCTTTGGTATGATCGCATTTTTAAATAGGTTATCAAAACGATGAATGTAGGCCTATGTGTCATGTAGGTTTGCAATCGATATATGCTTAACATGTGTTGAAATTCTCTTTGTAGGCTATTGGATATGGATTGGCTGCACAATGTGTTAATAATACTTCAATTTATAAACATTAAAAACTGTCAAAATTTAACGATAATTGGACTAGGTAAAATATGCGCACAGATTTGTTCACATCTTGCACAGGTATTCAGACAAGAACCTCTATATCTTGCATGGGGTCCCGGCATGGGGTAAAGATGGCTGTATCTTGGTTTGTCATGTGTACCTTGAGTAGAAGTTTTGACATGTTTCATTTTTTGAGATATCAAAATAGATAAAGAAGTTGACGTCCCCAAACACGTTTTCTTTTTTTCATGGGGGTAAAGCAGACCCGATGATGCAATGAGCTTGCTCGGCGGTATCATGACTGTGTAACGGGTCTTAATGTATGAGTGTGCTCGGCGGTAGGTTCAAACAACGCGGATCCTCAAAGCATGTGCTCATGGTATATTCGTGTTTTAACACCCGTGTTTTTTGCCTGATATGCTTAACATCGAATATTATTATCCAAAAGTTCGAACTGATGGATGTTTTAAGAATAAGGATACCCTGGAATGATAAGAGCAAAATACTTTTATCATTATTTTCCAATCTGTCTCTGTCCTTTCACGTCATTTAAATTATGTACGCAACTGTAATACTGAGGTATAGTCTTGATATAATACCCTGCACTATATACTCTCACAACCTATGTCACAAGGACTTCTAGCTAGAATACTCATGTATGACATGATTTTAGGGGCGTCTTCTCTTGGCAGCGTCTTCCACGAGACAGATGAGGAAGAGTGTATAAAGGTGGTAGAAAAGGTTGTGAAAAGTGGCATCAATCTAATTGACGTTGCTCCTTGGTACGGTCATGGTAAAGCTGAAACTGTATTGGGAAAGGTAAGCAAGGCGAGCAAGTACTATTTTGTCATTGGAGTTATGGATTGTAATATATGCTCTCTTGCTAGAATGTGTGTCGTTATATAAAAGGAGTTGTTGGCTCTGGAGCCGCAATATTATAATATATACCCTTATTCATAGATGTGGATGTGAATGGATTCATGATTTACAATTAATTATCATGGAAAGACAATATGTTTAGATCATATGTCCAGGGTAAAACATTTTTCGAACAAATGATACATTATTTACATTAGATACATTTACTTACTCAAGAGCCAAGAGAGCCTTGTATTTTATGGTTACAGGGCTTGAAGAACATTCCAAGAGAGGCCTACACAGCAAATATTTCCCAAGGTTGAATCAATGTTGATGGCAAATTAGGGTTGATTCAAGCTTGATATCAAGCTTGATTCAACATTGAAAAACCTCAATGCTGATTCAACCTTAAAATCAAGCTTGATTCAACATTGATATTCTCAAGCTTGAATCAAGCCTGAAAAATCAACACTGAATCAAGCTTGAGATTTTCAAGCCAAAATCTACATTGAATCAAGCATGAATCAATGTTGATTTTCTCAAGCTTGATTTTTTCAGGCTTGATTCAAGCTTGAGGACATATTTCAGATTTTTTCAACTTTATTTTCAAATTTTTTTTTCAAATTTTTTTTCTAACTTTTTTTTCAAATTTTTTTTCGAATTTTTGCAATTTTTTTCAAAATCTTTTTTCCATTTTTTTCCAAATTTTTTTTCGAATTTTTGCACTTTTTTCAAAATCTTTTTTCAGCTTTTTTTTCCAAAATTTTTTTTTCAAAATTTTTTTCAATTTGTTTTTCAAATTAAAAAAATATTTAACATTTTTTTTCAATTACCTGAAGCGGGAAGATATGCTCGGAAGCCGGGGAATATGGCGGGAGATATGGAGGTTCTGGATATGGAAACCTCAAAATCAGGATTACGGGATATATCTAACCAACTTATCTCTAGCTCTTTAAAACTACTTGGCATAGGATAACACAAACTCCCATGCAGTGTCTCGGAATAGACATTGCGGCGGGCAGATGAAGAAATCTCCAAAATTTGGTGATTTCACACAATCACGTGACATGAACATGGGACAAGAACCAATCACATCAATGGTTTATTCGAAGTTGCCATGCTACGCTTACAGTAAACGATCTGCCCGCTGCAGTGATATGTTGAAGACTACACTGCCACGGAGTACGAGGATAACAATGTTGATTTAATCTTTATTAAACATTAATTTAAGTTGAGCCATATTATCCCTTTTTACAATAATGAATGCCTGTTTTTACAATTTTTTTTCGAAATTGCCTACACACAATAAGAAATACGTACGCCTCTGTCCTCATCGTCCTCATTTACTCTGGCTTTAGGTGTACTTGTTGATAAAATGAAAAACAAACAAAAGACGTTGTGTGTCATATGTTTAAATCATTAGCGTTCTGTTTTATTTATATTTGATTAATATGTAATTTTCCGATGAACAAATAAAATAATCACAAATGTAATACATTTTAGTACTAACATGTATATCTCATTACTTTTCATATATCTTAAGCGTAAAGAGGAGACCATAGTAAGTCTTTATCGGATCTTCTTCAGAAATGTCTATGGTCGTTTTTTAGACTTCATTTAGACGCCATTGCAATTGTTAAAGAAAATCTGGTCTAGCAATACATTGCTGGAAGTTCATTGTTGTTGCAAATACATATTATATACCCATGAAGAAGTCCATTAAAAAACCAATGTACAATGTCTTGATATTTATTATTTATATACTTATTATCTGCTTTGGGTAGCCTGAATAATTGAATCTCCAGATTGATAATTAAGTCAAGCCCGTAGCCAGCTTTTGCCAAGGGTGGGGTTTCACTTTCCAAAAATTCAAGGGACCCAAAATTACTTGAAAAGTGCTCAGAATATTGAAAAACTGCATGCTTTTAAAAATTTTGTTTGGAGGAGCAGTTCGATCCCACCTGGGTAGGGCCTGATAAGAAAGTAGTTACGAATACAATATTATAGAATAAGCTGCCTTATTTTATGAAGATGATAGATTTTATTCTCTTGGGTCTTCCTTCTTATTGCATCAGATTCTTTATTCATTAACTCTAACAGTACAGAGCACATATTATGTTTTTTTCAAGATCACACCTTGTAAACTGCAAACCTCAACCTACACAGAAGTCACGAAGTTTCAATTCTTAAGTACCATCATAGGCTTTCAAGAGATCAAAATCAAAATCTCCAGTTTGTTCAAATTTTGACAATAGTGGAGTTTCTTTACAGCTCTGAAGTCTCACGCATGTCACTTAAATAATTGTTATGACTTTACAACTTTTTTAGATTAAATCTCCACTGATGCCATGCTAAAATTCTTTAAAACACTGAATTATTCATTAGACAATCAACATTTTCATGTACATTGACAGAGTCATCCCATGCAATTCGGGTTTCAGACAGATTCAACCAACTGTACACTTCTACGCTTTTTTATAAACCACAAAATAAGTGAATATTGCAAGTTTCTAACATGTAAGTCCATGGCAGTCTGGCCCAACCAAAACCGTTTTTTCTGAAATTTTGATACTATAACTCAAATTGATTCGTACCTCGCCACGAATGTTTGATAAACTGAGATAACATAGTTTGTGACCTAGTTTGACTTTATACAAGACTTCTATTATGTCATGTTATCTTATGAATCAGACTGATTTACAACAGTAAAACCTTTATTAGTGAACACCTATCTCTAGTGGACACCCTTCCTCCACACAAACTCTACTCACTTCTGAATAAATCCCACTCTTTGAAGTGAACACCTACAACCACTGAAGGTTTTTTGTTGGCAGGAAATGTTCATGGAAATGAACATGGCGACAGTTGCTAGAACATAGAGTATCTAATACAGGGCGAAAGTGTTTAATATATATTTTTTTCCTCCCTGATGTTTAAATGATTTTGAAACTGGGTTAAAGTAGCACCTCTCTGTTGAACAGGAATGAACAACAGATACTTTGCTCACTTGATGCTGCATTAAGGGTATTGTCATAGATGGGGCTTGAACTACTTTTAAAAGGGTCATTTTTTCCTGCAAAAGTAGTGTTTCTTTATGAGATGTTTTGTCAACTAGTATAAATTCTTCCCCATTCACTTTCTCTCTGTACCCTTCCTTGAACATCTGAAATGAAATGAGTGGATTTACTTTTTATTGTAGAAATGATTCTCAGGCACAATTTTATTTGTTTTCATAACCAATAATAATAATTTTGAATAAACTGTTAATGATTCTTATTGCCATGGTAACAGAACTGAATGAAAATATCACCCAATGATTTACTGCACATGGATACTGAACACAAAAAGACAAAACAATGTGTCACCTCCAACAGATTATACTGTATAATTATTCTGAGTTAATCAATATTGCTGTATCCTAGTAGTTTGAACTTACATAGTATGTATCATTGAGTTCAATGATATCCCCATTCTTGACAGTAGCACCACTGGCTAAATGGATGCATTGGGCTGTTATTACTTCCATGCCATTTTTCACCTATAAAAACACACCAAGAGTTGTCAATAACCCAGATGCCAGGAGGATGTTACCAGTTTCTCAGCCTGGTGGCTAATTCGGATCTGATAGCATGGCATTGGATCATATAGTGGATCAATTTTCATATTACGCCTATGTATCTGATGGTTATACAAATGAAAATATGTCCAGGAAAAAAATGTATCTATCCACTAAAAGAAATCGCCCTGACTAGAAGTCACATTCTCAAAGAAAAATTAAGTTTTTAAAGTTGATTAACAATTTTTGAAACCACATTTCTAGATGTAATTTTACTTGCATTCAGATACAATATTTAATTTAGCCTAATACAAATTTTATTTCATGTTTAATGATCAAAATGAAGATTACTTCTAGTCTAAACGACTATCACTTACATTTAAAGGCACAAAGAGAAGCTTCAAAATTTGTCAAATTTATGTTAATAATTGCACTGTCCCAGATCATCTTATTCCATGGCTGTCAGATGGGGATGTGATGGATGTGACAACACGTCCGTCAATCTTTCAACCCCCAAATATATTTTCATTACCATTATTATTTCATTTATAGCTGAAATACTTACAGTAGAAAGTACTCTATTGTTTTCATCCCTGTTGAGTTTAGTGAGTTGTTGGGTGGATGTTCCTGTACCTTGTGGAATACCTAAGTACTTTGATATTATGGTGTCCTCTTTTAGTACACTGGATCCAGCCTGTCTCCTTAAAATAATTGTAAGAAAGCCTTTAAGGCAAGCTTTTTGTGATAAAAATGATGGCCATTTTCAATTTGAGGAACTTGATTGATTTTTATTACAAAATCATTTCATAAAAGAACCGTTTACAGTGACATTGGTTATTACAATGGACATGATGGAGGACATATGAAATTATCTATAAAGCTACTAAATGGACCAAAAATGAATTTTAGAAGACAAAGGATCCACGGTCCTGTGCTCACACAGTGTAGAACCTTCAGAGGAATGTATATCCTGACTTTCAAACAAAATTGAGCCTCGCCATAAGAAAACCGGTCTTATCACAATAATTAAAATTGTGCTACAGAGCCAAAAATGTGCCCAAGATTAAGAGGAAAATGTACTAAATTCAAATCCCTCTTTTTGATCTATATCTGCAAGGAAAATTGTTAAGACATAATCCATGGCTCATTTGAAATATCTCTTTGTGCTTTTTAAGATAAACAAAAAATCAAAATAATGAAAAATTCTGTGATAAGACCCCTTTTCCTGTGGCCTGGCTCAATTATTGATTTCGATTTGAAGTCTCGAACTTTGAGAAACTTAGATAGCACAGTTTGTGACCTAGTTTGATGGCCTTTGACCTTGAACATTTTACTTATTCAGAGCTCAGTAGGTCTTTTGTGATTAAAGTGACCAAAATTGACATCCAAAAACTCAATTTGAAAAATCAACTTTTTGACCTTTCGAAGGTCACTGAAGGTCATTCTCAAAACTAAGGTCAGATTTGAGCTCCTGGCAACTTGTAGATTGCAGGAAATGATCAAGTATAGTGAAAAACTTTGAAAAACTTGTCAATCACAAAACCTGCCATTGACTTTAAACATGAGAATGTTCCCTGAAAATGACTGTCCTGCTTTTTGTCAAATTTTATAGAGTAAACACCAAAAACTCTAATTCTCAGAGCTTTGAAATCTTCAGAGGACATATGTTGCACATACAGTATAAACTACTACCAATTATTTGAAAGTTCTACTTCAACAAAGTGTCTGATATTTACAGAAAATTTGATTTTTTGACGTCAAAATCGGCAATTTCTCCGAAACTGGGCAAACTTGGCGATGATAGGTGAAAATAACCTAGATGCGAGTAGAAATAATCTTGATTTACATCATTAAAAATTCAAAATTCAGTCAAATTAATACCATATTTGAAATCTACATATAAAATTACAACTAGAAATGTGGTTTCAAGCTAGGCGATTGGGTGCCGTAACCACGAGGTTGCGAGTTCGAGACGCGTGTGCTCCTTGTGTTTATCCACTGAAAAATTAATTTTCTTTAAAAATGTGACTTCTAGCTTCGGGAGATTCCCCATAGACCGCATAGACATTTTAGTGAACAGATAATATTTTGCTTTACTGAACATATTTTCATAAGTATAAGTATCAGACACATGAGGGTTATATGGAAATTGAGCTACTAGAAGCGAGGATCACATATAAACATTTGCACTGTGATCAAATTTAATGCCTTGAAGAAGTGTTCAGTATTAGAGACCTGCAGAGATTTGCTTGAAGTCTATGATTACCATGTCAACCCAAATTTTAATAAAATCTGTTTGATATGAGTAAGTTACAGCATTTGTCCCACTACTTATGAATCCCCCCTCGTATACCTGCCATGTTAATTGACCCGAATCAGTCAACTTATTGGCATTATGGATATGCATAAAATGAATGTGGATATGACTCAATCTGAACAGCAATTTAATTTGTGCGGCCAATGTTGACGGACGGACCATTGGCCCAACGGATGGTCGGACAGACGCCTGGTCAATTCCATAGGCTCACTGTGTGAGCCAAAAATGTAGTAAAAATGTTTGAAATTAGTAAAAGTTTTGAATCAGAAGTTTTTTCAAAAAAGGTTTTGCATTTTCAAATTAAATTCTTTTACCATACTGCGTCCTTGATATAGCCCCCTGTGACAATATGCTCCAGGGCCATCTCCCTTGCCTGTTGCAGGGCTGTATCTCTGCTAAGGTTATGTTTATTTTGTCTCTGATGGATATGTTGTCTGAAATAAACAAACATTATATGCATCATAGACTCTGAGATTGACTAGAATTTAAGTTTTCACTCTTTGCATCAAATATAATTTAAAACATGAATAAACCAAAATAAGTTTATGTCCTCATTGAAAGGTGGACCATGTGGTTGAATTTCTGCTGTTTTAAATAAATAGATACAACATGTTTTTTGAAAGACCTTTTAAAAATACACAGTCTACTCTTATAAAAGGGGAAAACGATGAAATGGGTTATCTTGCCTATTAATGTTTTTCATTTTCAATATGACAGCAAAACACAAACCAACCAAGTGACAGCCTGTAATTACTAGCTTGAGCATAGTGTAAGACTGTGCCTTTAATATTTGAAAATTATTTTCACCTAAAATTCTTGTGGCTCTTCTCAAATATATCTTCAGAGAACTCCATTAATGGACCGTGTTCCTGTATATCTTCCCTCTAAAAATGAGTATAAACTGATCATGCATACACAATACACATATATAATATAGTATATAGTTTATGGATATACCAGGTAGTTAGTACTTATTCTTTAATTCTTCCTTAAATTGGTATGGAGAGCAGCTAAAGAATATCTTATTGAATTAAAAAGGATAATTTTTGCTATAAATTACAAGTTAAATCTGTCAAAAAATGAATCTGTAATTAAATAGGTTATAGAATTAGTGAAAAAATTACTGAAGGTCAAATATAATTAAATCCGATGAGCCTTCTGTATATTAAATCCCAAAGTATGGGAGTGAATTTGAATAAACCTAGTAAAATACAAATTATCAGTTATAGTTGTGAATTATAGCAAAAACATTCTTTGCTAATTCAATGACAGGTTTTAGTTTTACTATGTGCTGCTGTTACCTAATCTTGAAGTGTGCATACAAGTAAACTGACACCACATCCCTCACTCATTAAATTGATGACAATAACTAAGCATACTTTTAGGTAGGATTGAAACTCACCACATGTAGCAATGTATGAACCTTATTTGACATAAGATCAGGAATGGATGTTTTTAGATGGTGATGGTAATCTTCAGCCAAATCTGCAATGTTGTTGCCATTTCTGAATGCTGCTTTACAAAGCTATAAACAAAGAAATACTAAGTAACAGTGAAAGAGATACAAATATAAAGCAAGGTGGTCTGTCCATCATCTATCTGTCATTCCGTCTACTAAAAGGACATCTCCTTCGTAGGCAACCCATGATTAGATGATCTGAGGTAAAGGTCATTCCTAGGCAAAATCATCAATATCTAGGTGTTTGGTGATTTCATGCCATTGTGGCTGCTGTGACCCTTGGCAACCAATGATTAGGTGATCACTTTCAAACTTTCACATTGTGAAACATCCTTGAAAATTTCATATGAATCCATGAAACAGTTTGGATGGAAACCTGTAGACAACATCTATTTGAATGACCAAATGGTGCTTTAAAACCAGAAAGAAGTCATACCTTTGCCAATTTAATAGCAGCAGCTGCTAGGTTGTCACCAGGTTTACAGACATCACAAATGAAAGGTGCAATCTGAATCTGAAAATAAAATATATCCATTGTGAGCGAATAATAAACCAACTTTGTTATCATACAATCGTCCTAAAGTACACGTGAGGCATTGACTTATGAGAGAGTTGGTATCTGTTAAAATCATTAATTTTTTCTTGACTATGAAGTCACTGGGTGTCATTAAGAAAACCCCTGTGCATGTGACAGCCCTATTAGTACAGCAACACTTACCCATGCTTTAAAATCTTTTCCTTGTCTGCTTGATATGTACTTGGTAAACTGTAAAGGAAATAAAGGAAAACAGTCAACATCATATATACATTCTTTCTATTTTATATGTAGTCTAGTGACTCATTATTATAATTTTATTTAAAGATTTTTATCATGTCAGGAACTATGATCAGTGATTTGATCTGTAACTTGTTAAGAAAAGTCACCATTTCATTACAATTTCTAAGGAAATACTGTATTCTCAGTAATTCTGCCAGCTAGCCTACCATATTTCACACTTTTTGCAAGAGATTAATAACTGCAGAATTTGAATAGTTCTAATTTGCTCACTGTTTTGAGGGAACTGTTGAAGGTTGTGGTGACTGCTTCCATCAGTTCTGTGTTATTGACCCTTTTGGTAATGGCCTTGGCCAGCTGCTTTATGAGGCCTAAAGACAGCATATGAAGTGTCCCATAAGGTACCAAACTAAAATTTAAAAATACAGTAGTTTCATGACAAATTAAATTAAATTAAGCTATCTACATGTACAATTTAATCCTTAAATGGTAATTTAGGGGGGCAGATCTGTGGTTGATCGATCTCGTGACTTGACATTTTCTGGCTTTTCTTAAAATTGAATAAGGCATCTTTTAGTGAAACCATTGTGACTCTAACACCTCTAGGATGAAAGTTATAGCTGGTTAAACTTACTGATATGTCCTATTTTTCAGTAGTTTTGACTTGAATCGATGAACCTCTATGTTCTTACAATATGAATACTAGTATCTCATTAATAATGGCTCAATATAGTTAAAAGTAAGGAAAAAATTGAATAAGCTTTTCGTTTTCAATGATACACAATAAGGCCTCGTATGATTGTTCCTTATGGAGATCATACAGTAGCAGATCTGCCCCCTCTAACAGTTGATGTAATTCTCTATAGCTAACCGTTAAAGGGTTAAGGAAAATTAAACAATACTTTTCACTTTATAGTTTTGGTTTATTTATTTACATAAATAAATATTATCATTTATTTATAACAAGTGTTATTTTGAAAATTAAAGTCTCAGCCATATTGAATTACTGCAACCTATCTTTCCAAAACTTGTACACTTTATTGTTAACTAATGTACACGTATAACATTGAATGCTTTTGGAGTTGTGAGTAGAAACACTGGTCAGAATCAAGATGCGGTAACGGCAGTTACCTTCTCATCTAAGATGGCGGACAGTAAATGTCGATTTTGAATTTTTTTTCAACGAATTAAACTACTTTATAATTGACGTAGTGCTTTTATATTTGAACTTGATAAGCCTTATATACAGGGTGGGCCAAAAAAAACCAATACCCAACTTTGAATCAGGATAAAAATAGCTAGGTTCAATATGATACATTGATTTATATATCATTTTAAAGGTTATCCATTTTCGGACATTTTGATATATAACACTATGTCATGAAATCAATATTAAAGTTTTACTATACATATTTGGGAGGTCGGGTTGCTTTTTAAGGTCTCCAGATTTTAGGGAGAAAATAGTAAATCTGCGGAATTATGTTAATTTTTTATTTATAGAATATCATTTTGTTAGGTGAATACATGGTTCTATATGTGCATAGTTGTGTGACTAAACATATTTTTTATGAATTTCAGTTTTGTTTACCATCAATAAGTACTCAAAAGGGTTCTATTAAAAGACATTAAACATATATGTGACGAGGATTTTATTTTCCAACAAGATATGCCTCGTACCATAGATCAAAGGAGACATTGGCATTCCTTAGCGAATAAGGTGTCAATTTGATTGATCTCGATGCTTGGCCTGCCAACAGCCCCGATGCTAATGTGGTTGATTGCCATACATTGAGCAATTAGACTAAATCTCAAGGAAATGGTACAATCACAAGCATCCAATAAACAGCATTGATGAGCTGAAACAGAATCCTAATGTTGAATGAATTTCAACAGACATCTCTCAATAAGGCTATCGATAGATTGCCACTTGGAGCTTATTGTTGACGCAGAGGGGGAAAGGGGGAGGGGGTAAATTGAGCAATTGTTAAAATTGGTTAAATAATAAATAAATAAAATGATATTAAACAGCACTGATATTCATAAACAATAATTAAAGTCACACAATGATGCAAATATCAATATCCAAGCATGTATTCACCTAACAAAAAATGATATTCTATAAATAAAAAATTAACATAATTCCGCAGATTTACTATTTTCCCCCTAAAATCTGGAGACCGTAAATAGCAACCCGGCCTCCCAAATAAGTATAATAAAACATTACTATTGATTTCATGACAAAGTGTTATATACCAAATTGTTTGAAAATATATAACCTTTAAAATGATATGTGAGTCAATGTACCATATTGAATGTAGCTATTTTTATCCTGATTTGAAGTTGGGTATTGGTTTTATTTGGCCCACCCTGTATAATAAGAGGAGGGAAAACCCCAGAGTTTTAGCGATGACACACATATTACGTCATAACAAGCTATGATATTGGTTAAAACGCCAGAGATCAACATTTAATTATTCGAAGTATTCGAAGCTTGTTTAGAAAATTTTGAAATCGCCATTGTTTGTCTGTCGATTTGACCAATCAGAGACATTGTTTGTCTGTCGATTTGATTCTTACCAGTGAGAAAGAGCTTAAAACATGATTTTCCATACAGAAAAGTCAGGGTATGGGTTTGCTTTTATATATTTGGTACAGTCTTCATCTCGTATATCTTACCTGTGTGGATTGATGTCTTCCAAGTTATCTTCAAACAGAGGATTATCTCCAGCTTTTGTTCCTGTTCCTCTTTGGTAATTACGCCTTTCTTGCATACTGACCATTCTATTTAAACTGAAAGTCAAAACAAAAATATACAAGCTAGACTTGTCAAAATCTGCTACAGAGACACGGTGGCCTGGTAAAAGTGTTGAGATACATTTAACCAAATGAGATTGATAAATCTCAAAAGCTGCTATTGATCATAATAAGGAATATGAACAGATAACTTTACTTCATCCAACCAAATTTAGTGTAACTTGTGATAAAAGAACATTAGATACATTGAAGAACTATTGATTTCAACACTTTGCACAATAATGTCTTATTTTGACAGCATAAAATACTTACTTAGCCAAGTCTTTCTTTGTGTCTGTTGTTGTTCTAGACTGGCACAGGCTATAGTCACCCTTAGTTACCTTTGGTGTAAAATGATAATGTAAATGTTACAGTATCATAAAATAGTTATTAGTAATCAAATCAGATAGCCTACTGAATTTGCAGACTTACAGATAAATAACTGATAATGCAATAAATTAATTGATTCTTAGGATCACAGAGAGTACTACTGACAAATATATTTATGATAATTCTAAATGCAACTTACTTTGCATTTTGGACAGTACATCCTAGCACTACTACCAAGGTGGCTACACAGGTCTGAAGAGGCCATCAAATCTGTGACAAAGCACCCAACATGACAGGTAATGTGTGCAACAACATTTTTCTTTGCATCATATGTTTCTATTTTTGTTCTGTAAATGAACATTATTTCTTGATTATGTCTTCATCAATAAAGTTTATCATATATCACGGTGGAAAATCAAAATGAGGGCACAGCCACGGACTGCGACTCGCATAATTTTACAACTCACCCCAGAGCAAAAATGGGGAAACATCCGGCAGTGCCTTCCACATCTAAGCACAAAACTGAAGAATCAAGGTATTTTGAATTTTATTTTAGTGTCTATTCGGTGACTTAGATATTACTCTGTATCCATTGTTGTTGATCATTAGAAGATAATCGGTTTTCCAGATTAAGCTGAAACAGTAGCAAAATACCTTGATTCCTCAGTTTTGTCCATTGATGTGGAAGGCACTGTCCCTCAATTTTGGCGCTGGACTACGTTGAACAGTTACCCAAGTCGCAGTCAGCGGCTGTGCCCTCATTTTGATTCCCCACTATGTATATACAGATATAAGATTAAACTTTGTACAGGGTGTTCAACAAATGGACCAATCTATAGCATTTGTCATAACTTTGAAAAAACTAAATCAATATTGTTTCGGGTATTAAATAAAAAAATAGTAAATAAATACCCTTTAATATCTTGCAATTCCATGCATACATCCCCAACCAAAACTGCTTCTGAGACATCTGTTGAGATGCCAAGAGGAAACGTATATTTGCTCTTGTAATCTGTGGAGAAACCTAAACAGTAGAAGTTCACAAACATGCACATATAGCTACACTATACTTCATAACAATGTTTCGATACAGCCCACCTTTGCAAAATTCAATTTTAGAATTCTTTGATTCATTCCATTCCTTGTCATATATAAATGGTGCATAAAAGAATGACATTCCAACTTTAAATCACAAAACTGCCTTCTATTCCCACATATCAAAGAGTTCTCATTGTTTCACTTTCCTAGAGGCCTGTGGGTGTTATTCACACATAATTCTCTATAACTCTAATGAAAATACCTGAAGGCTGCATCTGTACACCTACTGCTGGAGCCCATCTTTTACTTGTGGCTGTGCCAAAACTATCCGCAAATATGTTAAATGGGATGTTGATATTTCCCTCTGAAAATGTAATCAATTTACTACACTCTGGACATTTAGAAAAAGATTTAGACTGTCAAAATGCTATGTATTCATAAAATACCACTAAATCATTCATGAATGTTTCCGAGAAAAGGGCATACTATGGAGAATGTAGATGTATCACAATTGCCACCATCATGAACCTACACATCTAAAATTCATTTACCTTCAAAGTTCAGTCTATGCCATCGTCTGGCATTGCTTTGTGTTTTGGGCACATTGGATTGCACTTCTTCTTCTTCAACCTGCTGGCTAGTGTTTAGCTTCATCCTGGGATTGGATACAATCATCTGTGCTATTTTGCCAGGGGAAACCATATAAACTGGAGCTTCATTATGTTGGAACTGTAAATTAAACAATGTTTAAATAAGAGGAGCACAGATAACATGTAGGAGCACAAATAGCATGAAGGGTATCTTGCAGACATAGAATTTGCTGTAAATAAATCGTTCATTTAATAAACTATACAATATGACCAAAGCATTGAATAGCTGCAAAAATTATTTCCCTCTTTTTCATTTCTGTGTCTGCCTGGTTGTGCAATCCGATTTCTGGGATAAGTTCGGGATTACCACTCAGTTATGTTTTAATTTGCCTATTTGCATTGAGAGTAATTAACAATGAAAACTTCATCAAACACCTTGTAAATCTATGATCAAACTATATTCCAATGTTAAAAAAATGTATGCCTGCATGCCTTTTTTATCATTGATGAGCTCTCTAGATTGGGGATTTCAAAGGCCTTCAACTGTCGCAACGAAGGAACACCTTCTACACTCAACTCCCTCATGGCATGAATAACCATGTTCATCATAGGATCAGACTAAAAGAAATGAAAAAACAAGGCATTAACATGACAAAACACCACTTAAAAAAAATTAAAACAAGTTGGAAAGACCTTTTTGACCTTGAGAATGTCAATGAAAGTCAGATACTGAAATCTTAATCAGATTTGAGCTTCTGGGATCTTGAAGATGATTTTGAAATTCTTTTAAGTCCTTTTGAAGCAAGTTGAAAAAAGACCTTTCTGACCTTTTTTGACCTAGAGAAGGTCATTGAAGGTCAAATCTCAAATCTAAAGTCAGATATGAACTTCTGAGACTTTGTAGATGATTTAAAAAAAAAAGATTGTTCAATTTGAAGTTGAAGCAAAATGAAAAAAGACCTTTTTGACCTTGAGAAGGTCATTGAAGGTCAGATGTCAGAAAGTCAGATTTGAACTTCTGTGAACTTGTAGATGATTCAGGAAAAAATGAAGTCAGTCTAAACAGTATTTGTTAAGTTATTGAAAGTTGTAAGAAATTTTTACAGACGCCAACCGCCGGACGCCAACTGCCGGAAGCCAACCACCAACCGCCGTCACAAAAAACTGAGACCATAACACTTTTGGTGGTGATATAATAAAAGTGTAGTTTGAACACTTTGATTTATAACAAACAATTGTAGTATTCATAGTCAATTAATGATATCCAAAACAGACAGTATTTATTGACTAAGCACATAAGGCCAAAGGAAGTAATTCTTTGTTTTGCATCCTTGCAGTGTAAAGGCTTGATAGGCTCAATTAGCTGACAATTTTTGGAAAAGTGCTTCAATTTTCAAGTGCTTTAATTTGACAAATAAGTTTCACATTACCGCATCTTTATTACATTACATTATTTATTATATATTAGCCAAAGTGGTCAAAACTTTACAGAGGCCTTGAAGATAAATATAAATACAAGTAGTAACCTTTTTGTTTATTTTTCCCCCAATCTGTCTGTTTATATTGTACACTTACCATATGATGTGTCCTAGATGTTCTCATAACATACAACAAATAAAAAGCCTTTGTTGGAAAGGGGTAGTATTCTCTATCTGAAATGAAATTGATATAATTCTATTCAGTGCAATTACATGAATTATACATCATATTAGCAGTAAACGTAGAATGTTGGCATTCATGACATGTACATGAACTTTTCTGAAAATATCAATTTTTAGAGATATACAGTATCAAACTAGAAAAACAGCAACTCCATGGAGTAGCAAATCCCACCAAACGAAACATGTTTTCATAATTAGTGGCCATCTTGAAAAACAGCAATCTTGAAAATTTCTTGAGCGTATCAGCATATAAAATTGCTATGTGGGTGATAATAGGCGATTCAAACGTGAAAATGAGTGCTTTTTTCGTAGTTTTCCTTTAACATTTATTGGTAGATAAATTTTGGTGCTTGTTTGGTTGTTTGCTTGATTGGTTGTGTCACTGGTACGTTCAGTGGGATGTCAGTTGGGCATTTTGAGGCATGAAATGAAAAAATCAAATTCCTAACCCTGGTAGGAAGGTAAGGTACCCGGTCACCCGGTTACCCGGTTTTTTACACAAACCCCACTTATTCATTTGAATTCATTTACCTTCCAGTTCTTCAAAATCACTATTGTACATGTTCTCATCATCACTGTACGGCCCATAAGCATAATCATCCTCAGACTCCGACTCAGACATCACAATATCATCATCAATAGCCCAAGGCCTAGAATGATCATCATCTAGGCTTAGATCTACTTCTTGGAACAGCTCAGCGTCAGTTTCACTTTCATCATTACTTCCATTTATACATCCGTGGGCAGGGCCAGGGTTGTCAACACGAGCATCATTACCACCAGTTTCTTGCTCGGCCTCGGGAAATTGAGAAATCAGTTTTAAACGTTTGTGTTTCGATGTTGTCAAATGATCTTCAAGTTTCTTCTTCCTGTCAAATGATACCTCACACGGTCTGCATCTGAATGTCTCCATACCAGTAGTGTGGTATTGTAAGCGTTCAAAAGAGTCACTATCAAAATATTCTTTTCAATGGCATGTTGACATCTTCAATAATAAATGTGGAGTTTGAATATCTTCAAATGTTCATCTTGATTTTATCGAAATCAAATATGGCGCACTAAACATTGATGACGTCACACTCATATACGCAGGATATAATCCCCGAGAATTTGGCATTCCCCATCTACTTTTAAACATCAAATCTAATGTTAATCATGAAAAGAAGTCAAAACTTAATACAGTTATTAAAAATGAAACATTTGTCAACATTGCCATTGGCCGACATTAATAGATGTTATAGAATTATGTTATTAAATGCGTAGTAATCGCAGTGGTTGGTCTGTGAACGCGACGTCCATTGGTTGGCTGCTTTGTGATATTGATATAAGGTAAATATTTCTTTTGTTTTTATGCTTTGTACCCGCCCACTTACCTATATATTTGTAAACAATAGCACGTGGATATATATAAGTTCACAAGGGCAATATTTATGTTCAACTTTTATACGTAGAAACAATTATTTTGGGTTCCAAATCCGAGTAGCGATATTGACCAGACGAAATTCGGACAAAATCGAAAATGAGAGTGAGTTAGGCTAGCCGTGGCCAAGATTCGTAACTTGATAGATAAAAGAGAGCTTTATCATTATGTGCATATTTTAAATTTGAAATTTCCAGTTTATGTGATAAGAAAATGGAAAACAGCCAGGAAGACATGTTCATTGCTGGAAGTGGTGTTAGCCCTAGACCCGGCAGTACAGATCAAGACCATCACCATGTTCATGTTCAAGATAATGCTAGGCCAACAGCGGCGCCTGCCGAGCCTGTAAGTTAATAATATAATAGACTATATAGGCCTGGAGCCTAAGGTGAATATAACATGTACATTCATTGTCAGTTGTACAATATACGGAAAATAGATTTTACCGATGATTCCCTGATGCATTTCAATCAGAAATGTAGGCCCAGTATAGACAGTACAGTAATCGCAACATGAACACCGTTCCGTTGTCATTTATCCCGTTCCCGGGAACGGGATAAGTTGTCATGTCTTCCAATAAACCCAAAAACCAACCAGCTAATACTCTTATTTCATTTTGCAGTCTATGCAGCAGGTCTATAGTATGCTAAAGAAAATTGAGAAGAGGTTGGACAGGCTTGAGAGGCCCAAATCTGACATTATCAAAGATTATAAGGTATGGAAACCTGTACCCCCAATGCCATAAATGTGGGGTTGATTTTTCACAACTTCTAGTAGCCTACATGTACATGTATGTTGGAATCTTGGGGTTTTAAAATGTTGTCAGTACTTGACACAAAGCTGAATTTTATCTAAATAATCATTTAGTAATTTTCAACCCCAAGATTTCAACAATCCTGGTCAACACGCAAGTAGTTTCAAATCAACCCCACATTTATGGTAATAGGAAACCTGTTAACTGATTATTTCTAGTTCTACAGACATATTTGTCCATTTCTTTGTAAGTATAACAAAGTCTTTGAAGTTTTTGTAGATGTTCATAAATACACCTGTACTATGCTCACCATAAATAAATGACACCTGACTTTTCTATCACCATTTCCAGACCATTATGATTTGACACTTCATAATTTCCAATAATGTCTACACATCCTGTAAGTTTTGTATATTTTAGATTTTGTATACTTTCATCAACTGATGAATGACCTCTTGAAAATTCTCTGAATTTTAACATGGGGAATCCTCACTTCAGCAAATTCAGGTGTTATTTATTTATGGTGAGCACTGTAACTAAATTTATTGTTTCTTTGTAGGATGAGTTGCAAGATCTATGTGGACAGTATTTCATGCGATACTATTGCGCCCTGCCACCAAGACACAACCCTGCTTCACTCATAGTAAGTGTCAACTTTAAAGGCAGAATCAAATTTATAAGGGGTGACAAAATTACAAGCAACATATACAATTTACCAATTTATTCTTATTCCCAAAATAGTCATGATATGTTATAAATTAGGGAAGTTATTATGGATTCAAAGTGCAAAAACGGGTGAAAAATTCAAATTCTCCCAAATAATAAGAATGGTTAACCATTGTTATAGAAAAAAATAATAAATTATTGTAAAAATCTTTTGTTTTCCTGAAATAAAGTGTGCACTTTAGAGATTTTTTTGCCCACATCTCCCTGTACATGTATGATCTCACCATTTGCCCACATCTACCTCTCTTGTGTATGGTCTCACCATTTGCCAACTCCCTCTATTTTATGGTCTAATCAATTGCCCTCCCTTCTTGTATCTATGACCAATTACCTACATCTCCCTTCTTGTATCTATCACCAATTACCCACATCTCCCTCTCTTGCATGGTCTCACCAATTACCCACACCTCATTCTCTTGTATATATCACCAATTGGCAATTACCTACTTCTCCCTCTCTTGCATGGTCTCACCAATTACTCACACCTCATTCTCTTGTATATATCACCAATTGGCAATTAGCCAATTACCCACATCTCCCTCTCTTGCATGGTCTCACCAATTACCCACACCTCATTCTCTTGTATATATCACCAATTGGCAATTACCCACTTCTCCTTCTCATGTATGGTCTCACCATTTGCCCGCATCCCCCTTTTTGAATCTATTACAAATTACCTACATCTACTTTCTTGTATCTATCACCAATTACCCACATCTCCCTCTCTTGTATGGTCTCACCAACTACCTTCATCTAACTCTCCTTGTATATATCACCAATTGGCAATTACCCACTTCTCCCTCTCTTGTATGGTCTCACCAAGTACCCTCATCTAACTCTCCTTGTATATATCACCCAATTGGCAATTACCCACTTCTCCCCCTCTTGTATGGTCTCACCAATTACCCACATCTCATTCTCCTTGTATATATCACCAATTGGCAATTACCCACTTCTCCCTCTCTTGTATGGTCTCACCAATTACCCACATCTCATTCTCCTTGTATATATCACCCAATTGGCAATTACCCACTTCTCCCCCTCTTGTATGGTCTCACCAACTACCCACATCTCATTCTCCTTGTATATATCACCAATTGGCAATTACCCACTTCTCCCTCTCCTGTATGGTCTCACCAGTTACCCACGTCTCCCTCTCTTGAATGATCTCACCAATTGCTATTATCTCCCTTTTATTACCTCATATCTATCACCAATTAATCACATCTCCCTCTCTTGTATGATCTCACTATTTGCCAACATCTCACTCCTTTGTATCTGTCACCAATTACCCACATCTCTGATTGTTAACCAATTGCCCAAATCTCCCTCTCATGTATGGTCTCACTATTTGCAAACTTCTCACTCTCTTGTATGATCTCCCCATTTACCCACTTCTCCCTCTCTGGCATTACCTCACCATTTGTCCACATATCGCTCTCTTGTAATACAATGTATGACCTCACCATTTTCCCACTTCTCCCTCTCTTCTATGATCTCACTATTTGCCTATTTCTCCCTCTCATGTATGATATGATCACAACATTGCCCACTTCTCCCTCTTTTGTATGATCTCTCCCTTTACCCCACTTCTCCCTCTCGTGTATGATATACATATTTATTTTACCATTTCTTCCTCTCTTGTATGATATCACTATTTACCCACTTCTCCCTCTCTTGATCATCCCTACTTTTCTACACTTATTATTCAAATGTGTCTATTTTTGATTGCAGCGCTTAGTGAAAGATATGATGGGCGAGGACCGCAGAAGAACGAGTTCTGTGTGTATAAACAAATGCCTCACGTATATTAGAGAAAGAATGGTTTATTATCGTTCTGCAACAAAAAACAAGGTATATACTATATAGTCATTTAAAGAGTTGTAATTTAAGAGAAAATGTCTTACAAAATGCCATATTCCATTCAAATCTTCAAACGCAGACGTTTTTATTTTTTACAGTAACGTTGTAGTTTATATTATACATTTTATAAAACATGTGTATAATTTAATCATGCAATAAAAATTAACAAACTTCAAAGGAGAAAACTGGTTGTACAATTAATGAAATACTTGTTACTTTATAAAATACAAACATGTGATATGAACGTGAAATATGTAGTGAATGACTGCAGGGAGGAATCTTATTCTATTCTGATTTTATTCAGATAAGATTTATGGTAAGAAAATTGAATATCCAATACAGCATATTCATTCATGATTCACAATTCTTTTACTTTTAGATGCACCAAAAGGGCAAGCATATGCAGGGTAAAACATTACTACACCTAAGAAGAGCTGTATTTAGTAACATTCCAACTGGCACCTCTTCAGAAGAGGATGTGCAGCAATGCCTCATGGCAATGGTGAGTATTATAGCATTGGAAAATACAATTATTAGAACAGGTTCAATGATGCAGTCATGTTTTTAATCTATATTTGCAATGGAACATCCATTCTTATTGACATTTTCATGATTTATTCTGGAGACAATTTCCAACTTGTAAATTAAATATTGTATCAAAATTCATAATCTTATGATTTTGATAGCTTTTTTTTAAAAACACTTCAGTGTCAATAAAATACAGTTTTCCATGTTGGAAATTGCCTCCAGAATGAATCTTAAAAATTTCAAGAAGAATAGTTGTTCCATTGAAGTTGTCTGGGGTACTATACACTATACAGCCTATAGGTGATCTAGTTAATATATCCATTGAAGAATCAGTTAATTAACAATGAACATTTAACAATAATTTGAAAAGTAGGCCTAATGTGAAATAACTTCTTTGAATGTGTCAACAAATGTATTACTCTAGGAGCTAGCAAACATTTATAAGACATCTCGAGTACAAAAGGTTTGAGGCCTGTAATTAGTAGATGTGGGTCTAACATCCCCAAAAAGGCAACTCTTAAGTGACAAATTTGGGGCTACCACCAGGGGGCACTTTTTGAAATGCCCCTAAAATCAGTTTTAAATGACATCTCGAGTACATCAATGAAACCTTTGTCAAAATGTTCCTTTGGACCCTCTGAAACATTATGAGTCCTTAAGAGTAGCCAATTTTGGGGTTTAACCCATTTCTGAGTGAGTTAAAGGTCACCATGGATACAGCCACACACAATCAAAATGCTGTATCAGAGCCTTGTGAACTTGAATATATTTGATATTCTGATATATCCATAAAATATGTAAGAAGACCTTTCTAACAAGTCATAATACATCAATATATGACAACTTAATCCAGAGATATTGAACTTTTTGCGTCAATTTTGATCTAAAAATGAACATTTTTAAGTCTCGTCTAATTTGCATTCGTAGCTTCAGGCAAAAGGTGACAGCTTAAACAGCTCAAAATAGTATTCCAAGAACATTTCCAAGGTTTTTGTAATATTGTAATACAACTATATAATGCTGAATCACTATTTTGTAATTTAAATATGACGTATAGTGCCCTACCCCTTCAATATAGAGGAAAGCAGGCATAGTCAATGTAATCATTTTGCAGCATTAAGTTGGAAACATGTAGCACTAGAAAGTGAATCAATGCATCCAAAGCATCTTCATATGTTGTTTGACATTGTAATTTATCTTTTACTAGAATATAGGACTCATACACCTTTTATATAACATATATAAGTTTTCAATATAGTACATGTATTATAATAGAATACTAATGTTTCATGCAATCCAGACAAAGGCATGTTATAAACATTATATAACTATTAATATTTTTCATCTGAGTAACAAGATTTAAATTGTGTCCCATGTCATTTGAGGCATATACCTTAAATGTTGAGATCTGTATTTCAATCAATGTGAACTTAACATAGTGAAGGCCGTTTCCAGTATGCTTGTGCGATCTTAATAAAAGCATTCTGTTCTTCTCTTCTCCGATGCTTTGTGGCTTAATGTGGACCGGGAATGAGAACTGCAATATGGTAAGATGATGAGAACTAAGGGGCCCTCTTCAACAATTCGTTCCGTCAAATATTTTACAAATATTTAATTACTCAGATGTGAGAAGGTAGTTACCAGTTTCGCCACTAGGTGGGTAATTTGGGGAAAATAACATAGCAGGGTATTACAAAGTTCTTGTAAACTTGAATATTCATTAGTTTTAGTGGTTCACTTTTCATATTACCCTTATGTGTTTGATAGTTATACAAATGTCCAGTAAAATAAAATATTATCTGCCCAACACAAGAAAGATATTTTTGAATTTTAAATCTTTAATGTCGTAAGTCAAGATAATTTCTACTCGCATTTAGTCTATTCTATTGAGGTGAATACCTGTCTTTATTCCACCCTTAGTAGTGTTATAGGTAAATAACACGCAGGAATATAATTGATATGTGATGTGAGCGGATGATATATATATCACCCGCTCATCTGATCTACAACATCAAAAATTCAGGGGGTAGATACTGAGCCAGGGGACTTTGCTTTTATTCCTCATAATCTCAGTTTAAAGGTGAAACAATTAGTGCAATTCAACAATCATGAACCAGTGTCAAAATATATTTAAGTTTGGATATTTCATCAAGACTTACTTATATTTTTATTATCTACAAAGAAACCCCCTGGATGAACACTATTTGAAATCTATTTCAGCTGATATTCCTCTTGAAACATAGTAGATCTTAAAAATCTATAAGTGGGACTCCCTTTATAGAATCATTTAATTGAATTTACACTTCTTAATGCTGAAATTGATAGTTTATCCATACATTTTACAAGAAAATAGGTATGCCAAAGAAGGTGTTAAGCCAAATGTTGACCTGATAGATCAAAAAAGTAACAAATTTCGAATTTTCTCTCTACAGGCCTTGTTGCCCCTTTAAATGCTCCATTTTTGATACAGGGTATATCCCTAGGTGAATACATTATATCAACCCTCGGTTCCTCCTGTCCCTTGGGTAGATATATTGTATTTCCCTCAGATATACCCTGTATCAAAAACCTTCGATTCCATTAAATAACCTTTATATCTTTCACAAGTGATATTCCACGAAGCCCGAAGGGCTAATGGAATATCATCTTGTGAAAGTGCCACATTTATTCACCTCAATAGAATTAAATATTTGTTTTACTATTCACTGTTATATTCCTCACTCACATTCCTTGAATAATAACTGATGTCTAATCAATCACAACAATGTGCTCCTGGGCTATACAAAATTGAAATAATACGGGACCAAGTCGTGACTGGTGAATATCATTTGATATTTGATGCTAGACTTGGACTTCCGTTGATTTCACCTATTATTTCCAGTACAAGGAGAATCTGACAGTGAAATAGTAAAATACAAATACTTAATTCTATTGAGGTGAATATTTGTACCTCTTTCACAAATAATATTCCAGAAATCCCTAAGGGCTAGTGGAATATCATCTTGTAAAAGTGTCACAGGTATTCACTGAAAATAGAATTAAATATTTGTTTTATTATTCACTAATATATTCCTCACTTACATTAATGGAACAACAAACTATTGATGTCTGATTAACCATAACAATGTACTCCCACAACTACATTAACTTGAAATTACATGGAACAAAGTCGTGACTAGTGAATATCATTTGATATTTAACGGATGTCACATGACTTCCTTTGAATATCGCTTGTTATTTTTAGACACGTGTGGGACATGGACTTATCAGAGAGTGAGAAACATAGACACATCAGAGAGTGAGGATTTCTTATAAACATTGTTATAATTATAATATTTAGACTGCATGATTACATAATATTTCACTGATTTCATTTTAAGAGAGGCACTATATCAACAACTTACATATAAAATGTGGAGAATCCAATATTCTAGTAAGACATAAATTACAATGTAAAGCAACATATGAAGATGCTTTGGATGCATTGATTCACTTTCTAGTGCTACATGTTTCCAACTTAATGCTGCAAAATGATTACATTGACTGTGCCTGCTTTCCTCTATTTTGAAGGGGTAGGGCACTATAACGTCATATTTAAATTACAAAATAGTGATTCAGCATTATATAGTTGTATTACAATATTACACAAACCTTGGAAATGTTCTTGGAATACTATTTTGAGCTGTTTAAGTTGTCACCTTTTGCCTGAAGCTATGAATGCAAATTAGACGAGACTTGAAAATGTTCATTTTCAGATCAAAATTGATGCAAAAAGTTCAATATCTCTGGATTCAGTTGTCATATATTGATGTATTATGACTTGTTAGAAAGGTCTTCTTACATATTTTATGGATATATCAGAATATCAAATTTATTCAACTTCACATGGCTCTGATACAGCATTTTGATTGTGTGTGGCTGTATCCATGGTGACCTTTAACTCACTCAGAAATGGGTTAAACCCCAAAATTGGCTACTCTTAAGGACTCATAATGTTTCAGAGGGTCCAAAGGAACATTTTGACAAAGGTTTCATTGATGTACTCGAGATGTCATTTAAAACTAATTTTAGGGGCATTTCAAAAAGCGCCCCCTGGTGGTAGCCCCAAATTTGTCACTTAAGAGTTGCCTTTTTGGGGATGTTAGAAACCCATCTACTAATTACAGGCCTCAACCCTTTTGTACTCGAGATGTCTTATAAATGTTTGCTAGCTCCTAGAGTATATAGATAGACATTGAGAGCGTGGAAGCATTCACTTTCCTTTTCTGAATGTTGCATACAAAGGGCATTTTGAATATGGAATCAAATACTTCTTTCAGAGGAAGGCAACAGATATGTCCCAATTATGGGAAAGTGTAGAAGGCAACAAAGGCCTAAAGGATTCAACATCCTTCTTTGAGGATGTCAAAGGAGTTGCTCAACGGTAAGTGTAAATGGGCAATATGGACTTTTTAAACTTATTTAATTTACACACTTCTAATAAATACAACTTTTGTAATTCCTATATATGGTGCCCTATATGCCAGCAATCTTACTCCAATGGTAATAGAATTCAAAATTATTGAACTTGATAAATATTACTTTTTTAACCTTTGAAGTCTACACATTGAGTCAAAAGTAATAAAGATAACACATGTAACATGATAAGTAATAATAAGTAGAATGCTTATGCATAATTTTGTAATAATATTGGTAAAGAATATTATACTTACAGTGTATTAATGTATAGGACATTCATAATTCCAGTTACCACACAAGATGGGAGGACCTTAAAAAGATCCAAACAGAAGCCATCGCCATGACAAATACAAGGACTTCAGACGAATAGAGAGTAGTATATCCTTCTGTGCTGCAACTTTGACAATATTATAGAGACTGCTGATCATTTCCGAAACAAATGTGTTCCTTTGTTACACAAATACTTAAAGAGAGAATCACAGAGATAGCGAGCAGGCCAAATAGATATACTAGTAGTACTTACATACTAAATTCAATGTAAATAAGTTATGGGAAAATAAATTATAATATATATTTCGATAAAATTGTGTGTTTATTATGTTTTTGAATAAAAAAAACATAGAATTAGCATTAAACATCTTCTAACTTAATTAGCTTGTTTCAAGCTTGATTTATTATTAAATCAGTCCTTAATTTAGTATTAATCCTAAACCTTTATTAAGCTTACTTTAAGCTTGATTGATCATTTATTCAACCATAATTTTACCCAAAATATCATCAACCTTGATTTAGCATTAATATCCTCAGCCTTGATTAAGCTTATTTTAAGCTTGATTTAACATTGATTTAGCCTTGATTTACCCAAAATATTCTCAACCTTGATTTAGCATTGATTTTTTCAAGCCTGAATCAAGCTTGATTCAGCACTGAAATAACACTTGGGCAAATATTGCTTTTTCAATGCTTGAGAAGATCAATGTTGAATCAAGGTTGATTTTTTGTTAAATCAACATTGGGAAATATTTGCTGTGTATTATTTAACAACAAAGGTTGGAAGATATTTACCGGAGGTTTCAGAGACGTTTGATTTTTCTGCAGAAAGAACTCTACGAAGTGTTGATGAAAGTCTCGAACGACTTGGATTGACGTATATAGATGTCATACAGGTTAGCAATTAAGGATTTGCAGTGTATCATTTTTATGTTTTTTCTTTACTCAGCAAAGTAAAGTCGAAGTCAATGCATTAGGAATAAGCATTTTTTGCTATAATTTGCAATAGAAAAGTATCCACAAAACAGCAATATGTTGCAAACGAATGCCTCTGTCCAAAATGAATTTGTGATTCAATATTTTTTTCATTTGATCTTTAAAGCTAGAAAAGAAAAATTCCAATGGGAATTTAACATGGCACAATCTATTCAATTTTTCCATCTTAAAATATTTCAATGGGACCAATCTGAAATAATAAACCAATGAAAATCAACTTCTATCCACAGCTACCACAGCCGCCATACTCGCCTTCACTTTTCAGGTACACGATATGGAGTTCGCACCATCGTTGGACATTATCATAAATGAGACACTGCCTGCTTTACAAAAGGCGAAGGACAGTGGCAAAGCCCGGTTTATAGGTATCACGGGGTACCCCTTAGGAAATTTCAAGTAAATATTCTATAATACAATTTTTCTATACTTGTATCACAATATATTTCGATATACCCGTGTATTGTTTGAGTATTTGTATATCGCCCGATTTACAATTATATGTTCTATATATTATCAGAATAGACAACATAGTCTAACATATGCTTTGCTTTTGGCGACGTAATTTTGTGGGGTTGTCAATTGTCGCCATAGGCTATATCCATGATATATCGTCAGATATATTCATTATTTAATTTGGTAAAACTTTAAAATTCACAAATGGATAGAAAGATGAAGTATATAAACGAAGAAATCATAATCAACGTGATCTCGAAGTCAGATGTATGCATGTTAAAAAATGTCAATATGTTTACATTTTTATTAAGGGAAATACTGGAGCGTTCAACTGTGAAAATTGACACAATCTTGACATACTGCCACGGGAGTATGAATGACAACTCACTACAAGAACATATTGGTTATTTCAAGGTAAACCAGAAAAGTCAGACAGACTATTGACATTATTCTTATTCTTGCACCAAGCTTCACGCCCTCGTAGTTTTTCAGTTGTAGTCATATACAAAATTGTATACACATTCGTACGTGAAAATTAAACAGGATTCTTTTGACGCTAATTACATCCAGAAGTGGTGACATGTTGTTATAGTCTTTATTTCTTTGTGGATGGTATTCAGCGTTTGGTAATTGGTATTCGGCGTTCGGCGTCTGTAACAGATTCTTGCAACTTCCAATATCATAACAATTAAACTGACTGACTTCAAATTTTTACTGTCAACATACATGTACTATATATATTTCTGCAATATCTGTTACCAAAAAGGTAAAAAAAGCCTTTTTTCAACTTGCTTCAAATTGACCGAATTTGTTTACAAAATCATTTACCAGTTCTGACTTTAGATTTAATTTGAGATTTTGGATTTTGACCTTCAATGACTTTCGAAAGGTCAAGAAATTGATATTCTAAATTGATTTTTTGGATCCAATTTTTACACTTGTAACCAGGTGTTGATATTTTAATGCCCTGTTTATACTTATAATCTACAGTTTACATTTTCTTTATGTTGCATGGATGATCATCTATTACGTTATAATGATAGGCTAATTTTGTATTTTATTCAGAGTAAAGGTGTCGGTGTTATAAACGCCTCTCCAGTGTCCATGGGGCTCCTAAGTGATCGAGGGCCACCTGCCTGGCACCCTGCCTTACCTCATATTAAGGAACAATGCGCAAAGGCTGCTGCATATTGTAAGGTATGTATAAATGTTCCTCTTTAACACGTTTCTATTCCTAAATCTTCAAATTGTACCGATACGATTGTTTCAAAAAAAACGAAAGTAGCATACATAGTGATAAAATAGTCTGTCTACCGTGTGATCAAGTTGCCCGTGATTAAGGAGTTTTTAAGTCAAAGGATTGAGGATGTTCAACATCAACTTCGAATAAGTCAGATTTGAATCTAGAGATAGTGTTTTTTTCTTTCAGGAGAAAAAGGTTGACATTTCAAGACTAGCTCTCCATTTTACTCTGGCCCAACCCAATGTTGCGACCACACTAGTTAGTTCTTCCAAGTAAGTGCGTGGTGATCAGGTGTTAATAGCCCAAACCCAATGTTGCGACCACACTAGTTAGTTCTTCCAAGTAAGTGCGTGGTGATCGGGTGTAAAATAGCCCAAACCCAATGTTGCGACCACACTAGTTAGTTCTTCCAAGTAAGTGCGTGGTGATCAGGTGTAAAATAGCCCAAATCCAATGTTCAGTGTTGGCACCACACTTTTAAGTTCCTCCAAGTAAGTGTGTGGTGATCAGGTGTAAAATAGCCCAAATCCAATGTTCAGTGTTGGCACCACACTTTTAAGTTCCTCCAAGTAAGTGCGTGGTGATCAGGTGTAAAATAGCCCAAATCCAATGTTCAGTGTTGGCACCACACTTTTAAGTTCCTCCAAGTAAGTGCGTGGTGATCAGGTGTAAAATAGTCCAATCCCAATGTTGCGACCACATTTGTTAGTTCTTCCAAGTAAGTGCGTGGTGATCAGGTGTAAAATAGCCCAAACCCAATGTTGCAACCACACTAGTTAGTTCTTCCAAGTAAGTGCGTGGTGATCAGGTGTAAAATAGCCCAAACCCAATGTTGCGACCACACTAGTTAGTTCTCCCAAGTAAGTGTGTGGTGATCATTTGTAAAAAGCCAAAACCCAATGTTGCGACCACACTAGTTAGTTCTTCCAAGTAAGTGCGTGGTGATCAGGTGTAAAATAGCCAAAACCCAATATTAATGTTGCGACCACACTAGTTAGTTCTTCCAAGTAAGTGCGTGGTGATCAGGTGTAAAATAGCCCAAATCCAATGTTCAGTGTTGGCACCACACTTTTAAGTTCCTCCAAGTAAGTGCGTGGTGATCAGGTGTAAAATAGCCAAAACCCAATATTAATGTTGCGACCACACTAGTTAGTTCTTCCAAGTAAGTGCGTGGTGGTCAGGTGTAAAATACCCAAAACCCAATATTAATGTTGCGACCACACTAGTTAGTTCTTCCAAGTAAGTGCGTGGTGATCAGGTGTAAAATAGCCCAAACCCAATGTTGCGACCACACTAGTTAGTTCTCCCAAGTAAGTGTGTGGTGATCATTTGTAAAAAGCCCAAACCCAATGTTGCGACCACACTAGTTAGTTCTTCCAAGTAAGTGCGTGGTGATCAGGTGTTAATAGCCCAAACCCAATATTAATGTTGCGACCACACTAGTTAGTTCTTCCAAGTAAGTGCGTGGTGATCAGGTGTAAAATAGCCAAAACCCAATATTAATGTTGCGACCACACTAGTTAGTTCTTCCAAGTAAGTGCGTGGTGATCGGGTGTAAAATAGCCCAAACCCAATGTTGCGACCACACTTGTTAGTTCTTCCAAGTAAGTGCGTGGTGATCAGGTGTAAAATAGCCCAAACCCAATGTTGCGACCACACTAGTTAGTTCTTCCAAGTAAGTGCGTGGTGATCAGGTGTAAAATAGCCCAAACCCAATGTTGCGACCACACTAGTTAGTTCTTCCAAGTAAGTGCGTGGTGATCAAGTGTAAAATAGCCCAAATCCAATGTTCAGTGTTGGCACCACACTTTTAAGTTCCTCCAAGTAAGTGCGTGGTGATCAGGTGTAAAATAGCCCAAATCCAATGTTGCGACCACACTAGTTAGTTCTTCCAAGTAAGTGCGTGGTGATCAGGTGTAAAATAGCCAAAACCCAATATTAATGTTGCGACCACACTAGTTAGTTCTTCCAAGTAAGTGCGTGGTGATCAGGTGTAAAATAGCCCAAATCCAATGTTCAGTGTTGGCACCACACTTTTAAGTTCCTCCAAGTAAGTGCGTGGTGATCAGGTGTAAAATAGCCCAAACCCAATGTTGCGACCACACTTGTTAGTTCTCCCAAGTAAGTGCGTGGTGATCAGGTGTAAAATAGCCCAAACCCAATGTTGCGACCACACTAGTTAGTTCTTCCAAGTAAGTGCGTAGTGATCAGGTGTAAAATAGCCCAAACCCAATGTTGCGACCACACTAGTTAGTTCTCCCAAGTAAGTGTGTGGTGATCATTTGTAAAAAGCCCAAACCCAATGTTGCGACCACACTAGTTAGTTCTTCCAAGTAAGTGCGTGGTGATCAGGTGTAAAATAGCCAAAACCCAATATTAATGTTGCGACCACACTAGTTAGTTCTTCCAAGTAAGTGCGTGGTGATCAGGTGTAAAATAGCCAAAACCCAATATTAATGTTGCGACCACACTAGTTAGTTCTTTCAAGTAAGTGCGTGGTGATCAGGTGTAAAATAGCGCAAACCCAATGTTGCGACCACACTAGTTAGTTCTCCCAAGTAAGTGCGTGGTGATCAGGTGTAAAATAGCCCAAACCCAATGTTGCGACCACACTAGTTAGTTCTTCCAAGTAAGTGCGTGGTGATCAGGTGTAAAATAGCCCAAACCCAATGTTGCGACCACACTAGTTAGTTCTTCCAAGTAAGTGCGTGGTGATCAGGTGTAAAATAGCACAAACCCAATGTTGCGACCACACTAGTTAGTTCTTTCAAGTAAGTGCGTGGTGATCAGGTGTAAAATAGCGCAAACCCAATGTTGCGACCACACTAGTTAGTTCTCCCAAGTAAGTGCGTGGTGATCAGGTGTAAAATAGCCCAAACCCAATGTTGCGACCACACTAGTTAGTTCTTCCAAGTAAGTGCGTGGTGATCAGGTGTAAAATAGCCCAAACCCAATGTTGCGACCACACTAGTTAGTTCTCCCAAGTAAGTGTGTGGTGATCATTTGTAAAAAGCCCAAACCCAATGTTGCGACCACACTTGTTAATTCTCCCAAGTAAGTGTGTGGTGATCATTTGTAAAAAGCCCAAACCCAATGTTGCGACCACACTAGTTAGTTCTTTCAAGTACATGCGTGGTGATCAGGTGTAAATAGCCCAAAGCCATGGGCTCAAAAATGCCACGGAGAAGTCTCATTAACATCTCTTTAACGTACCTACTTAAGCTAGAAAATTAAGCATGTTTTAAGTCCTTAAATCAATCCAAAATATTTCTAGAGGACAACCGAAATTCTATGAACAACGTTGTGATCAATTATGTTAAATTTAGAATAATTTCTATGTTCATGGTCTTGAATTTTGCTAGATTGAAAAATCATATTTTAAATATACACGTTTTGTTTCAAAATGGTGGTAGTACAGTACACTTTTATCAATTATGTTTATCTATTAAATGATTGATTGTTGTAGATTGGCGAACATAACAAAGAACATTGAATCTGTATACACACATTTGTCTGATATGGAACAGAAAACCTTAGATGAGGTCATGGAGAAGTAAGAACCAAAGGCTGTTCGAATTTAGTAACTCTATTTGACTATAGATTTTGCTAGAAGTAACCAATGATGATGGCACAAATTGAACATCAAATTACTATAATGTAAAACTTGTACAAGGGCCGATCAAAAAGTTTCTTACCGTTGGCTCTAGATTTTATAATAAGAGGAGTTGGATGCTCAAACTTTTACATAAGACAGGGTAGTAAGTTTGCCTGAGACTGATTGAGTCTCATTTAAATTGGTTCATTGGTAGTGACATAGAGTCAATACATATTTTCAATGATTGAATTAGGTGGAGCAGGTTTTTTATAAAAAATTGTTCTAAGCTGCAGTTTTGGAAATTTCTAACACTAAGTAGTGTCTTCTGTCAACAGACTGTAGTTTAATCACGTTTAATTAGTTTTTCTGCTAATATTCATTCTCATTCAAAATATTCAACCCCAGTTGCATGCAATGCACTTCCTATATCTGTCCACTCGATCCAAAAACACGTGTTTTAGGCCTTCGTAAGGGAGGTTTGAAACGATGTCGGTAAATTTCCAGAACCACAACTCAGCAGATATTTTTTTATATATAACGGTGCTCCACCTAACTTTGTCATTGAAAATTATTATAAAATTGAGAGCCAACGGTAAGAAACTTTTTGATCGGCCCTTGTATTAAAAAATTAAAACGTAAAAACTCTTTTCAGGTTTATGAAACCACTGAATAACCAGCACTGGGAGAATGTCGAAGTTGATGCGTATTGGAAACAACTGAATGCATTGAAAGATGGAACCACATAGCCTCAACAAAAGATACAACAAAGCATTTATATTGGCATTGTTTTTGATGCATTGATAGTGTGATTTTGGATTTGGTTGGGTCAGCTTAGAGTGGCCCTTGATCCTTAAATGTTGCAAAAATAAGTACATTTATTGTGGCAGAACGGCTTGTGAAGCATGTATGTATGTATGACGAGGGTCAGAATTAGAGATGGAACCCTTGTTAATATATATAATATATATTTTGTATATGGTATGTATTATAGATGAATATAAAATGGTTCATTCTGTACAGTGTGTTTAATAAATATTGGAAAAATACTTTGACTTATATTTTGTGTTATATACGGGAACATATAGTAATTTGACTTTTCTAATTTGCTCAAATCCAAGTTGCTCTAGTAATTTATTGTACATAGAACTCCAAACTGTCATTAAATTAAGATAAAAATATACGAATCCTTACTTGTTAAATATGCAAATCTCCCAAAATATAAATCAAACGAGACTTCAACAAGATTCAAAAGCTTTATTTATTTATTCTTATTTATTTATTAGGATAAAACGCTTTTACAACAGCGGCACTACTAAAATTTAGTGTGCATCCAAAAAGACTAAAATACAAAGATAAGTTAAAACCATTAAAAATACATTTCCTTCGAAAATTCGTAAACACATTTCTCAAATATTTAGCAAATCTTTTATTATTGATCGACGAATATGGCTTGGCTTATCAATAAAGCCTCAGTCACATTTGCTCCACGGCGGCCGTACGGCGGCTGTAGCTTCACAAATCGATATGGACAATCTATATCGTACTGTTTACCCCAATATATGCTACACATTTCTCTCGATTTTTGGAAGCTACGGCCGCCGTATGGTTGCCGTGGAGCAAATGTGCCGGAGTGGTTAAAATCCTAGAATGTAGCATGTATATCACATTTTGTACGCCCGTAAGCATAACTTCATAACAACCGTCTCCATGAGATAAACACAAACAATGAAACGGAAATGATATATTGTGTTAATGATTTTATTTACTAACATAAATAGTCTTAATTGTCAGATTTATGGATTATAACTCTTGGCATTGGCACCAAAATAGACAAACATAACATTAACATTCCAGATTCTACCGTGGGAATCCATTATGTGAACGTATTTAGTGATTGATGCGAAGTGAAGGAACATCAGGTACGTATCCAGTAGCATGTATCGGGTACCTTCATTTACATTGTCGTGATGAAATCGCTCATTTGAGAAATCTACGAAATAAACAGGTAGAATTAAGGAAGGGGAGCTGGAGATAAATCGGGATTCAAGGTCTTCCTATACATTTTACCTTATTTCTGAATACTCTTACACGCCATGATTTCTTTCATCTTGGATCTTATAGCCTCTCTAAAACCTTAGATTTCTGGGAAAAAATAAAATATCATACCTTTGAAAAAGTACTGTTTGGAGGCTCTTATTTCGTTGTAAAAACTCCTACTCTCTTTTGGAACCTCTGGTATCTCATTTCGATAACCCCCACAAAACGGATTCGGTCGTTTGTACTACAAGGCACCTCGTGGATTGATGATGAATTGGGTGTAATATATTACTCGAGTCACCTACCATTTACCTTCATTTATCAGTTTGTAGAAGTTAATTGAACACCTCGGTTCTCACCTTGCGTCAACACAAAACATTCATCTTGGCAGCGTGTTGTACACATTTTAATTTGGTCTCTTAGAAAATTATCAGTGGGAGGGAAGAATATTTTAGGTACGTGGGTATCTTCTTTTTAGACCTTATGCCTCACTATTTGGGACTTGTACCTGGTAATGTATCTCAAAACACCGGACATTGACTGGGGAAATTGTACATTCTATTCTCGTATCTTGTTTTGGAGGCAGAGCATAGCTACCTCATTCACATCCACCCAATGTTGGCATATCGTAAGCAGTAGTGTAGAAATATTCCATTCGTAGCTAGTTGATTAAATGATCTAGGGTTTATTTATATTCCAAAGTACAACAATTACATTATCAAATATTTATATAAAAACATGACTTGGCAGATGGAAGGTCTCGTTGATATCATTCAAACATCTGCTGGCGTTTGATTTAGGTGTGGAATATCACTTCTATTGATTAGCGATAAAATTTAGATTATAACGATATTATCGCTAATAATGATAATACAAATATTTCATTCTATTGATCAATACTGTGTATCAGGAACTATTTATATCTCTCTTTGGTCCCTTCGGTCCCTCGGGTAGATATAAATATATCCCTCAGGATATACCCTATACCCCAAACCTCCCGGTACATAACCCCTATATATTTGTTCTATTATATATCACTATTTGTCATCGAATGTTAATTCCATGGAGTATATTCGACAATGTGCTAACTCTAAAGTATAGATCCCTGTCTTGATTTCTCACTTCACAAACATTGTTCTAATTTGACATTCAGTTCACATTTTTACACATTTTGCATCGATCGTTCCAAGTCTCCTTTATCAAATTGTTAAAACTTTGATTGAACGTTTAGTTGATATTTTGTGTAACTAGTGTGTAAACTTTCAATTTATTCTTTTCACGTCTGTCATGTTTTAAACCTTGATTTACCCTTAACAAAATAAATTTCTTTGCATACTCCCAGGAGAGGAGAATATGCTTATTATTATATCACTGTCACACTCCTCACTCTCTAATTGGTCCATGCCCTACATGTGACTAAAAATAACAAGCAAAATTCATCAAAAGTCACGTGACTCCCGTTGAATATAAATCGGTTATTTAATGGGATGGAATATGAATTTTATTCCTAGGGGAAAATATGATATTGGCCAAGAAAAATTATCATAATGACCAATTCAATATATATTTTCCGAGGCTAATATCATATTTTCTCGAGGAAGAATTCATATTCCATCACGACTATCAATAACCTATTTATTCCATAATAATTTTTCTAAAACCTATTCATTTTCAAGTTCGATTTGTCATGACCCAATGATGGTGACATAAAATGATACAATTTGATTTGTCAAATAACATTTTTCAACTTTTATTAATACGAATTTAAAATAGACCGAAAAATGTAAAGATCAAAAGAAATCCCCGGGAATATTTCTGATACGAGATCTAATAGGGGATTTTGGCTGATATGGGATGCAATACGGGATCTGTTACGGGATTTTGGCTGATACGGGATCTGATACAGAATTTTTGAATATCAATTATATTCCCTGTTTATTCAATGGCTTATTTGATACCCGGGGCTTAGTTGTGTACCAAACGAAACGAGAAACGACATCCGGGGCTTTGTTTGGTCTTCATTAGACAATGTTGTATAGAGGGCCCGGGGATAGAGGGGTAGGTTTTCTTAGACCTAGGTACCCTTTTCTGTACCGTTTTGCGGTTATTTTACTCTGTCATTGCAATCCGTTCACATCATTAGCTACATAATTGATCAACTTAAATATATATCATGTAAAAAGGGTTGATACGAACAGAATAAACAGGGAAATGTAATTTGGTTTCCCGCCAGAACAATCTAAACTGACGCGGACAATCTTCGTTTTGACTGTTGTTTCTGAACGGTCCGTGACCGAAATTCACTAAACTATAGAAAATATGTTACGTTAATAATAATTCAATGTTTTATTGTACTAAAAATCTCTTTCGGGTAAGTGTACAGCAAATAAACATGATAAAATAAAACTAAAACTATACATACAATAAATGTTACAATAACATACAATGCAAATTTTACATGGAATACAATGACAATATAATGCGATTGACTGATCATTAGATATATAGGGGTTATGCACTGGGAGATTTTGGATACAGGGAATATCCCGAGGGATATACAATATATCTTCCCGAGGGACCGAAGGGACCGAGGGAAGATGTATTGTATATCCCAAGGGATATTCCATGTATCCAAACCGACCGTGCATAACTGGTGTATCTCATGCTTGAATGGGTTTAGGGTAGATATAACCTTTTCCATCTTTTTCAAATGACAAGATATTTATATTTAACATTTTCGTAATATTCTTTTTGTTCAATACAATGAAATTGTAACATTTAAACTTAAAGAAATTAAATTTCAAAATTAAAAAATTAAAACTTTTGATATTTAAACTTTTGAAAAATTCCCGGGAGCGGGATGGATATATTATATCTGCCCGCATTTGGCCTGGAGCGGGACATATACAATATATCCTGCCCGCTCCTCAGATACGATATATATTCCCGGGTGATATCTACGCAAAACACAGTCAAGTATGAGATACACAAGTATACCAACCACTACTATTAGCCTACATCCATGTAAATATTTATATTGTTAATATAGTTGATCTGATAGAAAATATATTACGTTATAAGGATAGATTGTCTTTACTTACCAATCATCATGTGCTGACATATTCAGCTCTGGACTTTATGTCCAAAGGGGGGTAACACACATCGTCAGAATAAATTTTAAGTTCTCACACCCCTATGTTTAATTGGCTAATTCAAATCGGATGCGGTAAAAAACCGAACGCCAATTTGCGAAAGTTCCGGGTACCGCGTTCACCCTTTATTTCCCAAGGAAAACATGTTACTATGGATAACAAATGATAAAATGATATTCACCAGTCCGACTTAATTAAAAAAAACTACGCCCTCCGTAGGGAACCGTGATTTTATATCAACGAAATTCGCCGTGCGGTTGCCGTAGGAAATGTACTGCAGAAATTCTACGGCGAGCGTAGAAATGTTACTGACCGCAGAAATGACAGACCGCACGGCGGCCGTAGGAAATGTGACTGGGGTGTTACACAACAGCAGAATTGACCACACTTTTATCTGCAATGTTTGATGAAAACATCCCTTTGTAATAACATTCCGCACCACAGTCATGTCAAAGAAAAAAAACTCATTGATAATTATTAGAAAAGTGCCAATGTTAAAAAATGAAAACCTACATTGTAGATGATTATATAAAATAAATAAATAAAATACCCCTAATACCCCAAGAAAATTCGAACAGGATTCGAACAGGAAAGGAGGTGGACAACCATACATAAAAGGTGTGTTCGACCCAAATACTAAGATGTTTACAAACAATTATAGTAATATTGGGTTTCATATCAGACCAGACCGGAGGTACGCAGTATGTCAATGGAAACATTAATGGATTGCAAATTTGTTATATCCTGGAAACATGTCATGTAATATCAATTGAGCCTGAAAAATTAGTGCGATTATCATTAACAAATTTGTTTTAACAATGCGATATTTCC